CATCTGCGGGAGGCATTGATCACAGGTCTATATGAATATGTGCATTTGCTAGTCATCGGCAAGTGTTGTTCTCAGTTGAGCTCTTCTTCGTTCTATCTCGACCGTCTGTCGTTGCTCTATCTGAAGACCTCATTGCCAGGAGCGGGACTCATTCCATCAGCATCAACAATCGTGTCCACAATGAGGAGGAGGAGGCAATAAACACTTCAGTTGAGCTTTCGAGAAGTTCTGCCCAATGAAAGGTCTCATTTACCAAATAAACAGCGGCCATTGCGCAAATACTGAGAGGTAATACTCGTGTCTGTTTGCTTCGTCTCAGCAAGAGACTTGATCAACAGAGATATGAGACTACTCGACAGTATAAACGAGCCCGTCCGCAAAATCGAGGAGCTTACTCCTGACACCGTGTACCAATACATCAACGAGATATGTTCAGCAGAGTCAAGTGTGTCATCTGCGCGGAGATGACCATAGACGCGCCGCAGTCGGATGCAGACATTTACGTATCCGACTGATCCTTGGTTCTGCATGCATGTCAGCAACTACTTTCCTCTTCAGCCTCCGGAGCAGGTCCATGAAGGAGTACACTGCCTAAGACATCCATACCCTGCGCAGCCGCAAGACAGTTGATCGACCACCTCGATGACTCTCCTTCGGCAAGTACCCGCTGTGGCTCTGTCCCCGGCGGCAGACCACAGCGCATGTAAGAGTCCCGTTGCTCAAAAGCGTACGGGCTCGAGGCCGAGTACAAGCCAGGTATGATTATTAGCGTGGAGTCTGGCGAGCCTGGCATGACACAGCCCTTTGATTTCAACCGACGGCATGTCGCTCCAAGAAAAGTCATCTGGGTAATCCACATCGTCGTTTTTCCTTAAAAGACAGGTTGAAGAAGTCGTTTCTTGTTTTTGGTTGGCCTACGGCTCAGTTATATTCTGCCGTCAACGCGCAAGCAAGGATGACTTATACGGCCTTCTCGCTTACCAGGGGGTTGCTTTCCGATATGAGTAATGAAGCAATCCCAGCTCTTAGACGACTGGTCCTCAGTGTCCATGCTTTGAAGCTGGAATTGAGGTGAATAGAGCCGTTTCTACATACTTCGGTGTATCAAGGTAAGTTACTCAGACTTTCCTACTTTTTGTGACATCACTGAATTCTTCATATCACTAACAATTCCCATATGGATGGATTGAGCTCATAGGAGAGGCAGCAATGACCCTGAATGCCTTATGATATCCACATTTCATCATTCTCCGCATCAATGACTCGCGCTGCTTTTACTAAGAGAGAGATATCCATCTTCACTTTTGCCTAGTGATACTTAAGTCAATACTTTGTCTCGACCATTTTCTTAAGTATTAAGCCACAAAAAGACTTATCCAGTATCCAGATGCGTTTGAGCCAGTTATGAAACGTCAATGCTTTCTGCTTTAGAGGATGATCTCACATTCTTAGTATAATACCTAGGGCATAGGGCAAGGGCAACACTGCAGCCCTAGACACACGAAGGTGCAGGGCACTCCCATTCTAGAATTCCTGCAAGCTCATTCCGACGCGCTCTGTTTCAAACAAGAGCAACAAATACATACAAGAAGAATTCCAAATCTATACAACTATCTTACTGAACAAAACAAAACCAAGGACTACACTGTCCATTGAATTTGTCAGGACTTGGACTGCTGAAAAATGTGATCGAGTATGCAGGACTGCCGCCGTGAAGAACGGAGTATGATAGCACAGCCTCGTACAAGCTGGTACAGCCTGGTACTTTCGATACATGGATTACCAACCATGTGTAATTATGACCAGGACCTGGGCCGTGTGCATAACAGGAGTATATCTTACCTACGTTATACAACCACACATTATTGTCCACCAGCAGGATTCCAAATCATAATACGGAGTACTATCGAGCAAAGGATGTGTAGTTATATTAATGCGTCTAGTCGTTTAACCCTGTAACAAGCAAGGGATAGTGAAAATTCTGTCTGTCTGACTGACTGGTAGGAATCTCGCAGTGTATTGCATTTCCTACGGAAGACTGACTCTCTGAAATTTCTGTCCCCGACTATCTACCTAGACAGGAAGAACTGTCCTGCGCCTCTATCGGAAAGAACCTAATGCATGGTACTTGTAAGTCGTCTTAGTTATCACCCACAGATAAACTCCGAGATGGAGTCTCTGGTTCTGTATTCCGTAGACTAGACTGGATAACTGGAACCTGTTTCATCCTGGATGAAGCTAAGGGAGTGGAGTCTCCTCCATACCCCATGCACTAGTCAAGTTCCTTCGAATGATGACATCCCATCTGCACTTGAGCCGTTGGCGCCGACAGCGCCGACGCTACAAGGTCTTAGCGGGTCCCGGTCTGACTCTCTGCATTCAATGCTTATGAATTGGTTACTCGGAGAGGACTGACATTCCTTCAACTAAATTCATTAGAGTTGATCAGCAACGTAAGGTCAGACTCTTCCTCTTGCACATGGAAACTTGACGGCCTGTACGACGTCAAAAAGCCGGTCCTTGAACATTCAGACCGAGATTGGAGAGAAATAGGCTGCCTGGGCTTCAGGGGTCTCGGCCCGGTCTGTATTAATTTTGGCTTTGGAGTTATCTCAAGTCACAGGTGATTACAGAGTCGAAGGATGGTAAATAGATGCCTTCTATTGGTGCGCAGGAATAGTTGATATCAATAGTGGCCCTATTGATTTTCTTTTCTTCTTTTATAGAGTACACACCTCAAGCCAGTCAATCTCAGTATTGGGAAATTTTCTAGAAGACTTTCAATTTTACTGTCGAATGACCTGGTCGCAAAGGCAGCTGAAAATCAGCTCTGTGCCTGTGTAGCGCAAGTGCAACATTTTCAGGTGCAATATTGTATATTTTTGGGTGCGGACGACTCACATGTACTGTACTATCTACTTCTATCTACCCGATAGCCTGGATCCGGACAGATTTTTTTTCTACAACTGAAACTGAGTCAAACTTTTTTCTTTTAAGTTTTTTTTCCCTCCTGCTGTTCGTTTTGATCTACCTGATACTAACCAAGTTGCGGTCTGCCCATTTCCGTTGCCGGGTTGCTGCCCAGCTGGTCGCAGCGGTAAAGCCCATCGACCACCTGCTGCCTGTGCTTGTTGCCCAATACCTTGTCGTACTTTGTGCTAGCTACAAGGGCTGTCGTCAGTAATCAGGAATAAAATGGCATATGGCTCCACTCGACAGCAAAATTCTAATCTATCGACTATCGACAAAATAGTCTACTTATCATTGTATACTGAAGTATGAACCATGGATGGCACTCGGGAGTGACCCGTAGCGCATCCATGGGACAACCCATCATATTCCGGTACCTTATATTGACATTAATATTGGATACAGTGTATCTAGCATATGCGGTATCTATATCCTATTCATTATGTTTGTGTCGCGTTGCACGAGGATGATTACCATTCCTATCGCTGACCCAAGGCTGAGCATAGCATACTGCATGTTGTGGACACTCGTGGCCCTGATGCAGCTCTATGGCCACCGGCTTCAGCGAGTCTATCTATGAGTAGATTTAGAGATTCAAGCGTTCACCTGTATCTCTCCAATGGCATGGTGATCGTAAATCAGCTGAGCCACAGTGGCAATTGTCGAATTGACTCATATAGGTTGAGGCTTCAGGCTCCAGTGGTAGAGAGGGGGAGAAGCACATGAAGATGCCGTTGATATAGGTATCATATGAACTACAGAAGAGGAAACTACCAAGTAGATGAGTCAGAATGACTCTTATAATGCTGCGATGGTGGAATAACCATATAGACTGGTTGATTAAAGGCCTAACTTCACGGCGAATCCTTTCTCTTGCTAAAAGAGATGTGACATTTTAGCCCTCCAGAATATTAATACGATATACGGTGCCCAACAATGTCAGGAATCAAGATGACTCGAACGCACCTAGAAAGGGGATGATGTAGGATGACTCGATGGCACTCTGGAAGAAGTCGTTACCCAGCTGACCCTGCATATAATACTATCAAATCCCAAGCATATGATATAAAAGCATCAGAAACCCACAGCTGGTCGATATTCATAGAATAGATAGGCGCCCACCCCCTTAGCCCTCAGCCACTGTGGTTGGGCCCAAAAATGTCAAGTTGGATCCAGTCAAGAATTCTGATCTTAATTTCTCGCCTCGCGCCCAATCGTAAAATATCTCTCTTGTTATTTAACTGAAAAAAAAACAAAAAGGAAAAAAAGAAAAGGTGTGCCGAAGTACAGTGAGACGAAGATTACGAAGTACATTATTACCTCATTAAACCCCAATACCAGAGAGATACAGCCCCACCACACCCGCTTATTTCCCTGTTAATGCCACGGCCGGAGACTTGATTCTTACAAAACCAAGCGATATCCCGTCGAAACCCCCTTTGCACCAAAACCTATCCGCCCTACTTGGGTTTATATTCATCGTCCACGTTGTCCTTTCCGTGACAAAATAATCTCTGAATAGTTCCTGGGTCAGGTGCCGAGGACTAGCATCATTGGAAACTCGAACTCGCCACTAGACGATTCGATATACTAGGTATAATATCTGGGAATATCGCTCAGCTGGAATTCTCACACTGAGACTTGTGTGTGAAGTTCGCCTCCCGGTGACGACGAAAAGGAATACATAGCCCCTTGACTCAGCGATCGGTCAACCGACGACGCTCAAATGCACTCTCAGCAAACACAATCTCAACCCTCCTCTCCCCTGCAAACCGTACCGCGGCACGGTCCTCATCTTTAGGTCTTGCGGTGTCTGCTATCTCGTTTCATCACCGGCGTCGATCGGCTTGCTTCGAACGATATCCTGTACAATATACTCTGGGTTGTTTTTTTGTTTCCAGTCGCCTGTTGAGCTGTTTCTCTGATCGCAAGTCTTTTTTCTGTTTGCTTTGAAATCACCATTTACGAGCGTTTATATCCATTCGTGGTCACGGTTTATTAGCGCCTCGATTTTCCATGCTCTGGCGATAATGTATCACTACGCCTCACCACCACCTGGGTGGTCCTCGTTCGATTACATGAACTCTCCTCCCACGTCTCCTCACTATGCCTACTACGCGACACAGTTTGCGAATCCCTACGTTTCTCCTCGAGGCACGACGAAGCGCCACAATCGCAAGGCCAGCTACGCCGCCCCAAGGAATCAGGAGCATGGCATTCCGGCTATGGCCAAAGCTTCTACGAAGCGATGCCGGAATATGGCACGCCGCCACGCAAGCACGAGAATGTAAGTGCTTTTCCTGGTGGCTATTCATCCTGTCGTCGTCCCCGGGCCAGGTCCAGCGCGACCGGCCTCTGGGACAAGACCGGTTATCATTTCTATGAGACACCGTATTCGTCGGCACAACATCGCTCCTCCATCTTTGTGGATGTGGTCGATGATGTGTTCGATGACCGACCGCCCGTTACGCCCAAGCGGGACAGCTACGCCCAGCCGCGTCGCCAGCCGTCGTCGTCTCAACGCAAGGCAAGGCCACCCACTGATCCCTCCTCTCCTCAGGTCCCCGCGTACGACGACCAGGATTCCCCCAAGCGATCGCGGGCGCGCCGCCAGTCCACCTCCACGCGCACCCCATCCAAGCCCAAGCCGTCCGCCAGCCCCAAGGCACCACCCAAGGCGACCGAGGAGGACGCCGCCCGTGCCGGAATTCCGCCGGGCTATTCGATCAAGAACTGGGACCCGACCGAGGCGCCTATCATTCTGTTAGGAAGTGTTTTCGATGCGAACTCGCTGGGCAAGTGGATCTATGACTGGACTGTTTTCCACCACGGTGCCTCGACCCCGATGGCCGACGTGGCGGGTGACTTGTGGTTGCTTCTGATCAAGCTGGCGGGTAAGGTGAAGCGAGCGGACGAGTGCCTGGATCGAATTAAACGACCCGAGGCGCAGGAGATTGTGGAGGATTTCTTGGAGAGTGGCGAACGCCTGTGGGCGCGGTTCAAGAAGCTGCTGCGCACATGTGAGCAGTTCATGTGGAAGGCAGCCAAGCGGGAGAATGGTGGCAAGGGCCCCGTCTCGATGGGCCGCAATGCTGGCTGTGAATTCGTCGAGTCGATTTTCGGTCGCGACCGCGAGTTGGAGAATACGGAGAAATTGATGAACAGCATCCGGGTGTGGAACATGCGGTTTGATGCAAACTGCGAAGAGATCCTCCGAAGACCGTCGTCTGCTTAGCCCGACAGTGCTACAGTTTACCCTATTTGCGTCGACCGGTTTTACAAAAGTTTGTGTTTTTGTTTTCTTTTGCTTTGTTTCTGCTCGTTCTACATCTAATAATCGTTGTCTGTTCGCGAGCGCAGGCGAAGCGTCTTCTTCTCGCTTCTGCCAGGTTTAATCCTTTTTTCAAACATGTCGGATGCATTTTGAGCGCGTTTGGTTTGGCACTGGATTTGCTCGTTTGCGGTTCTGACACCTCTTTCCCGACCTACAAGCGGCATCAAACACCCCCATGCCGACGCTATCAGCGCGAATCATCTCATCGGTTTCTGGCGCCCTTTTTTGACTGTTTCTCTCTGACTCATCCCTGGGACGGGTATGTGCTTTTGCTCTTGTCCGGCGCGGGAGTCGTTTGCATTTCTCTCTACGCAAGTTGGAGTCTTTGCTTTTTCACTTCACTTCGATGATACCATTTTGCGTTCTCTCTGCTGTCTCGGGCACGGTTGGTTTTATTCATTCCTTACTGCGCATGTCTGGTCTGGCCTTTCCTTTGTTTGTTTTCTGCTCTTTGCGTCAAGACCCGCGTCATAGACACCAACTACCATCGTACCGATAGACTTGAATACACTTTTATCTTACCACTTGGCAGCTCTCCCTAGCATTCTTGATACCATCATATTTTCGTAGTAATCATCCGGAAATATACCAAAGTAGTCATAGTCTAGTCGTAGGCTCATCCTTACCCCTCCATATCCACACACTACCGTAGGCTCAAATCTGATGTCATCTGGCAGACCAACCCAAGAAGGACAGGCCAGTTCATGCGCCAACCATGTGAAATGACACGATGTGATGTGATGTGGCCTGCATCGCGGCAGGGATCATCATTCCTAGTGCTCATTGGCATTTACCCCTCAGACTGTAGCGCCTAGTCTACCCCTCCCTAGATTTGCTACTAGTCTTGCTCTGCTAGTGTTAGTCCGCCAGACTGCAGGGGGGTTAGACTTAGGCAGCGTCGGGCGAATCCCCGTTTCCAAGACTATGCATGCATGCACGGTTATTACAGGCCATGTCGGGTATTACAAGATACTACTATGTAACTTAAGGTTACCTTGGTAGATGTATCTGAGGTAATTTACTGACGGATTACCTCGTGGAGTACTACCTTAGTACTTGGGAGAGTTTGGCCATGCGTTGGGTCTTTATGGCTTATGCATTGCATGTGCGACCACGTGTTTGTAGGTCAGGGAGTGAGACTGCAGGTACCTTAGGATTTTCAGGTCCTACCGTCGGTAGGTGTTATCTAGGTTAGGAGTGTAGGACAGATGGTCTCTGGAGGTGATACTGGGCTCAGGGGTACAGACACTAGAGAAGTACTGGGATGGATGGTTGTCTGCATTGTCACTTACACTGACAAGTCTAGTCTACTTCTATATGCGTCTATCTATATAGGTATCAAGTATATCTAAAATGTACATGCACTCCTTGACACGGATTACTTCCCTTCAGCCCTCCAAAACAACCACGCCAGTCCAATCACAAACTTGAACCCAGCCGCCATCCACAACGCAGACTGCATCCCCCCACTGCTCTGACTCAACCACCCGCCCGCAATCGCCCCAACAAGCAACATCACCACACCTCCAACCCTCCGATTCCGCTTCGCATTCGACGCCGGCCCCGCCCCCAGCTTCGGATCAGACGCAACATCGAAATACACGCTCGTCAGCACAACCGCCGGAATCTCATTATACCCCAGCGCGCGGCTCGACGTGATCGACCCCGCAGACTGGAACGCCAGCAGCGCAATCGGGATCAGCTCGAGGAAGAGCGGGCCACCCGTCAGCGCGGAGTCCTCCTCCGTATGCGGGATCAGATCGGCCTCGATGAGCGACACGGCGATGACGATCAGGATGGTCTGCACCATGAAGGAGGTGAAGAGGGTGCCGCGGCGGCGGGCGCCGGTGCGACGCGTCACGTTCGAGAAGATCAGCGCGCCGATGAAGAACGAGGCGATAGAAGTCAGAGATTTGAGCCAACCCCAGGGTTTGCTGGTTGGTTGGCCTGAGGCGCCGAGGCCGAGGAAGATGGTGTTTCCTATACTACGTTAGAGCTGGGAAGATAGTGCTGGGGGTTGATGTGGGTGAGTCATACCCGTCTGCATGGCGAGGAAACACGACCAAGCATTGTAGGCGCTGCTGTCGCAGAGGCCGGTGTTCAGGGCCAGGAGCAGACAGATGAGGTCCGCGTAGGTGGGATCGACGGATTGCGTCCAGCGCTGAGCAAAGGTCGCTCGTTGTTTTGATGGTTGTTGCGACACTTGATCCCCTTGTTGGGGGTGCGCTTCTAGGTCAGGCGCACCAGCGGTTTTGTCGGCCATTGTCGTGGAGCACAGCCAGATTCGGTTTGCAAAGATGTAATCCTTACGGTGGACGTGATAGATACTCCGTAGCCGGCTGTCAGGCGTCAATATAAATCGTTCCGAAGTGACAGCGGCGGAGCTGGCCGAGGGCGAAAATTTGCGCTGATAGGGAAAAAAAAGAAAACCGGAGAATATCCGACCAGTAAACACGTCTTTTACTCTCTCAGTACTAGTGTGGTCTGCACCTATGACAAGATCGGCAAGATACTCGCTGCCTGATTTTTAGGCTTGAAGCTATCCATAAAAAGGCAGGTGTGCTCATCATGAGCTCCGATTGCGAATATGACCTCCCAATGCTGGGTTGTTATTTGTCAATGCATTGTCGTGAAAATGCTGAAGAACCTAAGTTGCCAGTGAGACAATGTGGGTAGGGCCCACCTCCCCGCATACATAGGGCTGAGGTTGGGGCATATTACAATCGGTAGTTGTCGGTCCTCAGGAGATTGATAGAATATAGAGTTGAGAATGAATGGATACTCATTTGGAGTCTACCTCCGTGGTGTACGGACTGTATCATTGATTGATGACTTCATTGTGCTGTCAGGCTTCAAGGCATCAAAGCGACAAGGCAACTTGGATCATACGACAAACAAACTTCAGATGAAAATAAACATTTGAGCATACCCCGGACGAGATCAGTCTGACTACACATTATCTAGAGCATTACGAAGAGAGTGTGTCTCGAGATCTAGGCCAGTCCACCACTTCGGGTCGCCCACATATGGTGTCGGAGACCGCGCACATGAGGATGACACCTTGGGATGGCGACTAACTTCAGTGACACTATAGTCCTCATTGCAAGCAACCAATACTGTGTTCGGCACAACTGTTTCAACATGCTGTATCCTCATACAATAGTGAATGGAACCCTCCAAAGGACATAACAAATCCCTCAGGAGTAATCGCGCAGAGATTCGTCGTAAGATTGGCACGCGACTCGCAGTCCAAACGGAAGTCAAATGATATCACTCATACAACAGCCAGTCATGACATTTGCCCTCGAGAATATCAGAGAATCAGTGGCACAAATGATGGCTGCAAATGGAATGGCCACAGATGATATCTCTTGTGCGGAGAAGCTGATATTGCTGAGTGTGGGCGTCATCGCCGTGTCATCAACGCCACCTCCCGGGTGTGATCGAATATAACAGAGACGAATCGGGGCAACCACTTTGTTCTTCAAACGGCAATCTGAAATATTGAAGTTGCACCAGAATAAAACTGTATTGTTGGTGAGTAAGATCGGCTAGCTCACCCACGTCCGTCAGCTTGAGAACACCTTCGCAAGAGGACTTAATATCTTGCCAGCTGATATTAACTTCTTCAGATCACACAGGTCACATAGTCAAAATGGCAGGATCGAAAACTGAGAGCGCTGTGCGCTTCCCTGAGAGGGAGGGCCAGACCCGTCGTCTGCGCAACCAAACCACCCAAGACAAGAAGGCTGTAGCTCGGATGCAAGATCAGGGTGCTTCGGCTCAAGCCAGGGTTGCGAGGGCTACTCATGCCGGCGAGGAGTGGACACCAGTCGAGACCTTCGAGACCGCCATGGACCAGGACGGCAACCCAGTGCCTGATCCCGCGTATACCGACTATGAAAAGATGAGACAGCACAAGGGTGGCGAGGACGAGGCTGATGACTATGTTGCTGCTAATGCAAACTTTGACCGTTAATGCAAGAATTGTCTAAGTCGAGGACTCCTCATCGGCCGTGTACATTCCGGTCACTCAATATGAAGGACATGTGGATTCTCGTCAAGGAAGATCGTGTAACGAATTAGTCGTCGCATTTGCAGGACGAAAGAGTTGCCTTTCGCATATTCGCGGAGGTAGCACAATATGAAATCAAGTCACCTTTATACCTCACCATAACCAGAGTAGCATGCTTCGAGAGTAGTCCGGGTCGTAGGTCATGGTTTGAGGACCTCGCCCTAAGATTGTGTCTTTCAACGGCAGGAGTGTGTTCAAAGCGCTCATAGACCGATCCGAGGCTTGTGTTGCTGCGCTTGCAAGCAAGCCGTACTTCATGAGGAACAGAGTTGCTTTCTGCAATCTTCCTGAATTAGTCGGCTTTCTAACACACCATTACTACACAAACTTCTTTTCTTCAGGAATTGAAATCCGCAATTGGCTGATAATGGCGTTGAATGGTGGGGCTGCAGGGATACCCAGAATGACAGCCTGATTGCTATGGCAACCCCTGACAGCAGATGGGGATCTTAGTGCCTCAGGCGCCCACAATCCCATTCTGGCAAAATCCAAACGTTGCCTGAGAGTATTCAGCTTCATTACAACAGGAAGTCCACCTTAGGTGGAATCAACTTGTCATTCCTGATCGCCTCTGCGACTTCAGGCCTTTTCCTTTTGGATCTCATCTCTATGCCGTTGCTGCATGTTTCTTTCTTTCAAATTCCATTGCAGAAGCCCCTCGGATTTAACAACTTCTCTGTTTACTCCCATATAGGCAGTACGGTTGATGGATCCAACATCAAGATAGCAGGAGACCTTGATTTATTCCTACAATTGAATTAATCTAAACTTTTCTCTTGCGCTGAAGGAAAGCATCGTCAGCGAAGACTTGCTCATCCTAAGCTTTTATCGACCCTCGTCTATTCACCGACTGACTGCTGCAACTTCACTCCTTCCTTCTTCTGTTGGTACAACTGTCTGTATGTACCATTGCCTGCTTCACCGCCACCGTGACCTCGTCACTCATTTTGTACATTTATTAGAGGAACAGAGTCAAGCCATGGCGCTGGACCCACGCTTCTACCACCATCTCGGCCACGGCACTGGGCCTGGCTCCCACATCTCCTCCTCGTCGTGCGGCGCTTCAGCCATCACAGGTATAACCAGCCCTTCAGCTATGTCGACTTCCGCCTCAGCAGCCACGTTGCGCTCTACAGCCTCCGTTCCGTCCCTTCGCGCGAGGGAAGGCGTCGCTGTCTCGGCTAGACGTTCGGATGGCGTCTCGAGTCCAACACCTGGGGGTAACGTCAAAGTCGTCGTCCGTGTCAGGAAGTTTTTACCTAGAGGTATGTCGCAGCCGGGAGGCACAGGTGCAGGCAAGGATAAAGTGAGCTAACCTTGGCCTGAATGGCCATTTAATGGTATAGAAACCGAGCGCAATGCGGAGTGTCTAATCGAGATGAATCCTCACACACAAATGACCAAGCTCAAAGCGCCCATTGTTGACCCAGAAGACGAAGGGAAGCCAAAGTCCCAAGCTCGCGGCAAGGTCCTGGAGGACAAGGCGTTTGTCTTTGACAACTCGTTTTGGTCTCATGACCCCAATGACGAACATTACGCTACCCAAGAGGACGTCTACAATTGTCTCGGCGAGGAATTCCTCGACCACAACTTTGAAGGATACCACACTTGCATATTTGCGTACGGGCAGACAGGTTCAGGGAAGAGTTATACCATGATGGGGACTGCGGAGCAACCTGGCTTGATACCTCGAACCTGTGAAGATCTATTCCAGCGTATCGAAAGTGCCGAGTCGCCTGATGTCAGCTACAATGTGCGCGTGTCATACTTTGAAGTGTACAACGAGCATGTTCGCGACCTGCTGGTTCCCCGAACCGACCCTCCTCATTACCTCCGCATTCGGGAGTCTCCCTCAGAGGGCCCCTATGTCAAAGATCTAACGGAGGTTACTGTCAGAAACTACAACGAACTGATGAAGTACATGCGCAAGGGCGACATGTCTCGCACAGTCGCGAGCACCAAGATGAATGACACATCTTCCAGGTCGCACGCCGTGTTCACCATCACCTTGAAGCAGATACACCACGATCTTTCGACAGATGAGACGACTGAGCGCACGGCCCGAATACGCCTGGTCGATCTTGCAGGATCTGAACGAGCCAAGTCTACTGAAGCTACTGGTCAACGACTCCGGGAAGGGTCCAACATCAACAAGTCGCTCACTACTCTGGGCAGAGTCATTGCAGCTTTGGCAGACCCTAAACATGGGCGCTCTGGAAAGCGCAAAGGAAAGGACGTGGTGCCGTACAGAGACTCGATACTCACTTGGCTGCTCAAGGACAGTCTTGGCGGAAACTCGAAGACCGCAATGATCGCATGCATTTCTCCCTCAGACTATGAGGAAACCCTTTCCACCCTTCGCTATGCGGACCAAGCGAAGCGTATTCGCACTCGTGCTCGGGTTAATCAGGACCAAATGTCTGCCGCGGAGCGTGATAAGCAGATTGCAGAAATGGCGGAGACTATCCGAGCCCTTCAGCTCAGCGTAAGCCTGGCCACTGCTAACAGGAGGGAGACCGAGATTCAGAACGAGCGACTCGAAGTCTACCAGCAAAAGGTAGAGAAGATGCAGAGACTTATGGAAGAGACCAAGATGGTCAGTGAGTGCAAGATCCGGCAACTGCAGACCGAAAATGAAGCGCTTCGCAACCATCTGAAACTTGCACTGGACAGCCTCAAAAATCCCATACCCCTGGTAACAATCGAAAAGCGCGAAAGCAGCTTATCTGCTTTGGGAGAAGAGAACGGCAACGCAGATGACGGGGTCAACGAGACCCGGCCTCAGTCGCCGATTTCTGATGCAGGACCGGAGCCCGATCTCATCTGGGAAGATGATGACACGATCCTCATCGAGGCTAGTCAGGTCAAGGCTCAGGAAATGCAGGCCGACATGGAAGATTTGCTGGGGGATTTGAACATGTTCAAACGCAAACTGGCCACCGACCATGAACGATTTCGGTTCATCCAGAGGCACGAAACTCGCAAAAGACGTCGTGCGTTGCAAGTTGTTTTGGCCAATAATCGCTAGGATATGACGCCCGACACGACGATTTCAGGGAGGGCTTTTTGTTGTATATTCAAGAGCAAGCAGGAGTTTTGGTCTCTGGAGTTGCATGGAGTTCGTGGTTATCTGTGCTTTCGGAAGTTGCCACAGGATACTTGACGATCATAGTCAGACCTTGGCTCTGCTTTCGAGTCTTTCATGATGAATATCTGCCGGTGACCCATTTGTTAAAGGGCTTCTTGTTCTTACAGCGTGTGCTCTTTCGTGGTCTTGCAATGAAACGATGGGATGATATTATGCCAGTACGATACACGTTGACGAATTGGTTTATGAGATAATAATGAAGCCAATGATTTACTTTCCGCATACAATTTCCAGGCATGAACCTAGAAAGCCTTCGTACATTGACTGGATTGCACTGCCCATATCTAAATGCAAGTATACGGCCTGAATTTTAGGGCTGCCTTAGTACCGGCCTTGGCCTTTCCTCTTTTGGGCCCTCTGACTCAACTTCCGACGTGACTTTTTGACGCTTTCGATTCCGCCGGACTTCCTCCTAACCCCACAATCACCAAGAAAAGTCGTCAATGCCCCTCTCACTTTCGCTGTTGCGTTAAATTAGTTGAGTTCGAGATGGCGACTCCTGTCAATCCACCAGGACCTTCGTCAACGTCAGAATCTGCCTCTACCGCGCCGGCGCAACAACAATCTACTTCCGAAATGCAAGCCCAGCAACAGCAACCGCCCCGCGAGGCCAAAGGAACCGCGAAGAGCGCCTCAAAACCCGCCAAGCAATCCCAAAAACCCAAAGAGGGCGCTTCCTCAACCGATGGAGCCACGCCGGCCGATACAGGATCCGAGAAACTCACGCCTGCTGAACTGAAGAAGAAGGCCAAAGCGGAAAAGGCCGCCCGCAGGGCGAAGGAGAGAGCCGAGAAAGAACAAACCGGTGGTGCGGCGCCGGCGCAGGGCTCCAATCCCGCATTTGCGAAGAAAGGGCAGGCCGGTGCCGGGGGAGCTGGTGGTGCGGGCGGGAAGGACGCTGCTGCTGCGCAGTCGCAGAAGGGACGGGGGTATCTGCCGCGTCGGGGCTCTGCGCAGGCTGCTGGGGCTGTGGAGCAGAAGAAAAAGCAGGAGGATAAGAGTGTGGCTGTTTTTGGACACCTTTATGGGCAGCAGCGGAGGACTACGGTTGCTGGGGCGGGCAAGGAGGTGCACCCTGCTGTGTTGGCTTTGGGGTTGCAGATGAGGGATTACGTGATTTGTGGGAGCAGTGCGCGGTGCGTAGCGACGTTGTTGGCGTTCAAGAGGGTATGTTCTTTTTTTTCTCCTCTCTCTTCTCTCTCGATTATGCTGATGTGTTTTTCTTCCCAAGGTGATCGAGTCCTACACAACGCCTCTTGGTACCTCCTTGGCTCGTCACTTGACTACCCACCTCTCCCACCAGATCACCTATCTCTCCACTTGCCGCCCTCTCTCGATCAGCCAGGGAAATGCTATTCGTGCGCTCAAGCTGGCTATTTCCTCGATTGACCCCTCCGTCCCAGAGGCCAGTGCCAAGGCGTCGCTAAGCGACTTTATCGACAGCTTCATCCGTGAAAAGATCACTGTTGCAGACCAGGTCATTGCGGACAGTGCCGCTCAGAAAATCCAGAATGGTGATGTGATTGTGACATACGCTGGCAGCTCGATTGTCAAGCAAACTCTTCTCACCGCACACAAGCAAGGCAAGAAGTTCCGGGTATCCATCATCGACTCTCGTCCGTTGTTCGAGGGCAAGAACCTGGCTCGGACATTGGCCAAGGCGGGTCTTGAGGTTCAGTACTCGCTTGTCAACGGCATCAGCCATGCCATTAAGGACGCTACGAAAGTGTTCCTCGGGGCTCACGCGATGACCAGCAATGGTCGGCTGTACTCACGCGTCGGCACGGCGCTGGTCGCCATGTCTGCCAAGGAGCGTGCGGGTGGTGTGGAAGTCCCCGTCATTGTATGCTGTGAGTCCGTCAAGTTCACCGACCGAGTTGCTCTTGACAGTATTGTCGTCAACGAAATTGCCGACGCCGACGAGCTGGTAATGAACGAGCCCTTGCAGCAAGTGACAGGTCTGCCCGACCCGGCTGCTGTTGCTCAACCAGAGCCCAAGAAGGGCAGCAAATCCGCTGCGAACCCCAGTCCCTCCGAATCTACTGCGGTCACACAAGGCACTTCGCCTCTGAAAGACTGGAAAGACACTCCCAACCTGCAGCTTTTGAACATCATGTACGATGTGACACCGGCCGAGTATGTTGACATGGTCGTTACCGAAATGGGCAGCTTGCCGCCAAGTGCCGTCCCAATCGTGCACCGGATGAGCACAAACTTGTGAAGTTATTCAAAATAATGACAAAAGAATCTGCTTGTTTAGTGATGACACTTCTCTGTTGTCATGGATACGGCAGAAAAGATAATTGGTCATCCAAATGATCACACCGCAGTGGCATTATCTAAGATGAAGGATGATAGCTGCATCAGTGGGCAGGACTACTGCAAGTGTCCGCTGTTTCGGATCTGCATCCTGCATGGGTTTCGTTCTGGGCAAAGGATCTACTACTTGGGGTTGACTATTCCAATGTAATGATATTCGACTTTCTGAAGCTTAGCGGGTCAATCAGAGAAAAGTTTCTTACTTAATTATGCTCCTTTATACGCCGTAATTGGAGACATGATGCCTCTCATCAATGTCTTGAAGATAGCTGAGGCAACAAAAGGAATCGATCCAAAGGCGGTGGAGCATCAGATCTTATCGCTCGTATTGTCGTATATCTTTCGTCCCTACCTTGGGTACTCTCATCTTGCCCAAACAGATACTCAGGCAACTCATATCCACCTCGCATTGCACTTAAAACTCATCAATCCTCATCCTAGCAAACTACTTGAATAAAAGGTTCTATTCCGATATTCGCTGCAATCCAACCCGCAATTCAAAATGGTTGGTCCCATCCCCATCAAACCTTCAAATCAAAATACCCGGCGTAACTAGTAACTAACCCCAGCCCAACTCTCAACAGAGCAAAGACTCCTCCCCCACAAACATCCACATGCATCATCCCCGGCTAGCAGATTACTTCGAGGAATTCACCCGCCCGCACACCTCGCAAACAGCCAACATGACCGCGTCCGCGTCCGCGTCCCACCTCTACCAGCACGGCTACAGCCACGGCGTCACGTACGGCTCCTCCTCGCCGACACTGGTCCCGTCGTACCTGCCCATCGAGGAGATCTACGTGCTGCCGCAGTATCAGCCGCCCAATCCCGAGGATGAGGATGATGTGGTGCCGGATCAGCATGCGGCGTTTGGGATTACGCGGGCGATGGAGAGGAGGAGGGAGCCTGCTTGGAGGGATTTCGGGTTGGAGGGGTTGGTTGCTGGTGGGGGAGTGGGGTGGGAAGGGAAGGGGTGAAGGTGAGGGTTAAGGAGACGGGACGGTTGATGGGTGGGAAGAGGACGGTTTGTTTGCGGTGATGGTGCTCCATGTTATTCCGTATTTGGGTGTTTCTTTAGAGCGAGGTGTTATGGTTTATTTTCTCCATTGATACCAGGGTCCAGGGTCAGGGAACAAGGTCATTATTATTGTCATGTCTATCGTGACTCGCGGCCGTGTAGCGGCGGTAATATACAATTATATGCGAATAATGTCCACCCGTGCCCGTTCGTAGAGCTTATGACTTAGCTGTTTCTGTTCTCGTTCGTCGTTTGCTATTACGCGTGGGTGAATCGCCATCTGTGCATACGTCCCCGCTGCTCGTCGTTTGGATAGTGTGCCGGGGTTGATCACGAGGACGCTGTCAACGACCTGGACGATCGGTATTAGAATAGAGAACAAGAGCGAAAGACACTGGGGAAATACCTTGACAAATGGGGGGAGTAGACTTGGGGTAATCAACACGTCCGGTCGTACATTCCACCACTCTCCCAGCTTGGAGTAGCTGAGGTCTAACATGGCTCCCGTCGCAACACCGTTTTCAGTTGCTGGTTTGGGAAGGTTCTCGCGGGAGGAGGGAGGGAACATGGGGAGGAAATGCCGTTGTTCGATGAGATATTTGGGCAACCGAGTCAGGAGACTGCCTTCTTTGGGTTTGCCGTGCAGGACTTCCTCTCGTCGCAAATCGTATAGCACGTCATACGAGCACATGCCGATGACGGTCTCGTTGAAGGATAATGTCACTGGGTTGGATACCATCCGCACCTGTTTTGGTAACCCGAGCTCTTTCTTCGGTAACTGCTCCTGCGGCCAGGAGACGTGCTTGCTCAAAGCGTCCCGAACGGACGGTATCATCACGATCGTAATGCTGGGCACAGCTGCGACGAGTTTCTGCAGCGGCGCTGTGATGCAGTGTCTGAACACAGTTGCCAATGTGGCAGTGTCGGGGTCAAATCCTTTCATATTGGGGAGATCAAAGTCCCCTGATGACAGAAGCGGATGCTCAACATCCATGAAAGGCCCCATCAGTACAAGACTGTCCGCATAGTCCTCAGCGGCTTTCTGACAGATCTCGTGTAGCGGCTCAAAAGCGAGATTGTCATCTGCTGTGTATGGTCCCGAGGCAATCAACACATTCAATGGTGAGGGAGAGCCGGCTCCCTCTAGCCTCTGGTTGATACCGTCCATAGTAACCGGAGAAGACGCTGCAGGTGGTAGTAGGGGTGGGCGCAACACCTCTTTAACGGAGAAATAGCTCCCTGAGGCATTGATCCCCCTCAGCGCAACTATTTGTCCAGGGAAAAAATTCGCTGACGGTACTGAATCCAAGTTCAGTGGTACACGTAGACCAGCACCTGTTCGTCTGGAAGTCTCAAGAACAAGTGACGCAGGATTTAGCTTTCCTTCCAAGCTGTCCGAAGCGATTCGTCCGACGGCGATAATCTCGCTTGTGCTCTGGATAGCGGCGCTGCCAAAGTTGACATCTTCCGTTTCATATTCTTTCTGGTAAATTTCGGTAAACTCATCGATCCGGTCGTCCAAAATTTCCGATGCTTCAGAAACACGCATCGCCAACGGCTTATAACCAAACTTCTTGAGGTCCGTGTTCGCAGTGGGCCGTATCCTGGCTTCTGAAAAAGGTGCCATTGGCGTCTCGGGCATAGACAAATGCTCATTGAGAGTTTCTATGATCTGTCCAGGATTGGGTCGTTCTGAAAAAGGCACGGATCTGTTCTCAGTCAGCCGAGCTCTCGGATCTCACGAGACTGACTCATACTGTAGTCCATCGACTGCGCCGCCGCCGTTTACAGCTGCCGCAGCAGGTTTTGAATTTGGAGACTGGTGATTATCGGTCTTTCCGACCTTTATAAGCGAAGGAGATCCGAAGTCTGACCTGCGTTTCGTCGAACTATTCATACCAGTTGGAGTTCGGCCAGGGCCATTCGGTGTCAATCCGTCCAATCTAAGTAAACAGTGCTTGATAAGCGCTTCCGACCTGACACAATAGTGGTATGATGCTCAAAGGGCCTTACATTCCGAAAACATCGGACGTATTCGCTGCTCGCGGAGTCGCTGTCACTGCGCTTCGTTTTTCTGTCTGCCTGCCTGCCCTTCCTCGACTTTCTCTTTCCAACGCTTCCTGAACATCTCGCTTGAATAGCCGAACTGTCTCCAGATTCAGCTTGGTGTCTTCCGCACCCATCTTCAAGCAATACGATTCCCATTTGTAGAAGAGCTCCTGTGGGGGAATCGAATGCACACGCAGTATAGACTGCAACTCCGCAAGGACGTCCTTGGGTAATCCATCTGGCGATGTGGCCGCGAAGAGCTCATTGAGCTCTGCTGTAACATCATCCATATCCATCTTCGTATAAGGATATCGAGGTCAATTTGATGCAGCAAGAATGAGCAATTGCACTGTCAGTTGCTAAAACTTCCGCCATAGGTAAAACGCGTCAGACACGCGTGGGATACGCGACGCCATTAATTGGTCACCGCCTACCGTTTTCTGATACTCTACGTCTTAGGCATCTACTAAGGTACTAACTAATCGATAATCGTCTTTTGTTATCCTCCAGTGGGGCTTTGTCGATCTCGATGAGGATTGGCGAAAATAAGAAAAAGCAAAGAAGAAAAGTTCTGACTCCTGTGACATAACTTCAGCACTCGTTTAGACCATTGACGCTTAGATTTATGAGATATAGAAAGTTGGTTTGAAAGTATAACTTGATCACAATGAGTGCACCGTCAGAAGCTCCCGCTGCTGCAACAGCTCCAGTCACCGACTCACAGGCCAATGCTCCAGCTTTGTCGTCTCCGTCAAATCCGGTTGAGGATCAAAGTCCTGCTGCGACTACATTGCAATCTACGGCCCAGGTTCCGCCTTCTAATACCAGTGCGAATAATGAGAAAGATATTGAATCGAACCTCCCGACTTCCGCTGCTGATGGCCTCGTTCAGAGACCATTCCCTCGCCCTCTTGATACAGCAAAACCAGCGGCTCCTGCTGAACTTACCCCTGATCAACAATCGAAATATGAGGCAGTCCTGAAGGCGGTTTCTGAATGGACCACTGTTCCGACAACATCGGCAAAAAATGCTCCCACGGCCCCAATCACAGACGATGAGCGCCTGTTCTTGACCCGGGAATGTCTTCTGCGGTACTTGCGCGCTACGAAATGGAATGTCGCCGAAGCTATCACCCGACTTCAGCGCACTCTCACTTGGCGCCGCGAATATGGCCTGGAAAAGCTGACTCCGGACTACATCTCAATTGAGAACGAGACAGGTAAGCAGGTTATTCTCGGATACGACATCCATGCGCGACCCTGTCTCTACCTCTTGCCCTCCAACCAGAACACGGAGAAGAGTGACCGCCAGGTTGAGCACCTAGTCTTCATGCTGGAGCGCGTGATCGACCTTATGGGGCCGGACCAGGAAACTTTGGCACTTATTGTGAATTTCAATGAGACGAAGTCTGGGCAGAACGCGAGTTTGGGTCAAGCTAAGCAGACGCTAAACATTCTTCAAAACCACTATCCGGAGAGATTGGGACGGGCATTGGTGATAAATGGTAAGTGATTCTGTTGTTTTGATGTCTACTCATTAGTCTGACTACCTTGGTGATCTTAGTGCCGTTCGTCATCTGGGGCTTTTTCAAAGTAATCACTCCGTTTATCGACCCATTGACTCGGGAGAAGTTGAAGTTCAACGAAGATCTTCGGCAGCATGTGCCTGCCGGCCACCTGATGAAATCCGTAGGTGGTGATGTGGAATTCCGATATGATCATTCCATATACTGGCCGGCTTTGAATCAGCTGGCTGATAAGAAAAGGAACGAGTACCGACAGCGCTGGATCCAGGGAGGCAAGCGTATCGGAGAGTTCGAGCATTATCTCAAGACCGGTACCAGCCCCAGTCTGTCTCAGTCCGAGAGCACCAACGGGGTTAGCGAGAAGCCGTGACAGGACTTCTTCAACCTCCTATGGCCATCACCTATGCGCCGTCTCTTCGTTTTTCTTCCTGTTTTTCTACACGTGGGTCAAACGTCTCATAATTGCTTAGCCTGTTGCTGGAGGTATCTGTGCAACACTGAGCGTCATAATCTGCTGGGGAATCCGGTGTATATTCCCTTGACCTTCGGCCTCTTCCATGATTAATGTTTGCTTCTTCTTCCCACCAGCCTTTCTTTCCCAAGTCTTGTTGTATTTTGAGGCTTTTCCTGCCTGCTTTCGGACTAATAGACGCTTATATTACATGCTCGTTAAGAGGCTATACTCTGGAAAGAGCGGAATGTATATAGAACTGCAGCTACCTCCTCTCTATAAACTTGAGATACAATCGATGCTGTCATGTAATCACTGTTGGGAGTCACGTGCCCTGGCGGGGCAATCAGTGGGATATAGGTGAGTATCTCCAACTTTGTTTGATATATCTGTGCTTCTCAATGACCATTGAGACCTCTATCCTGCCTTATATTGCTAGAAAGAGGTATGGAGTATACTCCGTATTATTCACAACTCCACAACCCGGATAATACAGCACTCTCTTCTCCATCTCCGGGCAGCAGTTAAAAAGTAGTAACAAAGCAGTCTCTAGATGTCCTTCTGTAGTCTAACCAGTTTAGCCAATGGACCTGCCGATCCAACAGCCAGCAGCATCCTTTTGTCTAGCTATATCTATTTTTATTTGTTCTTTCCTCAGTTTCAGCCCATACCTCTGTCTGTCTCGCGGGTGTGTATCGAGATCAATCCAACTCAATTTATCTACCTGTCAGCGCGCGAATCATATCTAGCTCTAGACTACAGTACTTCCATCTTGAGAACATAAAGCGGCAAGGGCGGCACACCACTGTATCCCCAGTCAAGGACAAGCTACCTAAGCTGCAGCAGAGAAAAAGAAGCAAACAAAATCCAGTGATCCTCATTCGCATCCACTACCATCCTGAGGCGTCCTAGTTGACCACAAACCCCATCCTCCTCATGCGGCTCTCCTTGCAATAGACCCAGGCAGTCAATCCCACTTATGATCATTTAGAGGGGTATTCTTATTACTGCTACTATTATTATTATTCCGATGACGATGGCGGAACATGCCTCTCAGTGGATGATGCAGCAGCCCCCACAGGCAGAAACAGCTTGCCGCCCGAACCCACCACCACAACCGCAACGGCCAACGACACTCCGACTCCCACTGCCGCGTATGCTACCATCTCCGCCAACACTACCACCACAACCACCACCACCACCAACACCATTACTTCCTCGACGCCTGATCTTAATATCGTCCACGGTCACGAGGGCCCTTTTGTGCAGCCCTCATCCTACCTTCGCCCGCGAGATCTCTCACATCCAATGCGCCCATCTGAGCCCGAGAGGGCAATTGATCGGGAAGAGCGTGAGGGTCTAGTGAGTCTACCCCTCTTTTTGCTTTTTTTCCTTGCTCTTCTTAGTCAACTTGTGTTGTTTGCAACTATTCATTTGTTTTTTTTATTGCAATTTCTTCCTTGCAGGTGCTTGAATTACTGAAGAGCACCCCACGTGCGCTATGTATTACTGGTTGGGTCTTTATATCATGGCGGGATCTTCCAGAATTAGAGCTCTTCATGCAGCACAGTTTCCCATTGCATTTGTCTCCGCGATGACGGCCTTATGCATTTGGCTAACAGGTTCCCTTGCTTGGATATGGTGTAGCGTGCCATCCGTAACTTCCTCAAAGTCCGCACCAGCTACGATGTTCTTCCGCTCAGTTTCCGGCTCATCATATTCGATACTTCGCTCTCTGTCAAGGAGAGTTTGAATATCCTGATTCAAAATGGCATGTATACATTCTTCTTGCTTGCAAGGTGGTCCCTCGGAATGTCCTGAAAATACTCTCCGAAGGCCGCAACCATCCCAATATTTCTACGGTCCAGATTGGAACACAATAAGCTGACTGTGGATGTGCGCGGTGTGACCTACAGGCATCGTATCAGCTCCGTTATGGGATTCAAAGACCTCTACCTTTGCCGGTCTTCTGACCACTTCCGACTACATCAACGTCATACAGTATTATTTCCAGAATCCCGCGGCACTGGACCAGATTGACCAATTTCGACTGGACAGTCTTCGAGGTGCGTCCCTGATGTCTCGATACTTGTGAATTGACCCTGTGCAACCTGAAACTGAACAGATATCACAGAGGTGGAAAAGGCTCTCGGTGTTGCTCCGCCGGAAACCATTTCGATCGACCCAGAACGGCCGCTTTACGAGGCCTGTCGACGCATGCTCGAATCTCGCGCTCGCAGAATCCCTCTCGTTACAAATGATAGCCAAACGGACCGGCCTCATGTTCTCAGCGTGGTGACTCAGTACCGAATACTCAAGTTCGTGGCGGTCAATGTTAGTGACACACAAAAGTTAAAGAAGCCGCTCAAGGAAATTCTGTTGGGCACCTATGATAATATCGCCACGGCGTCAATGGATACACCAGTAATTGATGTCATCCACATACTCGTGGAGCGGAGTATATCTAGCGTGCCCATCCTGAACTCGGAAGGTAAGTTCGAACTCTCGTCTCGCAGGTCAACTCCAGTGTCCGGCTAACCGGAACTCCCAGGTGTTGTCTACAATGTCTTTGAAGCGGTAGATGTTATCACACTGATCAAGGGAGGCGTATATGATGACCTCAGTCTCACGGTCGGCGAAGCCTTGAAGAAACGAAGTGCGGTACGTTCTCTTTTTTCTACAGCCTTCCCCGGATCCATTGCTGACATCAGTCGCAGGAATTTCCCGGTATTTACACATGTTCTCTGAACGACGGTCTGGACACCATTTTCGATACTATTCGCAAATCTCGCGTGCACCGCCTGGTTGTGGTGGATGGAGACTTCCGACTCAAGGGCGTTCTCACTCTGAGTGATATCTTACAATATATTCTCCTCGAGGGCGAAAATGACGAATCATCATGATATGGAAGAGATTTCCTGCGCAAAAGCGGTCCCGGATATATCTAAAAATTGCATGGAAACGGCGTTGACTCACTTCTACATCGGATCGATTTTGAGGCTTGCAACATCAGGTTTGGCTGGTAACAAATGGCTACGCCGCATATTCATTGTTCCCTGTCAGCCATTTTTCTTCCTTTCATTGCTTTTATTCTTGCCTTGTCCTTATATGAGGATGCCACGATGTAAAAACGCACGCACGAAAGGTAATGGGATGGTTGTCCTTGGCTCCATCTGCGCTATATTCGAAGGCGCTTGGCTCGACAACAATAGATTTCATTTTGATGATACGTCTCTATTTTCCAACAATTCATGTTTACTCTTCGTCTCTGTGGTTCCTTTTGTCATGACTTTTCTTTTTCCGTTCGCCCGCAAGACATGAAGGAGACCTAGACCGGAGTTGTCCGATGCTGTTGACACATCTGTCGGAAAGAAGGAACGAAGAACAGCACATTGATCACGCTGCCTGCCTTCTGTCAACAAAATCTTTCACAACTCGGGAAAGCGCACAGTGACCACACCATTATGCTGACGGTCAAAGGAGGGCCGGGATAATTTCTCGTCTACGTGAGCATTATACCACACTTCATATCCTTCAATGCTAGACAACGACTCCTTCTCATGTGAGAATGGGACTCTTCAATACTTTCTTTAGAGCCTCAGAGCAAGCCAATGAGAGAACTTTAGAGGGCAGGCAGTCGTGGACCTGGGTACACCGCACACGAGCGGTCGCTGTCGCACAGGCTGCTCACCGAACAAATCCGTCTCTAAAACAAGCCTCGAATGAACAAGGTACAATCGGAATAGGCGCAGCCAACGATGGCCACTGCTCCAAGGAGTATCATGTCAATGAGCCTGAATCTAAACCCACATCAGCTGGGAGTCTCGAACAGGCACTTACTTCTGGTGACTCTGACCCTTCCTCGAACTATTCATGTCTTAAAACAGACTCGCAACAAGCATTCACAGAATCACAGCATCCAGTGGCAGGCTCGAAGGGACTTGCAGGCTTTATGACGTCCCTTCGTTCTCGCAAGCCTCGGCACCGGAAATCGCTAATGCGACTTGGGGGGCGGTCTCGACAAAATGACTGTACCCTTCACGGCGCAAGAACGGATTGTGTATGCATTAGCTCCAGGGAAAACTCACCTATAGACAATGATGCAGATGAACACCAGGAGTCCCGCAAAGCCAGTGACAAGACCCTCGAATCTGTCAATTCCAACCTCACAACCGAGACTGTCTGTCGCCACCCTTCCCGAAACACGTCCAATCCGATCCCCCTTATCGAACGGGAATATGTATACGAGAATCGTTTCGATGAAGTTGAGGAATCGCCCCAATTAGTAGCGGTTTCCAACCCATTCACAGACCGATTCAAAGCCGCCTCTCGATCCAGCAGGGACTCCAGCTCAATCTATAGTCTTACCGATTCTCAGAAGCCGCAGAACCTCCATGTCTACAAAAGGTCAAGAAGGCCTGTCATCTGCACCGACCTGGATATCATGGGAAGCTTGTCACGGGAGAGTTCTCTTCCCATGTCGTGCTTAGATAATGGCAATTGGTCAGACATTTTCGATCGGCGCAAAGCTGCCATAGCGTTTAATGATCTATCTATCAAACTGAATTTGAAACCTTTGCCCTTGAGCAATCCTAAACTTCCGGGAGGCGGCGATTGCTCTCATGCTCATCCCACTTCAGGTAAGTTGAGTGTATTGACGGCATTTAAGGGGGATTGCTGACGAAAACTTTTGTCGCGGATATCAGGCTCGCGGCCCTGCGACGTTGCGAGGGACCTGCATCGACGGCGGGATAGGATTATTCGTCGGATCAGAACAGTGCGATCGACCTTCCATCTCAAGGCCCAGAGTATGCCACGGGAGCGAAAGTTGCGTCGAATGAAAACATTTGCCAACCTCTCCTACTGTTCTTATCGGATGGATTCGCTAGCTGGAAAGTCTTTGGAAACTCTAGCTCGCCTTGGGGGCCACAGCTTCTTGGCCTATCCCGGAGACTTTGCACCCACGGCGCTTAAGTTACCCGTGTGCCTTGTGGCGACGGCGACCTATCTGAGATGTCGTGGTACGCGTCCCCTGAATCCCAGAGATGAATCGTTTGCTTATTCAAGCGAGCTGCAGGTCCACTTGTGCGAGACTTGTTCTTCGACCCGGGTGATTTGGGCGCAGCTGCACAGATATATGGATATTTCGCCAGCCAGGTGCTATCCAGTGAGAGAGAGCAGGACAAGATTCAGATTACGATGGGCAGTGGCGAGATGCCGTCCGAATTGATGAGCATCCTGAGTTCGATCCAGTCGCAGCGACATTCGACTCACATCCTCAGCGTCGGGTGGGTGTTCAAGTGCCTGCTTGCTGGGCTTCCTGGCGGCGTTTTGGGATCCACGCACCTGTACAGCGCCCTGTTGGATATCTACATCAAGACTCCTTCCTTGGAGGACAAGCTCAACAGCCCTGACCAAAAGCTCAAACGGACGCGTAGCTGTCTCGGAGGGCTAACTCAAGCAAGGTACACAAGGATCAAAGCGATTGGCCTCGCCATTCTAGCCTTGGCGGGTCCCATGCAACTGGAGCTGATGTGCGCTGTTTTCGGGTTATGTGCCTTTTACGTGCATGAAACGAGACGAATTGTGGAGTATGAGCGGCATGGGTACAAAACTGGCGTTGGAAAACTTGAATTCGTAACGCGTTCGCAGATATTGGAAGGGCTCGGCCAGGTCTTTGGGCCCCTGCTGACGGATCAAGGGCCAGAAAGTGCTTATGATCTGGAGACCCTGCGCAAGCTTGAGAAGAATCGCACATATGTGGCGATGATGCTGATTGCTAACTGGCGAGCGGTAAGTCGCCAATTGCGGGTTTGGGAAGATCAAGTGCACGTGCCCGAGCGACTTACAATATCTTGGTCGTCTGAGGGTTCGGAATAGCTTGGATGGAGCAGATGATGGACCATTAATCTTGCTTGGTTCAACGGGCCGGCTTGTGGGTACGGGACGATTCTTGGACTGTGTACGCAGTACTCTGGGATTTTGTAGAATGATTTGTTATAACCTGATGGTTCTTGGTTTTTCAGTCAGGCTGAGCCGCGGTGGAGCCCGACCAGACGATCCTTGTGGGCATTCGATGAATGAGATGGCGGACAGCCAAGGGCTATCCTGGTCGGGATTCGTGTACAATTAGCTGGATTGGTTGGTGTGACAAGAAGTGAATGCGGGGGAAATACATAGTAGACCTCCAGCAGTACCTTTATCATCATAATGACACAAGCGGCTTGTCTGCTCTTCTACCCCTGGCGGAAGTACGACTTATTATGGACAAGGAATATGGCACTACTGTCCATACCATTGGTGGGTAGTTAGGCGAGTACCCTATAAGATAGATCGCCGTGGTCATAGCTGTTGGCAGGATTCATATTTTATATCTAGATAGTGGGTAGTTCAGTAGACCCTTTTCATGTTCGTTCCAACACGTCCCGGATCAAGCGTTCGAAAGGATATATATACTATCTGGAAGTCCGACGATACTTTACGTCCACCAATATCCCGCTCACGCCGTAAGATAAATCATCACAGGATAATATGTACCTTCGCAGTGAATTGAGGATGATAAGAATGAATACCTACGGAGTATTGGCCGTTGGTTGGCTAGGATAAGAAACCCCCCAAAAATCAGATCCAGTTTCTCGAGGTTGGAATTGGAATTGAGTTAGCTGGAGTGGCGGAGGATGAAACGGCTAGTGGGAGTCGCGTTATTGCTCGCCTCCTGGGCAATGGACGAGGACAAGCGATCCAAAGGGTGGAGCAGACGCCGATCCCTGAACGGTGATTGTCGGATTTCTGGACCGGCAGATTGTAGTCGAGGTCTGTACTCTACCACTGGAAGCAGGTACCTTGACGGGACTCTTTCCGGGATGCGGACCAGAATATGTGTGGAGTGTATGGAGTACAGTACATTGGAAGATGGTCTCGATGAGGTGATGACCCCTTGGATGCAGGGTAAACCTGATTCTGTGACTCGATGAGGGACTCTGGACTGTGGACTCTGGATTCTGGCTCGCTGAGTGAGACACTGAGACGCGTGTCTTGAGTGTCACTTGTAGATACTTGTTGATTTATCTTGATATTTGTGTAGTACTCAGTGGAGCACTACAGATAAAAGTCGAGGTTCTTGACTGTTGAACCTGAGTGGAGCGATGCTGGAGGTGACGTGATCATTAACATCATACCTTGGCTTGAACCTGAACGTCGATCCATGAATGTGCTGAACTGTAAGTTATCTATCTATCTCATTTCTTACTTCGGATATTGGCCGGATCCATGGTTTATAAGGGTGAGTGGCAGGTTGACAGCAGACTGCCGTGGTTGAAGAGTGTGTACGTGAGCCTTAGTGTTAGGCTTGGAGCAACTTGAGTATCTGGCAACTGTTGGGATTTTGAATTCCTGATGTGTTTAGCTATGCAGAGAGAGACAGGTGGCAATTATTAAATGCTAGAGAGCTGTCATATCTCATATTACATTAAATATGCACGTGCTGATGCAAGGGAGGAAGGCTGGAAGTGTCTACTATTGAGTGTCTGGCGTGTCTGCTGCGAGTAAAAGGGAACTTGCGGATATACTCTAGTACAGTACCTTAATCAGGGCCACCTAACCCGGTACGGATTACGGAACCCATCAAGAAGAAAAGCAAGTGGCGAATCAGCGGCCATAAACGCTGAGTCAGCCTGTCAATGACGTCACTAGGTTCCAGCTATGGTGGGGGTTCGTGTCCGGAATAAAGCTCAGCCCAATCAGAGGTGAGAACGAAAGGCGCCCCTGCCTGTTTAGGAAAGTACCTCTCATCTATCCTAGCTGGTTGTGGAAGTACCACAGGTGTCAAGCGTAAGCAAAGTACGTTACTCTTTTCTACGGATAGATACATAGTACCAAGTACGAACCTTTGTTCTTGGGTCAGGGCCTCAGGCCTCTTGCCTTTGATCCCCTGCCTAAAGGAAGAGAAACAAGGAAAAACGGTTATTAGCCAATTGCTTTTATGGTTCTCCAGTCAATAAATGTTACTCCCTCCGCGATGTCCCAGCCAATGATGGTCCCTACCGGCATCATCAACTCTTCAACCTCCGTCAATTCCATTCAGATCATCAGTTTCCTAAAGAGTTCATCCCCTCCCATTTTCACAAGGTCCAACCTGTTCTGGGTTCTCACAGGTCGAGATCTTCGTCCACCAACGGGACTACTAGATGTCGCCATTAATCTCATCATGGAGGGTTTCAAGTAGATAGGTAGATAACGCACGCTGTCGCAGGTCTATCTCCTCATTGGGGTTATATAAGTTTCGATTCCGGTGTCTTATAACCACAACCCTGTCTATGGGTACCACGTTACTATCCCTATGGAAGAGACAGAAACAGGGAACTATATTATAATAAGATATAAGGGGTATATCAAACAGAATAAGTGCGCTGTTTATCTGACCACCACACGATATTGATTCTCTTACTTCCACATTGGCAGCGGCAGTTGCCATCGCAAACAATTGCAGTCTCAACCTCAATGATTGTCCTGTCTATCATCTGGACAGGGAAGTGATTTCTGTCTGGTTTCCTCAAAACTTGTTCTTCCTTTCTCTCTTTCATCATCAACTCCTTCCCTTAAACAGATCTCCTCCTTTTCTTCGGCGTTCCCTCTTTGCCAGCCACTCATACACTCCCCACTTTGTTTCTCCTTCCATGCTTTTTGCGCTCCCCTGGTTGCAACAACTCGGATCTGACCACAAACCACTCCATTTCCTCCCTCTCAATTCTCGTTCTCTGGGGTTCTTCACGGATTCTAGACTCATCTTCGCTGAATTCCCTTTTTCGGTCTTCTCCTCGCCAACGCGGTTTTATTCTCCTGTCCCTTCTTATTCGCCTTGTTCTCCTTCCTTCCTTCTCTTGGATCAGGTTATCCACGTCCGCCTCTTACCACCAACTACGGTACTCTTTTTCACTCTCCCTTTCTCCTCCCTCTGCAGCTACCTCGTCCCTTGCCTCTAAACATACAAAGTCTCAAGCAAATCCTTCCCGCTGCCCCTCCCGCTCTGATTGTTTGGCCGGATTCAAGCTGTCACTTCTCGGCCCGCCACTTACACTCCCGCCCTATCAATCAATCCACGACTGCTATAGATATCTAACTCATTCGTCTTCTTGTTTTCTTCTTCTTTCTGTCTTGCTCCTTTAATATCATTTTTGACAGCTTTCTCTCTCATCCTTACCTAATTCAAATACCATTGTCTGTGGCGTACTCTTCAGCTCGAACCCCTTGTACAACGCATCGTGCAACCATTGCTCCCGATGTCCACTCTCAATATGTTACCGGAGCAATCCACCTTTGGCCGGTCTGCAATGCCTGGTCCAGATGCTGTCAATCCTGGCCCCTCACCGTTTGCTCCTCCTAATTCCTTCCCTGGTGACTTCCTTGGACTCTCGCTCCCCGACGAAGAGCATCTCTGGGGTATGAGTCCTATCTCTTCCTCCATGCCCCCGTGGAACGGAAAGAACGAACAGATGTTCTCTAATCCTAACCTTGAACGCGACCTCAAGCACTCCCATGTCCGCAATGGCCAGCCTACTCCACCTCCATACGGTGACAACAAGACCCACGCGGTCGGCGATCTATACTCGCTGTCTCAGTGCCAATTCTCCAACGGAGCCCAAAATTTCCAGACCCATAACGATCGTAGAAGCTTCTGTGAGCAGTCGGCCATAAATAGCAACGGCGGCGGCTCCAAACGTCGCAAGGTTCGCGACTCCAAGATGACCCAGGCCGAATACAACGAACAGCAGCAGGAGCAGGCCAAGCGGGAGAAGTTCCTGGAACGCAACCGATTGGCCGCCAGCAAATGCCGGCAGAAGAAGAAAGAGCATACACAGCTTCTTGAGACGCGATATAGGGAGCAGTCTGACAAGAAGGAGCAATTGGTGTCTGAGATTGCACGCCTGCGCTCGGAGATTCTTGGCCTGAAGAACGAAGTCCTGAAGCACGCTCAATGTGGAGATGAGCCGATCAAGCTCCATCTGGCACAGATGGTGAAGAAGATTACCTACAATGACATAAGGGCCCCGGAGTTGACCGACGTGGGGATGCACAAACCTCTTCAGAAGGGCCGGTGACCCCTCGACCTCAGCAGGCGCTGTCCTTTGGCTTTGATGATCCGCTGCACCTGGAACCATCTCGTACCGGCGAGTCCATGGACCAGTCCGTCCGTCGGGACTCGGAGGCGTCCGTCCTGACGGAGAACTCTTATGCCTTTTCGACCGACGACAGCTTTGATGATTTGATCAACGTTTGAGCCTTCTTTCAACCCTGATGTGACAATGACCTCGTGCTTTGCTTTGATGACTATTACTACTGCGACGATCCATACTGGCGCCTGGTTCGGAAAAAGTATGGAAACAAGGGTCTGCGGATTAGCCTGCTTGCTATTTCACCTTCTGACGAAGGAACTGATTGATTTTCGGAGTTAAATGAGGATGCTAGGCGGTATCATTCTTACAGTGGTTTATGGGATGGTTTGTGCTCTGCTTGCTTTGGTTTTGGTTTGATGCTGGCTTGTTCAAGGGAGGTTCCTCTGCGACTGGGTACCGGGAGTACTCATGATGATAGTAATTCATGAATGATAGATGTACATTAGGGCGAATCAAGCCTGCTCAGTGCTATTCAATAGTGGTACCAGTAGAGATTTAGTAGCAACAAGTGTTTTTCAGCTGCTCAACTAGTAATACAATGCAATATCCAGAATCATTTGTCTCATCTAAGCTGTGTACTATCTAGATCACGAAGAAGCACTTCCAGCCTCCACATGCAATATACTCCCATCCTTGCCATTATCACCATCACCATCCCTAGCAGCCTCACAACCAGCCTCCCTCCGACTTTCCCAGTGAGGGGAACAACCCCTCTCAAACAACGCACTAATCTCCTCCAACGACTTCCCCTCGTCTCGAGCACGCACCCCCACACAAACCCCACAATCAACAGGTCCAACCCCCCAAACAGCAAGAACGTAGCCCATTTAAATTTATTCAAGATAAACGGCGTGCTAAACGACCACACGAAATTGAAGGCCCATTGCGCGCCAACACCCACCGCCACACCGGGCTCGCGGATGCGCGTGGGGAAGAGCTCGGAGACGCAGGGCCAGGGGAGGGGCCCCAGGAGAGATTGTAGGCTGCGATGTCGAGGTAGATTAGGGTGATGGTTGCGATAGCTGCTGGCGTGAGGGCGGTGCTTTTTCCTTGTGAGGATGCTGGGGGATAGGATTTCAGGACGGCGGCGGTGGCGAGCATGCAGGCGGACATGGCTGCTGCGCCGGAGAGGAGGAGGGCCGGCGGCCGAAGCGGTCGGAAAGGAAGAGAAGGAAGAGAAGGCAAGATAGTACTTTTATGGCGCCGAAGATGCCTGTTAGGAGGAGGGGGGTGGTAGAACTCTCACTGTTGCTGTCGCTCGGGCCGACGAGGAGGGAGAAGAACTGCGGGGCGAAGTAGGCGAGGGCGGTGGCGCCTGTGGATTGTTGGGCGAGGAAGAGGCCGAAGGCTAGGAGGAGGCGGCGCGCATTAGGGCCGGCGAGGAGCTCGCGGGGGTGGAAATCGGCTGTTGCGGTGCGTTCTTGCTCGAGGCCGTGGCGCATGTCCGTGAATTCGGCGGAGAGGGCGGCGGGGGAGGATGCGGACGAGGCGCGGATCCAGAGCAGGCTGGAGTGGGCGCGGGCGTGGTCGTCCTTGGCAAGGAGCCAGCGGACGCTCTCGGGGAGGGTGGTGGTGCCGAGGCCCATGAGGGCGCCGGGGACGAGCTGCAGGGCGATGGGGATCTGCCACTGGGCTGGGGAGGGGGCCATGAACTTGACGGCATAGTCGATCCAGTACGAGACGAGGATGCCGATGGTGTAGGTGAACTGGTAGCAGCTGCCGAGGCGGGCGCGCGACTCCTTAGGGCTCATCTCGGCCATGTAGATGGGGATGACGGTGGCGGAGCCTCCGATGCCCAGGCCGCAGATTACCCGGCCGGCGTAGAACAGGGTCAGCGAGTGCGAGTTGATGACCTCGAGGATGACCCCCGCGCAGAAGACGGCGGAGCATGCCATCATGGCGAGACGACGGCCCCAGCGGTTCGTCACGGGCCAGACGGCGAAGCAGCCTACCAGGGCGCCGGCCTGCTGGATGCCGACGGCGATGGAGCTGACGCGAGTCTTGTCTGCGGGACTGTATCGGAAGTCGCGCGCAAAGGACTCAAAGGTCAGCACTCCTCCTGTAGATCATCAGCCTTCGCGCTCGAATATAACAGGGGTAATGCTGGGGACACTAACCAATCACCCCGGAGTCATATCCAAACAACGCACCACCGCAGCAAAGCACAGCTGCCAGCCAGAACAGCCGTAAGCTGGCAAGACGAGAATTCGTCTGCTTGGTTGAGTCCGGAAGAACAAGATCAAGATCGTCAGGATCATGTTGAGGGACCTCGGTGTACGGCCTCATTTTGTGCAAGTGTCAAGAAGACATCCGGTCCAGCAGTAAATAGTGACATTTGGTTCTACCGGTAAGAACGCGGAAAAGGAATCAACGTGGTGACGGCCCGATCGGATAGACCCAGAGGATCACTTATTCAAAGAACCAAGCAATGTAATGATGGCATTGTGAGTGTACTGTTGACGCTGAGATTGATCAACACACCGATATTTGATTATGTCAGGCGCATGACGTACGTTCGTTATCTGTTAGCCGACTGCCGACTGCACAACAGAGTGGAGAGATCACGCCATGATGGACTGTCAAAGATGAGTTTCAAAGAGAGAAAGACGAGGATAACAAATGCAAGTCCATATTGCAGCTGCGTGGACGCTGTAAGGTCTCACTGATTACCAAATCCGGACACCCCGCGGTCCCCTCACTGACAGGGAAAATAACACCCCACTCAAAGCATTGTCTCATGAAGTTGGATGGTCAATTATGGGAAGTCTAACTATCGAGTGAGCCAATAATATAGAAACATCCAACAGCAAATGTCCAGGTACACTCCTGGGAATGGCTACACAGCCGACAGCCGATGGGCGATGGTGGTCAAATGAAAGATCATCCGGCAAGTACGTAGTCCTACTGGACTGTCTTGGATTATCAAGTCAAAACTAAATGCGCAACTAGTTCAATTGGTCTGATGCAAGATACATTGACAACAACCTAACCACCACTGGTGGCTGGCTGATACATAATGGCGGCGCTGCTCTCCCTCATCTCCCCTCCTCCCTTCAGATCTCCCTGCCTCATTCTCGGCACCGTCTTGTTGCTCTATCATGGCTAAACGTCCCAATTTCCTCGTCATCGTCGCCGACGACTTGGGTTTCTCCGATGTAGGCTGCTTCGGAGGAGAAATCCGCACACCCAGTATCGATCGTCTTGCTCTCAATGGAGGCGTACGTTTCACAGACTTTCATGCTGCGGCTGCTTGTTCGTGAGTGTCTTTTTTTCTAGCATTAGATCGTCCTCTTGACCTGGAGTAACCGCGATAGTCCCACCCGCGCCATGATCATGACCGGGACAGATCACCACATCGCAGGTCTCGGGAACCTGATCGAATGGACCAACATCTCCGGGCAGAACGGACCCAAGGGCTCCCAGATGAGCACGGCACCGCAGCGTGGAATGCCGGGTTATGAGGGATACTTGAACGAGCGCGTCGTTGCGCTGCCTGAGTTGCTGCGGGATGCCGGCTACCACACCGTCATGTCTGGGAAATGGCATCTGGGCCTCACGCCCGAGCGATCGCCGCACAAGCGAGGCTTCGAGCGCTCCTTTGCCCATCTGCCTGCATGCTCGAACCACTATGCTTACGAGCCCCAGCTCCAGGGGTCCGATGACACACCTGCATTCCTCGAAGCGAGTTACATCGCCCTCCACATGGAAGATGATCACTACGTGAAGCGGTTGCCGGAGGGATGGTATTCGTCGGACGGATACGGCGATAAGATGCTTCAGTATCTCTCCAACTGGCACGAGAGAAAGGACGAGCGCCCCTTCTTCGCCTACCTGCCCTTCACGGCCCCGCATTGGCCTCTCCAGGCGCCCCGCAAGTACATCGACCATTACCGCGGCGTCTACGACGACGGACCCGATGCGCTGCGTCTGAAGCGACTGCAGCGGCTCAAGGAGCTGGGGATGATCCGTCCGGACGTGGAGCCGCACCCCGTCGTCGCGGACGAGGTCAAAGAATGGGCCGACTACACCCCGGAGGAGAAGAAGAAGTCCTGCACCGCCATGGAGGTCTACGCGGGCATGGTGGAGTGCATTGATGCTAACGTCGGCAAGGTCGTCGACTACCTGGCCTCCATCGGCGAGCTGGACAACACCTTTGTCTGCTTCATGTCCGACAACGGCGCCGAGGGCGCCGCCTACGAGGCCTATCCCATGGTCCAGAGCGGCGTCATGCCCCATCTCCAGAAGTACTACGACAACAGCCTCGAGAATCTAGGCAATGCCAATTCGTTCATCTGGTACGGGCCGCGCTGGGCGCAGGCCGCCACCGCCCCGTCCCGGCTGTACAAAGCCTACACCACTGAAGGCGGAGTCCGCGTCCCCTTCCTAGCTAGGTTCCCCAGCAGCGTGTCCGCGACGCGGAGTGGGATTACAGACCAGTTCGCAACGGTCATGGATCTTGCACCGACTATCCTCGATATGGCGGGAGTCAAGCATCCGGCTCCCACGTACCAAGGTCGTGAAGTGGTCCCCATGCGCGGCAAGAGCTTCTACCCGTGGGCGCGGGGTGAGTCGGAACGGATTCACGAGAAGGACTTCATCCAAGGATGGGAGACCTGCGGCCGTGCGGCGCTTCGGTTCGGTGACTGGAAGATCGTGTATATTCCGAAACCCAAAGGTCCCGAGCGATGGCAGTTGTACAATCTGGCCGACGATCCGGGCGAGGTGCACGACCTGGCGGATGTTCGTCCCGAGCGATTGAAGCAGTTGCTGAAACTGTGGGATCAGTACGTGATCGAGACGGGTGTGATTCCTCTGAATCCTGATCTGGGTGACTTTCTCGAGGCGACCGAGGCGCAGATGCCGGAGAACGCCTGGATGGAGTATGATTACTGGAAGAAGGGGGCTCGCGATGAGCCTGAAAAGTTCATGCGGAAGCCACAGCGGTTCCAGAGAGTGGTCAAGCAGTTTTAGTTTTGTGACTGACTAATTCCCTCGCTGTATGATAGTTTTACCATGCGGTCAATATGAAACACTCGTCTGCAGCGATCTCCATGTAGTTCTTGCCCGCAAGTAATGGACCCACTAACTGCCCAAACATACCTTAAGTTTCTTCTTGACGCATATCATATCAAGCTATATCAGAACGTAAAAATCAGTAAAGAGTTCGCGCCTCACGCACCGCGAATCCGCCCAGGTTCGGGACGCATCTTGTCTCCGCGTCATCTCCTCCAGAAGGTACAGCACTTTGCTTGCGTTGGGATGCCGCTGCGTCACATCACTGTCACAGGCCACCATGCGCTGCATCTCCTGCATGATCCACCGCCGCTGAGTCAACGTACCCTCCAGGCCAGCAATAAAGAGCGGCCAAAAGAAGCTGACCGGCAGGTGTCGCTGCGTACTTGCCGACTCAGCCGTCGCCAGCTGGATGATTTGGTCAACAGCGCGGTTGACACGGTCAGTCCGCGGATAAATAGCGAATGCTACCCGGTGCAGATAGATGAAAATCGCCAGAAAGTTGGCTACATACTGGCGGAATGTGCGGCATACCTCGTCCGCGACCGACTGACTTAAGGAGTCAAGCAGTTCTTCAGGCCGGTCATAGACGTCCAGCACTGGTGGGCGGCAGTTCCATAGTGTCTCCAGGTCAGCGCCTACTCTGTGGGCAATCTGCAGGACCTCAAATTCATCTCCCAGCGTCCCGCGACTGCGATGATGGAGGTCAATGCACACGATCCGCCGGATGATTTGCTGGGCTTGAACGAAGAAGCGAAATGCGGGGCCCACAATGGCATCGTAGACAAGATAGCCTGGCTTCGACAGAAGGTAATCTTCTGTCACTTTCTTGTCTACCGGAGGATCGTCCATAATGCCGCTGCTGATAGGCGATTGTCCGGAAAGCCCGCCGCTCGATTCGTTTTGCGCCGTCGAGAGCTCAGCCAGGCTGCCGAGTTCAATCAAAGGATCGCCATCTCGGCCAGCAATCAGCGATTTCACATCCAGAAGAGAGACCCACGAGACCACCAGGCGGCCGAAGCCAGTCCACGACTGAATCTGGTCGTGAAAGCGCTGCAGCAACAGGTAAGCTGAGTGGAGAAAAGAAGTGCCATTGCGGCTCAGCTCCGGGGATGATAGCGACTGTACAGCGTTTAGTCAATCTTTGACCGTAAGCTATGACATGCCTTACATACTTCAGATAACATGAGCAGAAAGACAGTCGTGAAGACCTTCATCAAGGTTGGTTCATCCACGTGCCCAAAAATGTATGACTGCCCTTCCAAACTTGCCTGCTGGTGGTATGTCGACGCCGAGTTAGGCTGACTCCCTTCCTTGATGGCCTTATGCACCTCTACAAAACAGTAGATACTATTCCGCAAGGGTCGAAAGTCGCGCGATTGCGCTACGATAACCTCACGCACATATTTCCATTCGAGGTTCACGGGTCCGAATATCGTCGCGGGCGGCTCGGAGCTGAGGAAATATGCCATCAGATGCTCCTCATACGCGGCTCCGGTCTCCGGCCACATACCCTCCGTAGCGGGAGACTGTGACTGCGTTCCCTTTGAATAAACACTCGAATCCCAGCTCATCGATCGATCAGTATGCGGTACATTTGTAGTGTCGTCCGACGTCTTGCAAGACGTCGCATTGGTGAATTCCGATAACCCGTTCGTCAGATCGAGATGCTTGCGCTCCAGCTCGGACGTAATCTCGCTCATGAAACCAAGCATATCAAATGGTCCGGGTGACGTCGCCGCATTATCCACAGACCGCAATTGCGAAGCGTCAGCTGCATGCGGCGCTTGATAGGCCTGCTGCCCATCAGGTCGTAGTACCGTACTGAAATAGCTCGCATCCGGTCTCTGGAAGGTGTTTGCAGTCTGATTTCCTGTCACAGCAGCTGCGCGACCATTAGCCTGTCGCGGGACGGCTGCAGGCACAATCGTCTTGTAAACACAACCCAGCCGAAGTCGGGTACAGTTGGCACAGATCGGTTTCGCTTCATCACATCGAACCTTTCGCGCTCGACATGTCAGGCACCCGGATCGTCTTCGAGGGCCTGACCTGCCTAATCCCCGTGCTCTGGGAGGAGCCTGGATGCGGTCAGAAGAACTGATAACTCTACAAGCAAAAGAACGGTCGCCAGAATATGAACGACGGTTAGACAGGTGGTTTACCTCCATAATAAGTCGGCTGCCCCTGCTCAACAGGCATGGTGCGCAGTTGGGTTTGGGCAACGCGCAGTTGCAGCTACGAGCGAGACAGATAAACAAGCAATGAATTTCCCCGCAGTTCGGGCGGCCCGCTCTCCACCATACCGAGTCTGAGGATGGCCTCACTGCCCTCACACGGCAAACTTGAGGATAACAGTTCCCTTGTCTTGGACAGACAACTGTAAAATACAAAAATCATGTTGTTGATGAGTTACTTACATAGGCGTCACAACATGCACATATATACATCTTTCAACCCTGTAGTACAGTCAAGCTCAGAATGTTCAGCGTTGGTCATATCTCTATACAAAAAAATTGGATGGACCGTGTCATAAGCCTCCAGGAAGTTCCTGATACGGCCCTCGCATTTTATCACCACCCCAACACTTGGATAAGTGCAGCAAATGTCCCCGCTCTTTTCTCACGTATGCTGCAAAGCATATGGCGGCCAGCGCAATCGCCCCGTAGCTGATAAAGACGGGATACTTGAATTGTTCAGGGAGAGGGAAGACTATGGTGGCTGCGAATGAGAGCGTCTCAAAGACGTTCTGCACGCCCATTTCGGTTGAGGAGAACCGGCCTCGGGCATCTTCTTCAACACCCTAAATGATAAACATTAGCAACGGCATCTAATAGCAGCCTTTAAGTGGGAAAGCGATTACCTCTTGAACGAGAAATTGAACCGACAAATCAAACCCCAAAGACCAATCCGACTCAAAGCAACTCCCAGGATGAGACTCACTGCTACCAGCCGAGAGTTCGAGTCGTACAAGGCAAAAGCCACTGCTGCAGTGACCAAACAGCCAAGCTGCCAATTGAGGAACCACAGTCCAGACCTAATGGGCCCGATCCTGCCCATGATGAATGGTGCTGCCCATGTGCCAGACAATTCCGCGAGCACGGCGCCGATTCGCATACAGCTGACCTGCAGAGGATCGAATCCCGTATGCAAGAGATATGTGACCATCGTGGTGCCAAAGGAGAGAACAGTAAGATAGAGCAGGCTCAAGGCAAAGGACGCCAGGAAGACTGGACTAGCCATGTACTCTCGCCAGGGCGAAGCAGCCTGTTTGATCAAGTGCATTGCACGCCCAGTCATACTCTGTTGGCTCGCTGTGGGAAGATGTTCGGGTGCATCCTCGACAGCTTCACTTCCATCATCTGCCGCGACTGAAGAGGTCCGCACGAGTTCTGGTATCGCCTTGTACACCTAGTATCATATCATGTCAGATTCAAGTGGTGTAAAGAGCGAGAAAACGATGGAATCACCTGAGCAATGGCAATGTATTCAATAAAGACACAAAGAACATTCACTCCCAAGACCGTCCAGACCGCGACCTTTGTAGACAAGCCGTCGACGAGCGATATCACCACAGGGGCCACAAGCTTGCAGAATAGATCTATCCGTCTCATCGATGCATTCAGATCTATATACAGCGTCAGTCTAACGTAGAATAACATCAGGATATTGGGTTATCTACCTTGCCTCTCGATTGCTAGAGTGTCTGAAACAATGATGACCTAACCGGACGTTAGGGTCCCTGGCCCAGAAGTATCGCTTTGTTACGACATACCCAATCTCTCTCGACAGCCACTGTGTTTGCTGTTGCTGCCAGTTTCTCCACGCAAGCGAGCAGAACAACTGCAAGAAATAAACCCGAGACGATAGGCTCAGGTTCTCGAAATGAAGGAATGAGAAGGGCTACAAAGCATGCGCAGGACACTGCAACAGGTACTCTCTGCCAGACTAAAAAGTGTAAACCATCGTGTTAACTTGGTAATAATATGTTGGCACGAGAAGCGACCTACCGATGGAGTGACGAATCGCTACCAGGCGGTTCGACCGATCCATCTTCGATCCTAACCAGGAAGACAGAACCACCGCCGACGCAGAACGCACCAACGCGTAGATCGAGGCGTACAACAGAGTCCCCTGGAAGATAGAAGCAAGGAACAAGACAGCGCCGAATTCAAACATGCGTGAGTTCCATGTCGACAAGAAGTGAGAGACATAAAGTCTCCTCAACACACTTTGAGAGCTCGCCGTCCGAGTTCTCCGTACGTTAGGGCGAGCTTCTCTTTCTAGAAGAGGTTCAGGTGCTTCCAGGAAGTCTTCCTGATGACTATTCATATCTTGCTGCGATTCCATCATTGGCCTTGATTGCAGTGGATAGTAGTACGTGTTCCGGCTCAGTATAATGCTAGCCTCGCCGATGATGGCTATGGGTTACAAAATCCCTCGTTCAGAATTGATCCATCGTTTGTCTAAGTGCATATTAAAAAAAAGCCATGAATGCGAAAAAGTAAAGAGCGCATCTTCGAAGTTAAAAGTTTGCCGGCGGATGCGAGAGAAAGTCGGTGGCCTGACGATCATTGGTGAGTCGGAAGGCCGCTGATCGAGAATTCATCCCCATGTTCCCCAACGCTTCTCCGTAGATGATGATTATTCATCGGCAGCGTAAGTAAATACTTTTTGGCTTCTTCATGAACGTGGTTTTCCCGTATCGGATGATAAGTGGAGCGGGATATATCTGGCTCGAACACTCATCTTTTTCGTCCTTTGCCTCGTCGTCATTTCTGGTGGTATGTCGCGCCGGTATGCGGAATACCTAAGTGATACTGTTCCTCTTCACTTACACTCAGATCCCAGCCATTGTGTGTCCTCTTTCTCTATGTATTATCAGGTAGTTCCGCAGTAAGGGTTGGACCTACGAGTCATCAGCAAGTGACGAAGCCGTAAAGCTAGATTCGTGTTTGTGCTTGACTGCTTCCTAATCAGTGGCCATTAGAGTACTGCTAGAATTTGTAATGCTACTTCAGGATGATCAGAAATGCGTGGGAGCAATGCTGGCCAGCTTATCATGCTTAATATTCCGTTTGAGAATTAATCACCCCAGCCTTTACTAATAATGGATTCCTCCTTAGATTCAAGAGATATCAGTCCAATAGGTATGATGGTCCATTGCACCGTCCAGCTCACAAAACTACTTTACACCTCTTAACTTTTCAAAGATGCAAACCGTAGAACGCCAGATCAGCCCCGTCGTATGAGACGAACACAAAAGCCAGACGAGGAACTCAAAGAGGTGAACAGATGCTATCGGGCCCGAAAGAGAGCTAGGGTCGTACTCAGACTCGCCCGGTCCACCCTCCAAACCTGACCGGACAAAGAGAGTCTCACGATCCATTGGAGAAAAAGGGTATCAATGTCAATCATGCGTGGTCCTGGTGTCCTTCTAGCGCGGACGAGGAAACATGCACCGGTGCAAGACCCCAGGCCAAATCGATCGGGCACGTCACGTGAAATGCGGATAGGTGATAACCATTCAGCTCAGCAGAACGAGGATGACAGAGTCGCCTCGCAGGAACCTGGTAGGATGAGTTAGGAACTGTGACTCGCAGTAACATATAGAAGCTCTGTACTGACATCTTGCTGATGAAGCGATCCTTGTTCACGCCTCTTCCCTTTCCACCCTTCGGCTTCTCCGTCCACATTTCTTTCACGTTCTCGAGCACCATGTTGCAGTGGCGGTCAAACGCCTTCACTCGGGCGAGTAGCTTGCGGTTGTTCCGGCATGAGATCAGAACCTGAGTGTGGCTGCGAGTAGCGGTTTGGAGAAGAGACAGGGGGCCGGCTGTGAGCTCATGCTCTTCTACCAAGGCGACCTCATATTCACTGGAGAAACACAATGTCAGAGAGATGCGTAAGACATGGGATGGCACGGAAATGTGGATGTGCGAATAGGATGGACAGGATCAAGAATAGGGAAGTGTCGCATGGGCGACTATCACATGACATATCCAGAGTCCGATGCACTCAAGCGTAGGGTATGCGCCGATGAAAGGTGAAATATAGGATGCACATACGTGAGTTCGCTCTTGGGCTTGTTCAGCAAATCCCTGTTAGGATAGACAGTCTGGTTAGCATGACGGAACAGATTGAGGTCGGAATTACACCATATTGAATTCCATCAATGACTCATGACGAAGCCTTGGAGAGAAAAGAGGGGTAAGTACGTACTGGATCTTGGGATCGGTCGACATGGTGGCTGTATAAAAAGGCACTTGCTGGCTGCTCTGGTCTTCTCTCTTCTTGTCTCTCTTGCGCTCTCTCTGCCCTCAGCAGCTTCTTAGCCAAAGGCGGTCAAGCCCCGATGTCGAGACTTGGCGCGGGTTGGTCACGTGCGACGCGTCTCTGCCGTGTTTTGCAGGCATCCTTTCCCGAGGTCGCGATTGGCTGCGTCACGTCGCGTCGGCAGAAACACTCAACACGCTGTAGGCGATCATCACAGCGTCTTGTGCGGATGCAAGGCGTGCTTGCTTTTCTCTCCCATAACTAGCTTTCTCCTCTCCAACCATCTCCTCAATTACATCCTTACTTCCTTTTCTTGACGAGTCATTGATCTCAGTGGATGAAAATCTCAGTTCACTCCTTCCCTCAATTCCTTCTTCACCGTGTCTTCGCTCGATATAAGCTTCAAGGAAGCCCCTACCTGCCTGTCCCACGTTGAACATTCCATCAACTTCCCCCGCGTCCCGTATTGCATAATCATACATACCTGCACATTCTCCGGGTCGACACAAAGCTTCGATCGAATCAAGGCTGGCTATGAATAAACGAAAGTAGCGGGTTCGGCTCGAAATTCCTACCTTGCTTCGCGTTCAAGCTCTCGCCTCTCCCTTGTTCCTCAGCGTCCGACACACCTGAACGAGTCGCTTGCGTCTTCTTCATAAACCTCCGAACGTCATTTATCTCCAATTATTATTTTAATTCACGGCTACTTTGGCTTATGGTTGAGATTGGATTGCTTGTGGCATGGAATCTCAGGACGGAATATCCGTCCGGCCTATGAGGCGTGGGTTTGCTCTGTCAGATACAGTCTGTTGATGCTAACCGTTGAATGTGGAATTACAGTGAAGGTGCTCTACACATTTGACGATGAGAGTAAAACGAATTGCCTGGCCCGGTGGCCTCACTTACTCGACATCCAGACTGCATGCCTGGACGAGCAAACTCAGATTGGTGTCATCGAGCTGAAAACGTGTATTCAAGCCATTGTGTCTGCGAGGTGGGCCGCTCCTGTCCTGGAGCCCATGTTAAATCATGCTAATGGATCTTCTTTCGATTAATCTAGTCCCGAATTGGTGGCCAAGCTGGGACAAGACTACACAGTATATGCCTATGACTATTCAGAATATGAGACGCCGCTAGTCGGTCAGGGGATGCTCTCATGGGTCCTCGCTTCGGCCTCTCCGACTCCCAACGCACCAGCACATCAATCGAAGACTATGGTAACGGGTCGTGTGTGCAAAAATGTGCTCGGTCTCTTTTCAAAAGGTGCACAAGAAACACTGGAGGTCAAACTGCGATTGGTGCCAGTACCTACTGTAATGCAGAGTGAATACCTCGAAAGCATGCAGAAATATCGGGAGTTGAGCAAAATCATTCCTCATGAGTTTGACGCACAATCATGGACAGTCTTCCTTCGTCAGAACCCCGGGCTGCTCGGTCCCTCCAACACACAACCCCTTGACCGCACAACATCACCCATGGATCACGCTGGAATTGAACGGTTTCACCGGTTACTCAGCGAAGGGTCGACTCCAAGGGAATTATCTTCGATTGCTCCAAACGGAAATTTTCGGTCTATATCACCTGCGCAGTCCGCGCTTGCCGCTCCGAGCAGGGTTTCCACACCTGGCCAACTTCAGCAACACCATGAGCAACTTCAAATACAGCAGGCAGCTCAGCAGCAACAGCAGCAAGAAAGGTCGCACGGGGAAATCCGCCCTTCCTCTAGCGCTTCCATGCGCGATTCTGAACTGCCTTCGCATGTGCACTATGCCAGCCGCCGGGATTCGGTACAGTCAGGCTATGGAAGCTGTGATGAATCTGCCGACCAACAGCCACGAAAGCGAGCCAAGCTGTATCGAGCGGATTGGCCAGGTAGATCTGACTTCAACATTGAGAGACAGCCAAGCTCTTTGCGTGTCGCTGCCAGTACAGCTGCCTCTGTTCGGATTCACCGTCCTACCCCTGTCAATCCCGCTATCGCTGCTGCCCAGAATTCGAACGAGGAGCCTGTCCGGCCGCCAACACCTATCTCTGGATCGAACGATCTCCCACGCAGAGGGCGACCGGCCCCCAGCCTCCTACGCGAGTCGTCTGTTCAGAGCAATAACTATACTTCACCATACCCCATGAGTGATGATGCAGGTGATCACAACTCTCACTCGCCGGAGGAACCACGCTACCAGGGTCTGTTCGAACCATCAATCAGTATGCCTTCTTCGCCTCCGGTTTTGGATTGCGGGTTTCCCAATCCATCTAGTCCCGTCCTTCCACCTATGGTAACCGATCCCGACTCGGGTTTCATGAGCGGTGGCCTGGATGATCTCTTGGATGATGATATGGGTACTCCTTTGGAGGATTGTGCAAAGTCGATCTCGAATGATGGACCAAAGCGCAGACGCGCAACGGATGCTGCAGCACAGGCCAGCTCTCCTCTCAATCCTTCCACAGGACCAGAGAATCAGATTGAAAACGCTCCTCCTGCTCCTGCCCCGGCCCGCGGTCCTGCTAGTGCGGCCGGCTCTAGGCCACCCTCGCGGGCGAGTTTCAGACAGGCCCCCAAGCCTTTGGCTCCTGCGCCCATCTCACAAAGTGAATTGGAGCAACTCATGAATGCGATTCCCGCAAGTGACCCCGTCGTTCCGACACATGTTCCTGCTCAATATGCACATTCCTGGACAGGCCCCATGAGCGACCTCCCCAGCGCTGAGACGCCTACGCCGAAGCCTGTGACCGAGGATGGCAAAGTCCGAAGTGGGGCGGGGGCAAGAAGGCTTAGGCAGGTCCAGGCACGTCTGGATAAGTGTATCCGAGACGGTCAGGTCCCCCTTACTGCGAGAACTGCGGGGCCATTGAAACCCCCACTTGGCGCAGGGCCTGGTCAAAGGAGTTTGTTGGAGGGGAACCTGAAGCCAATGAGCTGATGAAGGATCCCACCATGCTATTCTGGCAGGTTTTGGAAAGGAACGACAAGGATGAGGTCACAAAGTTCAAAATGTTCAAGAAATCCTTGGTTGACGCCGACAATGACTTTGTCCAGATCCTCCTCTGTAACCGTAAGTCGATAGGTTGATTTCCCAGTGGAATTGCTGCTGACATACAGGAAGCCTGTGGTCTTTGGCTGCACAAATTCAAGTGTATGCGCCCTGAGAACAGATGGAATAAGCCGGCCAGCGGTAAGAAGAAGCGGATGCCCCGGAATCGTAAGGGAGGAGGCCCGCTCTCGGACAATAGCACCTTGGCGAAAATACACCCCAAACCCCAGTCCACAAAGCCGGCTGGGTCCTCCCCCGGTGCATCTGATGCCTCGTCGCCTGCGGAAGAGGAAACCCCACGCGCAGATAATGGCAACGAGAATGGAAACGATCGAGACAATGAGGACGACGTTCAAGAAGTGCTCTCCAAGCGGCGTCGTGCCAATAGCGCTGAGCCACGGCGGTCGTCGGACACCGCAGGAAAGCGTTGGAAGGAGCAAGATGCAACGGAGGCGCTGCGGCGGGCTATCCAGTCCAGCCCAGCCCGAAACCTTGAGAAACGCCCTGGTCCGGCGGTTGATGAGAACAGCCTTACACCTAAGTCAGTGAGAAGAGCGCTCTTCCATAGTGCTCAGAACGAAGGTTGTCCTCTCCAGCCCTTGGGCGGTTCCGCCCTGAACAGTCCACGCCGTAGCCCTCGCGTTAACTGTCGCGATCCAGGTCAAAAGCCTCAAGACAAGGAAAACGCGGCGATTGACAAAGACCTAGAAGGGCTATTCGAGAGTCCGCCCTTTGAATATGATCTGCCCGCCAGTCCTACTCCCAGAAGACGAAACCAGCGCAGCAACCTGCTGGGAGAGAAGCGCAATTCGTTGCCGTGTATATCGCCTTTGTCCAAAGCGCGTCTGGAGGGAAGCTCAGACATGACCCCTACCAAGCTCAGCGCGCAGAAACTTCACCGTATACAGAGCAGTACGACTGTTACCCCCGTCAAAATAAAACGCCGAAGACTCTGCGATCTTTAGGACCTGATCTGCCTTCCTTGCCCGACGGTGGATTTAATGTGGAGGCCTTGGACAATATTGACAGTATGCTTGTTGATATCTTCGAGGACGTGCCATCTTCCGCACAGTGTGAATCCTTCTTTTCTTTTGGGCAACCCAAGGACTCGACGAGCGGCAACTGGTCTGGATGGATTGAGTCCGATTATATTTCATTGAACGGATCCGACGACCAGGAGGCAAACGGCGAGCGGCGGACGGGTAGGCGCAGCGGCGCGAGTGAGGACGAAGATCTCATCCACGCCATTCTATCCGATCCGGACATCCAAAAGAATGCGCATTTCGATCCATTCCAGTTTACTGGTGCAGGCGCCTTGGACTCTGGCGTTTTTGGCTCAGATTCAGTCACCGCCGATGTCATCGCTCTCGGCTCCAGAAGCGAAACCGCCGAGGAGCCCGCGAGCAAGGAGTCGGCTTGAGTATTACAAACTAATGCCTTATGACCTCTCTCTTCCTCTCACTATTTCTTTTTCCACTTCGATCTCGTACATTACACACACCTCGTTCATGACCAAATCTTCAGTCTGTTTGCTTTTTCTTAGCGAAGGCGTTGGGCGGGATCCCTGGTAATTCCGATTGAAGTCTTTGTTTCCCATGCATTTTATGCGAGAGTGCTCCATACCATGATGTTCTAGCGGTTTGCTCTGCCCTGATGGGTTTGTCAAAAAGCAAAAAAGCCTGTTTCACTCTACTGTTGTCTAGCCTGACTGTTGGATCAATTTTCCTTAGTTACGACATCAAAGGCGCGGTATGTCTCTTCTTAGCATTTAGATAATGAACAAAGATATGCATCATACATTATTCGGAAGGTTTTCTACACAGTACAGCTGTAGTCCACTGAGAAGTAGACTTGGTATGACTTTGACTCCAACTGAGACCAACCTTTAAGACCTGACCAACTACAAACAGCAGGCTGAAGACTCGGCCTGTCATTGGCACATGCAATTGATACAAATGGCTATCATTGCCATTATAGCCCTTGCTTCATCCAGTAAAGCAAAAAGGAAGCTTTGAAAAGAAGAGTCTGAGAAGTAAATCCCACGAACAGCAACCATCCTGCGTTAACCTGATCCATTGGTTTCCGTACAGATTCCATAGGCTTCCATCTCAGAGAATCTAGGTATCATATCCGCAGGCTTGTCGCAGAATAGAGGGTATGTCAATTGTGAGATATAGTTCTGAAACCGCGCAGCAAATTTGCACAAATAGAAGAGATTCTCATCTATTCATTGGAATCATAGAATATAGGCTTCAGCTTATGCGTCACTTCGACAACGTGTTCGTAGATCTTATAGTCTGTGCAGCCATCGTCATTAGTCAATCGCCCGCTTTGCTTCCCAACGCCACGAAGTCGGCGAGGTGTGCAAGGCACTCACCGCAATCCGAAGGGTTACCCCAGTCTGTCGTGGCCAGGACACGGATCCCGAGGCCCTGTTACGCATCATTAGCTCCTGTCGTCCGGTTTCTCTTGCTGTCGGAGGAACGTACCTGCCCGCCCTCTAATTCCGTGACTTTCCCCACCACCTCGACTAACTTTCCCATTTGGAGATGCGAGTCTGATTTCAGGATGAGAGTGACGTCGCCGTTATTCCCGCATGTTATTGTTGCGGTGTCGCCGTGGAGGGCTGTTACCGTTCCGAGGATGCGGACGGTGTGTGTTGAGGAGCCGCTGGAGGGGTGGAAGGCGTGGAGGTGGGCGGGGAGGACGCGGGGGTTTGGAGGGACATTTCGTCTTTTCTTCCTTAGGGTTCGCTGGCTTTGGAATCTTAAAGGTGATTATTTCGGGTCCTGCAGTGGTTGTTTTGCTGTGTTTGATATGCAGCGTTGTGGATGTAGAGAGGTTGATATCTTTCCAATGGTTAACCTCCGTCGCGGGGGCGCGCAACGCGTGTTCACGTGATCTCATTACCTCCCGACCGCCCGCTGGGCTGGGCTCCATACGTCAATCGGCAGGTGTTTGATCGGAGATATCGACTTTTTCCTCCGCGGTATAGTCATTCCCACCTTCTGCGGAGTATATACCGTTCCCGCAATCTCATAACACGACAGATGAGCTGATAAAAGTCTCGACACGTTCTTATATCGATTTCCATTCTCGAGCGGTCGTCGCCATGCCTCCTCCACTTCCCTCCCAACATCGCGGTATGACCGCCAACCCTCTCAAACCAGTTAAACGTTACCGGCCGGGAAAACCGATTGCGGAAGAACCCTCGTCATCTGAAGAAGAAGAGGATGCCGAGGAAGAGGTACAGGAGCAGGAGCGGCGCAGACAGGAACAACAACGGCAGAAGAGGCAACAGGCTCCAAAGGCGACCTCGTTCCCTACTGGCGCTGCTGCTGCTGGGAGGATCACGAAAGGCGTGCAAGATGTAAAGATTGAAGAGGACGAGGATGAGGAAGGGTTTGAGACGGAGGAGGAGGAAGAGGCACCACCGAAGGTAACCGCTCGTGTTGCTGGCGACCGAGCGGAGACTGTGACGGCGCAAGCAGGCGGAGACGAAGAGGAGGAGGAAGAAGAGGAAGAGGAGGAGGAAAGTGAGGAAGAAGAAGAGAGCAGTTCAGAAGAGGAGGCGCCCCGGAGGGTTCTGTTACGGCCTACGTTCATCAAGAAAGACAAGCGCAACAATGCACCGAATCAAGCACAAAACGCCGCTAATGTTGCCGATTCGGCGGCGGAGGCGGAGGCCCGCAAGGCGCAGCGACAGGAGAAGGCGGACATGCTGGTCCGAGAGCAGTTGGAGAAAGAAGCCATTGCGCGAACGACTGCAAACAGAGGGTGGGATGATGACGAAGTAGTTGAAGCGGGCGAAGAGGGTGCCATCGATGATCGGGATGGCGTGGATCCAGAAGCAGAATATGCTGCTTGGAAGCTACGAGAACTCAAGCGAATCAAGAGAGAGCGCGAAGCCATCGAGGCAGCGGAGAAGGAGCGCGAAGAGATTGAGCGTCGTCGGAACCTCACTGCGGAAGAGCGCGAACGCGAAGACCGCGAGTTTATTGAGAAGCAGAAACAGGAGAAAGAAGCCAGTCGTGGCCAGACTGGGTTTATGCAGCGCTATTTCCACAAGGGTGCTTTCTTCCGTGATGATCTGGAACGCGAAGGACTCGACAAGAGAAATGTCATGGGGCAGAGGTTCGCCGACGATGTTGCTCGTGAGACCTTGCCTGAATATATGCAAATTCGGGATATGACCAAGCTGGGAAAGAAGGGCAGGACACGATACAAGGACTTGAGGTCGGAGGATACAGGACGCTTTGGAGACGGCTTGGACAATCGTTCCCGCCGTCGGGAGGCTGCCCCTCTCGGTATCCGTGATGAGCGATTCCTACCTGACCGTCCGGACGATCGCCCCAGGGGCCCCACGGGAGCCAACGCGAGTACCGTACGCGAGAGACGAAGGTCGCGGTCAAGATCGTATTCGCCGAGGCGAGACCGTCACCGCGACCGTGGAGACAACAGACATGATAGCGGGCGAGGCAGTTATGGTGGCGGTGACCGCTATCGTGACCATGATCGTGACCGCAGTCGTGGCCGAGATCGTTCAAGAGATCGATACAGACCGGATACCAGCAGTCGAAGGAAACGGAGTCCTTCGCCATACGACGACCGCGACAAGCGACGGCGTACAGATGATGCTACATAGACGGGTTTACGAGAAGAAATCATTACGTCCTTGGAGTTCCTGGTATCATGAAAAATGCGGCTGGGATTCGGGATTTATGTTGCATTGCAGATTGCGACAGGTCTTTGCCTTTGTTATTTTTCATATCTAGTATTTTCTCTCGTGGGGTTTGGATATATACCCTGTATCTGGGCTGGTGAACGGAGTGTGTAAGATAAAACAGACATCATGTTTGTAGATACAAACACAGACGTCCAACAAGCCCTGGCTCGCTTGGTAAAGCATATCCTTCCCTTTCCCATCGAAACAACGTAAGCGTCTTGGCCGTGATGTGACGAATTCTTCTGTAATAGTCCTTCCCCTGATTTCCAATGCGATAACTCCCAGAGTCTTCGCAAGGCTCGTGCATCCCGTTGTGGTCATCCCGTCAGGCAACGCCTCAACAATCACACACCCACTTATTTCACCCCTGCCCTTTCCAACACCTTCTCTCTCTCCATGACACTCTCGCCGAACCGTAACAGGAAGATCGTCCGCCCGGGCCACATCTCCGTAGGCTGGTTATGCGCCGTGACCTTGGCCTCGAAGCCACACCCATCACAAACCCCTCTATGATCCCCGCCACAAAGGCAGCGCAATTGAGCATGCTCATCTCCTTCGGAACACTAATGTACGTGTTTACCAGCGGGTCATTGTCCGTGATCATGTACTCGTTGGGTGTTTCGGGGGACACTGAATGCTCGAGGGCGTCTGCGGGGCGTTGGAAGAGCAGGCGCCAGAGGGCCCATGGATGAGATGGAGCAGGGGAAGAATACGGAGAGGTCGATTAGGAGGGGAGGCAGAGGTTGAGGAGCTCGACAGCGCGGACGATGTGGAGGAGGACATGGAGCGGTAGAAGAGAAGGTCGAGGAGACGGAGGCCGAGGTGGTAGCCCTGTTCGTTTAATCTGGCGTGTTGTCAGAACGGAGCGACGAATCTATTCAAAGAAAACCGCGTTGCACTCACCTGCGCTCTAGATCCTGTATCCCTGTTACTCGTCGCTGAGCGTATGTGACCATCTCCGCGAACAGAAAGGCGAAGCTTGCCCGGCTGAGCTCCGCATTTCGACTGCGATTCAGATGTCTGTCGTAGATCGTCTTGCGGTTCGACGGGATTCGCAGGCCGGGGCTTTGCTGCGCGACTGTCGTCACTTGTTTTGGGGGTGGCTGTCTGTCAGCGGTGCCAGCTATGTTTGTTCCGCTGGTGCTGGCAGACAGCATCGACGAGTGTCTGGCGGGGTGTGATTGTGACATGGCGGTTGTGGTCGGTTGTTGTTACGCTGGGGACGGGAGATTTGTGAGATGAAGTAGAGAGAGGTAGTAATTCAATTGATCATTGCATCATCTTGTGTTGATAGAAAGATTAATGCACAACGGAGCTTGACTGGGGGTCGTTGGTTTTCGAGCTGCGATGTTGATGTTGATAAGGCGAGTTGACGATGGAGGTTCCGATGTCCATCATCACTCTCCGTCGGGCGCATGAAGGGCCATACGACACTGCACATCGCACACTTTATCAGACTACGAGCAACTGGTGAGCTTCTTTACCCATGGATGCTTCCACAGAAATTATCCAGTTCTTTGATTTTTTCGCTTTCGGGTTTGGTACAAGGTCTTCGACAGCTACAAGCGCTGCTCTAAATGCTTACGGAATAGTCAAGGGAGAAGCCAAAAAAACACATGAGTGACGGAGAATATCTGAAAGTAAATTCATGATTATATTTAACTCCAGCGAAATCTAGTCGTGACCGTATCAATTGAAGCTATCGAAAATCCAGTTCAAGGCCAGGCCAACGACACCAACTTCGCACAATCAACCCCGTCAACGACCACGATATAATCTTGAATCAACCTAGAATGAAAGCCATTATTAGCACCTATTCATTGACCTTGACACAAGTCATGCTCAAATCCATGCCAAATGACCAACAAGAATCAGACATCCAAGGAAGATAATGCGCACAGAGCACGTCTATGATGGGTTCATGGCGACGGCTAGCGTGGAAACTGCGAATGTAGGAATGATTTTCATCATAAGAGAGCCAAAAGGCTCTGTTGGTCGATTTGAGGATCGAGACAGGACAGGAAAAATGGTAAGACTTACCCAAAGTTAGTGAGTCGCGAGATGGTGCGCTGTAAATGAGCAAAAGCAATGTTGTGAATATCTAAGAGCTCAATCGACTACAGGAGTTTGCATATAACTCAAGTGCCAATTGAGCAGGCAATGCTGCTGTGTAAGGTCGAATTGCTGTCGGCTGTGGAAGAGCAGAAGGAAGAATTTTTGCGGCGAAGGAAGGCTTTTTATAGTTGGCCTGAGGCTGCTCGGGAAACCCACCGACCCATACGAAGCTTCTAGAGCGAAGAGCAGAAAGAAAATCTTCAAAACAAACGACGCAAAACCGAAGGTTCGATTAGACTGACAGAATTTCCATTACTCAAGATAATTTTCTTCAGCTATGCGATATCCAACAATGACATGCCTTTGAGGGCTACCAAAATGAATGATCCCAAGATTATGCGTTTTGTGTGGAATTGAACAAGAGCAGATGGGAAGCAGATGAGTATGAAATCGTCGTCAAGTGCATACCTCCCCCCAAAAATTATCCATATCCAAAAAATTTAAGGTTGCTCCTCTATATACAAGTCATGACGGCATACCAGCAAATCCCCGGTTGGCGCTGCATTGGCAGCAGCGTACGCTATTTGAAGCTCTTCTGCTTTTGCCTCGAATTCCAATTCAAAGTTTTGGAGATGCTCTGAACCCAGTCCTCGCCACGTCGATTGTGGGGTAGCACGTTTGCAAACGGATACCGCGATGCGGATACAGTCACATAGTCGCCCGGCTGCAATTCGATTCTACCACGGCTGTCAGCTACTGTCGGTCTAGCTTCCTTGTCGTAGAACTCACCTCTCTCGACCATCGAAGCTTGCCCATGAGCTTGTCCGAGCATCGTAAGGCACTCCCATACGTAGAACAATGGTGTCTGGCAATATAATCGGTCGGAAAGACAGAGTGTGGGCGCAGATTGCCGTGACGAGAATGACGGGGTTCTCTGGATGACACAGCGAACCTCCCGCTGCGAGATTGTACGCCGTCGAGCCGGTAGGCGTCGCTATACAGACACCGTCCGCTAGCAATGTCGTGAAATGCTCATTGTCACCGAACAGCTCAATTTGAGACATCGCTGATAGAGTCAGTCAGTGACCAATTTTCCAAGCAAGGCCGAGTGATTCAAGATTCGGGGAGGCTCTTACTGGGGTTCGGTCCTCTGTCCAGCACGACATCGTTGAGGATCTGAAAAACCTTGTCCGGTCTATGAGTCAATGTACCTTCCATCTCCTCTCCTATCAGTTCTTCGACGAGATCCCGCTTCGTTATGTTCGTTGCGTCGTCCTCCGGCCGCCGATTGCTCCTCATGATCGTGCACTCGAACCGTAGTCTGAGGCTTACCACGACGCCGTCTTTGAACGCCGTCTCTAGTGTGCTCTGATACTGGTTGAAATCGAATCTAGTCAGGAATCCCAGAGACCCAAGGGAAAACGAGAGTACGGGTGGTACGACATGCTGGAACAGCCAGCTTGTGTAGAGAACCGTTCCATCTCCTCCTAGTGTAACAACAAAGTCGAATAAATGTGCTTCCTCGGATGCCATATCTGTATCCCAGTACTTGAGCCGACCTTCGGCTGTAGGTTCTTCTTGAAGGAGTTGAATAGCTCCAAAATCCGGATGCGTCTCCAGCCGCTTCTCCACGTAGACGACATATTTTGTCGAGCGATCCTTGGAGAGCAGCCACTGGGTAACCTTCCGCGTAAGTACGACAAGAGATTCGTCGCGTACCTTTGTCACCAACAATACGCTCTTCACCGTAAGCTTGAGCTTGATGCTCCCTAGTTTCTTTGACAGCTTGCGCACATTCCATGCCATATCCGACAGCTGCTTCTTGGTCAGGTGCCGTGATTGCACCACTGTAGGGAGTGTCCTGAGAGCCTTTCGGTCCTTCGCCTCGGTTGGTTTAATCGCGTCGTCGTCGACGACGCTCGTTTGTGGGGTTGTCTCGTGCGCTTTGCTCGGCTTCACATCTGGTCGGATGTCTTTGGATGGCGGTGTTATCCATTCACCCATGATCAATGAGTGCACAAAACATGCCGTTCTCTCGTCCGTATTGTCAAGGTGTGGTCTTGATCTTGAGTCGTCTACCGAAACCAAGGACGACTTGCGGCGGTGACTGTAATCGGGGTAAAGCACGACCTATCAGGCAGGGAGTATTCGCAGTTAGCAAATGATTCGGAGCTCAATCATGGTGGGTTTGTGCGTTTATTGTACCTCCAGCTGGTTATGCGTTTCTGTATCGCTGATTGCCCCTCCATGATCCTTCCGTCAGGTCAGCTCTGGCAGTTCCTCCGGTGAGGACCTGGCGACTTACAAAGTCGTCCTGCGACAGCCCCTTCTCCATTATACCACAGCTCTGTTCTCAAGATTAGTCGATTTCTAGTAGTTTTCTGATGACCTTCTAGCGTGATTATCCCATGATGTGTGGATTGGGAATCTCACTTGTTGCGTTCAATGAGTTGTTACGGTTCCGGTCAAAGTGGGTATGACGTCGTTACACGGCTCAAACAGTCACTGTACCTAACCTGCTGAACTGCATATCAAGGTGAATACTTGCCAGCGCTCATTGTTGGCGCTAATTTGGTGTTTATTGCGATCATGGCATTTGGGTTGACTTTCCAACATATCCAATTGTATGATTTGGCTAGAATGGTCCGTCTACTTGGCTTGGTGGGGAGGTACGTCAATCTCTCCATGTCGGGGAATATATATGTCCATGATGGCTCAATACAACAACATTTGAAGAGGATGACACGAAAAAGTATACACCGCATGTGCGAATGCAGTAGCTGATAGCTATAATGAAAGCAAGGCCATACCAACGATGTATTCATTCCCACACCAACTATATAACGGAAGGTATTATACAAGTGCGCAGAACACAATGCAGTATACATGCAGAGAGATGTACAGATGAGCCATTCAGCAAAACAAAGGTGTAATATATTGACCCGTCGATCTCGCCATTGCAGGGACGAATATAGTATCGAGGGCAAACAACGAGGTTTCCTGCTGGTCAATGCTGATCTCCAGCCAACAAACATAGCAGTAAGGCCCTCTTTTTGTATTATTGGTCTAGGTTCATCATTTGCATTCTTCGTCTCCTGAGTTTAAGTTGATTGGGATATCAATTTTTTATTTTCGGCGTTCTTCAACAGGTGGTCTCCGTGGCCCAGCTGGTTAAGGCGTCCGACTGTTAAGCTAGCTGCTCCTAGCAATCGGGAGATCGGCAGTTCGATCCTGCCCGGGGACGATTTTTTTGATTATTTTTTTGTCCGCTGGCAGGTTATCCGCAGTTTAGCATATAAACAGAGAAATCTCTAGTAATCCAACTCTGCCTTAAATTCCATTACCCGCGCCCGTGGCTATTTTTGTATTCGGTAATATCAACAATAATAGGTTCCTCTTGCAAGGCTGCAACAACTCCGCAGCATAGAGTCTGCGTCAAGACATCCTCTCTATATACGACCCAAGTGACTTTATGCTGTGGAATGTTTAAGGCTCATGTATTCAAACCCTCTCTTCGTTCTTCAACAATTGGTCTCCATGGCCCAGCTGGTTAAGGCGTCCGACTGTTATGCAACAGCTGTGCAATCGGGAGATCGGCAGTTCGAGCCTGCCTGGGGACGAATTCTTTTTGGTATTTTTTCCCCCTTTACACCCCTCCTGCCAGTCACTTCCTACGAGAAAGTCTGTCACGAAGCTTTTCACCATTAGCACCGACTAAGTTGTTCGACGCACTATTGCATGGTGGCAAACAATTCGTCGTGAGTTGCTACGGTGGTCAACAGCGGAGCAGGCAGCAGTCAAGTTTGAGGCTGTGTATAGTAATCTAAGTTGATATGAGATACGATGGTACTGGACATTATTATTACCGGGCCACACCGGAAAGTTCTAGCCTTTTGCTTCCTCCTTAAGTTGGCACCATGTCCTCTCCCTCATTTGAGACGCTCCCCAGATGAACACTCAAAGGCATCCAGATTCCCAGTCAGATCCAGGTCCTGGTTCCTTCATTCCTATCCGAGCTCCAGCCTGGTCGTATTTCCAATGCCACGTACGGCGAATGGGGCTGAATGACCGCTGCTGGAGCCACCTTCAATGTCGAACTCGGCCGCGTCCTCCGACTAGATGATTTTCAAGTGCCTTGAGACACGCGCTGCTCTGACCTAACCAATCAGATGTCTCCATGGCCCAGCTGGTTAAGGCGTCCGACTGTTATCGCAGTCCATTTGGACTCGGCAATCGGGAGATCGGCAGTTCGAGCCTGCCTGGGGACGTTTTTTGTACCCCATAAGCGACTTTTTGGTGCATAGGACTCTCTTTCTTCCTCCTCATGGTATTTTTGCCCCTGAAGGGCTGTATGCCCTCCCCGAACGGGAAACTCAGGCGGCTTTCTGAAAGCATATCCGGTTTATCTCTCAAAGAGAGAGATGTGCATATGACCATGTCCTGGTTCTGAACAGTTCTGTACAGCTCTTAAAGTTCTGAGAACTATGTTTCTGTTCTTACAGTCTTCCTTAGCACTTGCAGACAGTAGCCGATTCCCAGTCAGAGCCTAAGGCCTGCGAGCCAAAGCAATGCAGCTAAAAAGAAGGCTCTCTCCTCCCCCATCTGCGTTCAACTTGATGATCCTCTTGATACCCATGTCAAGCGAGCCGCGACTTGAGCAGGATGTCAGTGGGCAATACCTACAGACACTTTGAATTATAAGAGCCGTCTCTGTCAAATCATTCAACATTACTAATTCATATGTTGGGACTGTTCAATTTTTCTTGTTATCGGCGACAGGAGCACTGATAAGGCGTGGATCACTTCCAATTCAGCTAATTTGCTATTGTTACCACCGGAATACCGGCCCAATGCTTCAGTGGCGCCTGGGGTTGTGATTCGGGACAGGTACTATTTTTTACGTTCGATTCCCAGGGACTTTCACACCTCCTTTCCGGGCACTGAATCCCTTCTAGATCAAGTATATCACATGTGATGTCGTCATTCACAATATCAGATGCTTTTGCAAACGGATGGGTAACGAAGAGAATCATTATAGGACTCTGCATTTCCACCCGCATGTCTCCTATGTATTGGGGCGCTCCCAATTTTGCAACGCGACTCACCAATAAATAAGGAAGACAACGGCAAGGACGCAGATACTGTAAACACCTAATACATATATCACGGCTTATTTGACCCTGCGCCAGACTCTTGAGCGCCTCGACTTCTCTCGCTGCCTATCGCGTATTAACTTTTACGGTGAGTATTCGACGTCAACTTATCCAAGCAGAGAAATCCAGTAAGGGAGCAAGCTTATTCCCCGTCGAAAGCCTTGCGTAGCCCGGCTATGTCAAGCTTCTCCATATGCAACATAGCAACATACGCACGGTCCCGTTTCTCTGTCTCTGTACTATTCAGCATCTTGTGGAAGTCGTCAGGCACAATCTGCCACGACAGGCCAAACTTGTCCACCAGCCAGCCGCACTGTCTCTTGCTCTTCTCGCCGCCCTCGCCGAGCTTATCCCAATAGTAGTCGACCTCAGCCTGGTCCTTGCAGTTGACCATGATAGAGATTGCCCCAGTGAATTTAAAGTGGGGCCACCATTGAGGCCGACGAACTTCTGATCATTGAGCTCAAACTCAATGGTCATGAGGCTGCCGGCCTCGCGTCCGTGGAACTCCTTGCCGGCTTCGGGAAAGTACTGGCGCCCCGTAACTTTGGAGTTCTTGAATATGGAGGTGTAGAACGAGGCGGCCTCTTCTGCTTGGCCATCGAACCAGAGGCAGGTCGTGAGTTTGCCAACGGACATTAGGCTAGAGGTAGCGTGCTATGAAGGAGCGGAATGACTTGTGATAGCAGGTGTGCCAAAATACGTCTTGTAGTATAAGGGAAGAATTGATGACAGGTTCATATTCGTTGCAACATAAGAGCTTCTACAGCTGTCGGGTTCGTTGGAGTGCGGGATGCACATAATTTAAGAGGCCAAGGAAAATAGGCAGCAGTGCGGTTATCGTCGGAGCATCAAAAACAATGGAAAGGCAAGAGGAGATCAAATGATCCCAATCAGCATGTGTATACTGCGAACTATCTGCTCAGGAAGCTACTCTACAAGCCGTGTGTTATGGAGCAGCATGACAGTTGCAATACTATATATATTTGGTCCTGGGTGATATCCGCCTCAGCGGATATGGTGGTCTTTTTAGCATACATTAGGAATCAGGTGACCCTGGCTGAATGATGGCACCTAAACTGACGCTAGACTGTTGGCCCAACCAATCACAGGCCCTCTATTCACCGTAGCTCATGGTGGTACGTAGTGACTTTGAATTTAGCATTCTTTTACTATCTGTTCCTTGGGTGACATTCGCCGGTCCAAATGTTCCCCTATTTCACGTTCTGAACATACTTCACTTTCCGCAGCAGTAGGCGGCCTGCTGGACACGGCCTATGAGAGCTGATCCAGTAGGGCAAAAAGAAAAAAAGCCAGCCAAAAATAAGTGTCGGAATTGAAGAGACAAAAATTCGTCCCCAGGCAGGCTCGAACTGCCGATCTCCCGATTGCACAAGCTGTTGCTTAACAGTCGGACGCCTTAACCAGCTGGGCCATGGAGACTTGTTATTGTTTCTGCCGGCAGCATTTAAAGTTCCATAAACCAGAACAAAGAACTGTTGTAGATCGAATCAACTGGGCTTCGAAATCCATGGAATCGCCCCAGGACCAGCGCGAGTGAGGGCGTCATTCATTCCCTTCGCCCTGGTTTCTTGCCCGTATGAATCCGATCTGGATCGTCTACGCTGCCTGACGCATAACGGACATTGCTCCGCGAATATTAGGTAGGTAGGTAGAGGGGTGTAGAGTACAAGGGAAAATCCTTTGATGATCCGTCGGAATGCTTTGCCTGTGATACATCACCCCAGCATGGACCATGGCTGTACGACTAGATGCAGGAATCCAGGATCTAGGATGTGGTTGGTGCATATCGCATATGCAAAAATGGGCATGCTGTCTTTGCTTGAGGCTCGCCTCTGGGGCAAGTTTGTCTACAGGACTATACAGAGCGTCAGCGTCATATCATCTCTACACTGTCCTTGCTGATATGAACGATCTCGATATGGATGTAAGGTAAGGTAGATTCGAGGGGCTGCCTGGTACTATGAGCCATGATTGGTCGGGCACCCAAACATACTGCCTTGCGTACTCGGTGTGCTCCGTACGGATTAGTATTCATATGCATGTGTGATATGCATGTACGCATTTGACTCAGGGCTACCTGCAGCTGTCCCCCAAATCCTTCGCGCAAAGGGGGCAGAACATGAGCCGGACGTTGTTCTCCTTTCTTTGGTGGTGGTTGAGCGCAGACTGCAGACTGCAGACCCACCCTGTCGTCGGATCCTTCTCCCAACTTCTCAAAAGTCAAACTCATGTCCAGGCGTATCTTCTACTACATGTGTCTATGGCGCAGGAAAAGGATTTCGGCAGTAGATCCAGCGTGTATTGCCTCCGATTCCGCCACCAAGGGAGTAATGAACGCGCAGTGTGCCAACTCGCCATGTTCGCGTCACTAGTCTGGAACTCTGGAGGCTTTGCCAGTCACACGATGCCCACTTCCTTCTTTCTCAAAGACAGGCTCCATAACCATCCACTTAAGTCGGCTTACTCCCGTAACAATAAAGCCTACCAGGCGGCAGCCACCAGGCTCTTCAATTTCCTGATTTACTTAGGTTTAGGTTCAGTTCGACAAAGGGTGAGCTCAGACGTTGTGGCGCTCGGACGTAGCACGCGGCGCGCAGCGGCAGAGAGGGACGAAAATTTAGTTTCACAGAAACAAACCTAATCCTACGAATGGGTATGGTGCATCGCGCTAAGGATGCTAGCAGGGGCCGGGCCCTGCAGGCTGGGATGCAGCTGCGTCTCGGGGCATATGAGGCACACTCTGTGTCATCTCATTGCTTGCGGTTGATATGTCTCATTAGTGACAGCTTGGGGTGGGTGGGCGGCGTGCTTGCAGCAATGCGCCGAGGGAAACAGCATATCTTAAACAGTGAGTGGCTGTGGCAGACGGAGTACGCGGCCGAACATTGGTAATTGAAGGACCACGAATCCTTCAAGGATGAGGTTAGTGGTTACTCAGCTAGAGCGCGGGCTGCGCGGCCGAGGCGAGATGACAAAGTCTTTTTCGAATTCAAATTAAATTTAAAAAATGCTGAAATGGCGCCTAAACCCACAGTGAACTCACATGTTCGACCAATGATAATGCAATCGGCTACAGTTATTTCCCAAAGTAGCACAGGATCTGGCCCCGATGACATGGAACTAAGGCAAGTCAAATCAATTAGCGGGTGTTCCTATGCCTGAGCTTTGCGCTCTGGAAACTCTGAGTGGCTGGCATTTGGCGCTGGATTGAGTGTTCAAAATCAGGATTGAATCATGGCGAGTCAACCTTGATGGAGAGTAGACAAGTGAATGTCTTCTGAGCTGACATCCCTTGTCTCTGTGTGATGCTTACTGCCTGTGCCTTGTTATGTGGATCAAGTTCGAGAACGTAACTATTTGAGCTGATCCCTTCATGGCTGTGGAATTTAACTAAGGTAGTGTCGTCGATTATTGCCCACATTCGGGCTTCTCCTGTCTTGGACTGTCGGGTTGTGACCGCCATTTCGGGGTTGCTGGATTGAGCCTGGTACAGCAGCGAGGCGCTAATTGGGCGGAGACAACCAAGTCTAGTCTACCCCGTTTGGAGTCTTGGAGACTTGATTACTACTTACTTACACTTCGAGGATAGTATGCGATTGACGATCAGTTCAGTCGTGATGATTACTCCTTTGATTCTTCTCGTAGTGTTTAATTATTGACAACGAGAAGCAGTTGTCCCTGGTCCTGTGAGGCTGTGAAGAGATGCCGCCCGTGTCCCGCAGTCAATCAAGACACAGTATAGTGGATGGACTTAGAGGGGCTAGACTAGTTCGAGGCCAGCTGATACTGTAGCATCGATGTGGCCTGTGGGTGTTTGATAAGATCATCTCTTGTGATGGATTTTCTCCCCGAGGCCCCAGCTCGTATGCAAGCAGGCTGTTATTGTTGAGCGACCGGCGAATGGAATAAAATGGAATTAATTTTGGATTGTTATTTGAGACAACTGTCTGACTAACTCCAGGTCCAAGCCCAGGGCAAATCAGCAGGGAGCAAAGTATGTGCCGGCCTGCCCTTTTACCTGGTAGGATCCCTGCACCGACGCCAGTCAAAGTGGAGACAAGCGATCAAATGGATAGATCATCAGCAACACTAAGCAGTTGCCAGTAAGACTAAGCACAATACTCCGTACAGGAGGCAGACCCACTTGCATTGCCCGTCAGCGTCTCAGGAGCCACAGAGGAGCAGGATTCAAGAAATTCGTAAGAATTGTTACCTACGTACTGACCCCCTGACTCAAGCCCCCGTTTGTTCTATTAATTTTCTAGCCCCCTGCGGTACCCGTGGGTCCGCACATGCGTTCCAACTTATCGGCGGTTTCTTCCTGGAATCCGCGGCCTTTGATTCGCACAGCAATCAAACGATGATCTCAACCGTCCGATCAACTAGTACCTTCTAGGTAGTGTTCTTAACGATGTCGATGTCGATACTCAATAGAACGTTGGATACACGCAGAGTACGGAGTCTACGGAGGTCAGACCACGGACTCGGACTATCTCGTGTACATGACCGTTATGCTGAGATTCGAGGACAGTCGACTAAGCCATCACAGGCGATCATGGTAGCCGCCCTTGAAAACAGGGATTGAGGTGAGCACGACAGGGGGTAGGAGCAGGAGAATCCGCCTTGTCCGATGGCTTGATGGCTTATGCTCGGTTCCATGCTCCATAAAGCATACTCAACCGCTAGAAGTGAGCAGAAGGTCCGAGATATACACTGTAACCTTGAGCTTTATGTCGTGAGCCTTGAGCCTTGATGTGTTTTTGACGTCGGTCGATCTCTCAGAACTGTTGTCCGAGGTTATTAATCATGTGCCCCATTAAGAAACTGGTTGCTTCATATGCCGTATCAACTTCTTTGAGGCTGCGTTGGCCGTCGCCTCGTCACTACGGAGCCACTTGGAGTACAAAGACACGAAGCAGTAATTGATACTCCTGAGACTCGACTCAACTCCTAGCCGAAGTGTCAGTTGATAAATGAATAGAACCCCACTTTAAATTGTTGAGCATATTTCGTCCTTGGCTCTCTGTCAAACCTAGAAACATACATGATACATTGATACCCTGCAGTATTCTGTTTTCTGTAACAGGAATACTGGAATATTTGCTAGTGGTGGGAGTGCATTTAGGCGATATTATTGATGCTGAAAATCATACGCTAATGCTGATCACAACCAGTGTCACATAGATAATCAATGTTTGTTTTCATTTTTTCTATTTTCAATAATACTAAATGTCTTACGCCCTTGTCCTAGGCGAACAAGCCACATAGAATAATAGGAAAGGTGTGACAAGGATAAAGATAAAATCTCACCATCCACATGACTCTTTGATCTTACCTTAGTCTCTCCGAAATCCTGCGCCTAATCGGACGGCCGAAGGCTTGGTATGGAGTGCTTGGCGTTCCCCCCGATTACGAGATTACGAGGTTACGAAGTCTAGCTGTTCATGATCAATCTATGAGTCCAAGTGTCCAACTTTATCCACCACAGCCTAGAAACGTAAACTCAAGCCTATGACGATAGTGGATGAACTCTCCCCAAGCGGTTGGTTTCAAAACGAGATAGCGGATCACAACTTCACAGAGTTGCCCGGTGAGGCCGAAGAATGCCTTATTTGTAGTGATACAAGGGTTTAGCACAGGCAACAACAAGGCAATGATCAACTGGATATCATGGTTAACATATAGATATGCCTTGCAGAGTGACCTCGTTCAGCTTGGAGAGACGATGCAATTGTAACCCTTGCGTAAGAGGTATTGAGCATAGCAAGATGTGACGCATTGAAGGAATGAACTTGCGGGGAGGCATTCGAGAGATACTTTAGGTTGGACCCCGATACATACATGATACTGACTCTTACGGAGTAATAATGATGAGGGATAGAGGTACCTAAGGCCAGACTCAGCTAAGGAAGAAACATTATTAGTATGTGGGCCAGCCTCCAACACCAAGAGATATTGAATGCCGAACGCCGTAACCGCACAGCAGCGGGCGCAATCAATGATAGGTCGAAATCTGCTAGTGTGGCTTCAAACACCAAGAGACAACATTCCAGAAAAAGAGGGACCCTTTAAGTCGAACCTGCTAAACTAAACCGGGCGTGTCTCTCCGCAGCATCGCAGCCACTTATTAATAGGGCCAATTTTCGGGCGAGAAGAAAAGTAAAAAAGAAAAGGAAAGAAAAAAAAGAAGAGGAAGAAAAATAAAATACGGAAATCCACTAATTCAAGATGTCTTTGGCAAACAATTTAGCCATTGATCCCTTCGAATAGTTAACTCCATCCCTGATATGTACAGATACAGTTCATAATGAATGGTGGCTTGTTGATCATATCAGCAGTGCTCCGTAGGCCCGTAAGTAGTCACTACTGATGATAATACAGAGCATGAGCCCTAGCCTCATCTATAGCTGCATCTACGTTGGGATTTGCGCGACGATCTCCATGTCCATCACTGACATCTACTTGTATATTCAAAGAGAAAAGGCTGACTTGATGCATGTGTAACCATCGACGCGATCACAAAGGAGGTAACTTTTCTTGGTTATCTAGCCGCTTAGCCGTACGTAGCAGTCACCACACACGGGCCTTGGACTTAGTTGTTACTACAAAGTACTACAAAGCACTACTAAAGTTTCAGTGTGTTCCAGACACTCTAGCTTTCTGGTTCCTTCTCTGTCTTCCTGGTTCCTACCCTGCTCTACTCCGTAAGCGTTTCCTTTTTATTTTCTCCTTGAAATCCCATCCAATGAAAACCCAACTCCTTGTGACCTTTTTCATGGGTCTGATCATCCCCGCCAGTGGTAAGGTATTGAGCATTTCCGTCTCCACCAGCATGGCGGCACCATGGTTACCACCACTACTATGGGTTCAACTGTGGGCTCCAGCACATCCAGAGGGTCCAGAAATCAAGCCCGACTTCTGAAAAGGCGGTGGAGCCTAGAGAAGAGAAAAATAAGAATTCTACACGAGTAGTACAGGTAGAGGAAAGAATTAATGCTATGGACATGGACCATGGAAAGGCAGTGGAGCCGCTGAGCTGAGGCAATGGCCTCTGAATCATCACATCCTTCCAGTTCCATCCCTACCACTACCGGACCAGACCAGACCAGACCAGCCTGCCTCCTCCGTTCCTTAGCCGACTTGCTTGTTCCATTCTTCCCCCTGTGAGGGACCAAGTCACCTATTTCGTTAGTGTCAACGTTGTGTCATCTCACCATTGAACATGTGTCCGCCAATAGATTGCCAGCTATGGAGTCCCAACCTTTGGATCGTGGAGCTGCGGCGGACGGTAGATCGGATATGTAAGTTGATGCCACGAGTAACAAGTGACCCCATATTCATCACATAAAATAATATTTAATAATATATATATATATTTTTTAATATTTTTCTATTTATTTCACATTAATAGATAATTATTTTTCTAAGAAGGGAAAGTAATTTGATGCTATGGAGACAATGAAGATCTTCTGGACTATCTGGCTAAAGTTACTACTTTATTACTTTACTACCTCCTTCTGCATGACTACTTGCTTGGTACCTTGCCATGAGCGCCCTGTGACCCCTTGTGTCATCTTTATATGATGAGTCTCGATCTCTGACCATATTATTGTGCATCTTACTGCAGTCATCCATGGATTTCAATCCACCTCCATCTGTCATATAACTCTACGCTCTATCTACATACCTCGTCCCTCTCTCGCCAACAACCAACATCTCCATCTCTTTCAGCCAACAACTATCATAACCACTCCTGACCTGATTGATACTCTCAACATCACAACCAATGGCCGACTGCTGGCAACCACAAGCCTCCGTAGCAGGCCCCTACTGGATTTCCCCAGAAAACCAGCCATGTTTCCGTACATCGACGTTTCGTGACTTGATGTATGCTTTTCCCAAGCCAAAGCACACTAGTCGGGTGATGAAGCCCCGGAGTGCTGGAAACAGTCCTTCTTCTGCTGCCAAGCGAAGGGCCACCACGTCGCACACCTCACCAATGTACCGGCAACTGCCGCAGCAGTCTTATCAGGCTCAGATCCAAGCTGCTCTCGCGGCTTCCGCCATGCGCAGAACACGCCAACCGCGACCAATGAGCTGGCACCCGGCATCCCTGCGATCAACTGGATATTCCACCTCTCAGTACTTACCAGCCACCACTATGTCTGAAAACCTTGCTGGCACAGGCTTATGCGCTTCGTCATCCAACACGCTTCCTGTTACCTACGGTGGCGAGGATATTCTACCTGCGTATTCTACCTCAGATGCTGCGATGTTTTCCTCTTTATCTGGCATGGAAGATCCGACAATTATGCAGCAACAGTACCTCCTGCAAATGAACGGCCCGCAGGTCGAGCCAGTCACTTGGGACGCCAGTGCGTCTAGCTTATCCGCGATGGCTCCCCCCATGTCTGAAGGCTGGTCCTTCGATATGATGTCCATGTACAGCAGTATTCCCGGAGCGGACGTTGCGGGGTCGAATTACGAGAGTGCGCCGTCTTCTGGACCTCCCACGCCATTTCTTCCAATTCAGCAATTTGATGAGCCGGAGGCGGTTGAGGAGAAGCCGGAGGACGAGCTTGTCGGGATGGGCCTGTACAGCCATCCTGACCCATCGCTGAATGCGTCCTTGACTGGATTAAGCGGCAAGGGGTTGAAGCTGGAGGAGACTTTTACACCCTCACCGGACGACGAGACCGAAAACCAGGACGCTGACGGAGAGGATGATGACTCGCAAGAGACCGCAGAGAAGCAAGCCGGCGACAGTGTCGATGTTCGTCAACCGCAACTGGGGTCTCAATCGCACGCGCAACCTGTGAAATCAGCACAGAATATGCTTAACAAGTCATTCTTTTTCGAGGACGATGGCAGACTAGACCAAGATGGCGGGGTAGTCCCTCAGCAATTCTTCGGTCTGGAAAATCAGCCATGCATGAACTATGCATATGGGTGGATATGAACTTTGGAATCTGTTTCTTTGCCCTTTTTCCTCGACAAATCCTGTCTCTCCTTTTGTCCTTTTCATCCTTTTGCTTCATGGCATAGCGTGGAGTTTTGATTTTTATAAGAGGCACGAACCGTGACGAGGATACCCAACGGAAGGTACAATGATACGAATAGCTACATGCATTAGATAGACAATTAACCAATAGACGAGCCACTTTGCTAAGACTAAGACTTGTTTGAGTTGTGTAGTGATCTGATCCGTAACAGACTTCTCGATTTAGTCCTTCATTTTCTTCTTTACGCCCCATGTTAGTTGTTCTATTAGAGCTTGAGAAGAGACCAGTTTACTCTCTTGATCAGCTGAATGGTGTCTCATTCCTGGCCACTAGAGTCACCGATAATCTGCATGGATATAAGCTGATATCTTGTTTGAACGTGCTGACTCCATGCTCTGTGCCCTTGGACTCCAGGCTGAACGGATTCTCGGGCCAGTCTCGTGATTACGGTTTCCTGCTGCCTTCTCCCCAGCTACTCTGGGATCGTTGCCCTCTTACTATCCTTCCCACATCTGATTTCGCTTCCGTGCCCGCCGGATACGAATGAAGGGGGATTCTGTGCGGCAGTCCACGCCATATCTCCGGGGAATGCTTCAGTGGGGCAAATCTCCACATCCCAAGTCTCGTTGTTCTGCCCCTCCTCCCCTCCTTTTGCTGATGATTCCTGTCTGTCTGGATTCTGCAATGTTGCCTTATCCTTGCCACAGAATACCAAGGCGAGTCGCAGGTGGGCAGTTCAGTTCACCGCTTCTAGAGCATATTATGCCTTAACTGAAGAGGAGGATGGATACTTATAATGGCGTGCATGCATCCCGTCTGATAAACCTCATTCTAGACTCGTATTTGGTCTATTTTGACTTCCACATACAGGGCTCTAGACAACCAGAATGACAGTGTCGTCGACCGCCGCCCGCCCAGGCACCTGCGCCCTGTGCTGAAGTGGGACCCGACCTGCCATATCGCACTCTCAGCAGATCAATGATATTCGCCAACCTGGATCAGCATCAATACTGGCATCAGGTTGGGCCAATGCTTGGCAAGATGCTCGTGGATGGGAAATACAGCATCCACCACCAACACGAGTACCTGTCGCTCTTTGCCCACCTGATCATCCCCAGGCTGGGGCCCTTCCCCAGCCCTGGGAGAGACATCTACATGTGTCTCCTTGGCGGTATCGGATCCATCGAGCTCAGCCGGAATTTCCAGAGACTCGGCTCAACGGCTCGGCTCGCCTTCGAGCCCACGAGTTATCTCGCCAGCACGGATGCCGACCCATTCAACCGCCACGCCGTCCACGCCACCCTGGCCGAGCTGCGAATGACCGGCTCGGCCACCGTCGACCTGGAGCTGCATCACACGCTCGCCGCCGACCTGACGCTGACGGACCGCGATGAGCAGCTCCTGACCGCGGAGCTTGCCAAGACGAACTGGAAGACCCAAATTCTGCTCGCCCTGGACCTGACCAAGACGGGCATCACCGTGAAGGAGTACTTCTACCCGGTGATCAAGGCCGCTGCGACGGGCCGCTCCGTCGCCGAGCTATGCTTTTCCGCCATCCGCAAGGTAGACGTGCAGGGCCGGCTCGCGGCGCCCTGTAAAGCGATCGAAGCCCACATGCAGCGGCAGACCCAGACAGACCTCCACTTCCTATCTGTTGATCTGGTCGACCCCGGCACGACGCGCTTCAAACTGTACCTGATGGAACTAGAGGTGACGCTCGCCAAGGTCGAGGAGCACTGGACGCTTGGGGGCACGCTCACGGACGAGGAGACGATGCGTGGTCTGCAGATGATCCGCGAGCTATGGGTCGATCTTGGAATCGTCGACGGCAAGCGAGCTGAACCCCAGCGGCCATCGCTCCCCGGTGACCCTCTGAGCATTGTGCCGTTCTTTATGAACTACGAGATGACCCCGGGGCAGCCTCTGCCCAAGCCTAAATTCTACTTCCCCCTCATCGGCATCCCCGAGCTCAAGATCGCGAATGTGCTGGCAGCCTTCTTTGAGCGTCATGGCATGCATGACCTGGCTACCGCCTACTCGGAGACTCTGCAATCATACTAGTGAGGCCCCTAATCCTCCTTTCCTTTGCAATCTTCTCTAACTCTGAAATAGCCCTGGAGAGGACTTGGCTATTGCAACAGACCGCCAGGCATGGTTGTCTGTCTCGTACACCGAGGAGAAAGGGCCGTACCTGACCATGTACTATCACTAGTAGATGCACTGGACTGACTGACACGTTCCCTGTCCTGGCATATCGTTATTCCTTCTTAGTGCCTTCCTGTTTCCCGGCTCTGGACTCCACCACCCCTGGAGGCGATGGAAATGATGGGGCCTGCGATCTTCATCATATTCAAAGTCCTCGTAAACTATCCCATAACCCCTGCAACCTGCCTCCTGTAAGTTCAGTATACATCTACACTCATCACAGAGCATTGGCTGAATAGTTGCTTAAAAATGGTCGGTTTCGTTGTGCTGAATAATCAATGCAGAATTCCACCTTGAGTTTAGTCTTTGTGCCTCTTCCATCAAGCCTCTATTCTCTGCCACCTTTCTAAGGCCTAAAGCTACCACATACGTCCTAAGCCACTGCCTATAGCAGCATCTGCCTTTTCCCTTACCTATTTACCCCCTATATATATATATGATCTTCTAAGCTACTATCTATTCCTTAGTCTAACTCATACTATCTTAGTAGTAGATGTAAATATTACGGCTTAAAGATCAATGTTATCTATTCCTCCTCGTTTCGTCATAAATGACTGAATAGCGCTAAGATGACCCGAAAAGATAGAAGCAGTCACAGCGGCTCGAGAAGAATCTCCTGCTCTGCAACCTTGAACCATGCATCTCCTCGCTTACGCTCCTCAGTGGATTTCTCAGGTACCTCCACAAAGAGGAAAGTATTCGCGCTCTCTTTGCCGAGGTGTTGGCGCGTCCCGAAAAAGATGTTAGCGCTCACGATGGCTTCTACGATCTGGGAGGAAATTCCTTGGCCGCCATCGAGCTGGTGGCGCGAGCCCGGGACAGAGGTCTGGAGATCACGGTGGCCGATGTGATCCGTCTTCAGACAGTTCAACAGATCGCCGGATGTGCCGTAGCGAATAGGGACGTGCACACGATTGCGGCATTCGCCCTCCTCGAGGATGTGGAACAGAGCCTATCCACTGCAGCGGCCCAGTGCCGCGTCAGAAGAGACATGATTGAGGATATGTATGCCTGCACACCGTTGCAAGCAGGCCTCGTGTATCTGTCCATCAAAAACCCCGGATCGTTTGTGAGCACCTACCGATTTTCCTTCACACCTTCAGTGGACTTGGATCGCTTCCAGGGGGCATGGAAGCGGACTTATCTCGCACATCCCATGCTACGAACGTGCGTTGTGCAGCTCCAGGACGGTCAACTGCTTCAAGTAGTCATCAAAGCCAAAGCCTTGAGCACCAGCTCCTACGCCACGGATAATGCTGAGACCATGGCATTGGGGCGCCCTCTCACCCGCTGGGAAGTGCGTCATGCGCGAGGCAGTAAGCCGGCCGTCTTCACGCTGACAATGCATCATGCCGTTTTCGACGGGTGGTCCTTCATACAGGTGCTCGACGATTTGCAGAACGTTTATGATGGCCACGCGCTCCCGTCACGGCCATCATTCAACCGAGTGATCGACTATATCTCAAGGCTGGACATGTCTGCAGCCTATCGGTTCTGGTCACAGGAATTCACCGGCCTGCGAGCCACGGTCTTCCCGGACTCTTGCAATCGATCATCGGTGGTCTCACCGCGGCCATCGTCAAGGAGCCATCGGATTCCCCTTGCCACTGCAGATAAAGACTGGACACTCGCCAATAAGATCAAACTAGCATGGGCCCTGGTCGTCTCCGCCCAAACCTGTTCGAACGATGTCGTCTATGGATTGACGGTATCAGGCCGGAATGCTCCAGTTCCAGGCATTGACTGTATTGCTGGGCCGACGATTGCCACGTTCCCCTTCCGCACGCAGCTTGATCCACATTCATCCGTTGAAGATATGTTGTTAAGGCTACGCGAGCACGACGTCGCCATCATACCGTTCGAACATACTGGTCTCGCTCGCATCAGCGAAGCTAGCCCGGAGGCCGCCTTGGCCTGCCGCTTCCAGAATCTCCTCACAATCCGACTAAGTTCGGTGCAGAGCCCTTCTGCCATACTAACCAATCTCCCAGAGAATGAGCACCAGGAACTGCTGTTTGCCTCGTATCCTTTGTCCCTCGTGGCCCAACAGCGAGCCGAATCGCTTGAGATCAAGGCTTTCTTTGATAGCACCGTCCTGGATACGAATCGGGTGCAAATGCTATTGGACGAATTCGCAACAGCTCTGCAACGCATTCTTCGCGATCCCGGGACACAGATGGGGCAACTGATGACCCAGAATCCTCCAGATTGGCACCAGTTGGCGGTATGGAATCGGAAGGACAACCCAGAACGTCTAAGGTGCATGCATGAGGTAATTATGGACTTCTGCCTTACACAGCCCGATGCAGAAGCTGTGAGCGCATGGGATGGCTCGCTCAAGTATCTTGAACTCCTCTCGTTGTCGCGTGGGGTTGCGGGCCATCTTCAGTCTCGCGGGTGTTGTCGAGGGACGGTCATTGGGATCTGCATGGAGCGGTCCAAGTGGTTCCCTGTCGCGATATTGGGCGTGCTCATGTCTGGCGCAGCTATGGTCTTGTTGGAGCCCAATTTTCCTATCCCCCGATTGCAGCAAATCGTTCAGGATGCTGATGCACGAGTGGTAATCTGCTCCCCGGCGCTTCAAGACAAATGCAGGAAAATTGTGGACAGTACCGTGACCCTTACGTCGGATATCGTCCTCGCTGATTACTGTTCTTGGAGCCCATCCTCGGTGACACCGCAGGATCCAATGTATGTTGCCTTTACATCTGGGTCAACAGGTACCCCCAAAGGTGTTGTGATAGAGCATGGCATGGTCTATTCAGTAGTTCATGGGCACAAAGACGTCATTTCCGTGTCAAACACCTCCCGAGGCTTGCTGTTCGCATCGCCCGCTTTTGACATTTGTCTGGCTGAGGTGATGTTCATGCTCGCTGCAGGGGGCTGCGTCTGTATTCCCTCCGAAGACCAGCGGATGAACAAGCTGGCGGGCGCCATGACAGATATGAGGGTTAATATTGCCATGCTGACCCCTTCCGTGGCTCGGACTATTTCTCCAGCGGAAGTTCCATGCCTACAGACACTCGTTCTTGGAGGAGAAGCGCCTTCGGTGACTGACTTGGCTACGTGGGCGTCCCAGGTGCGGCTGCATCAGTCCTACGGGCCTGCAGAATGCACCATGTACACAACTACCACGGGACCGTTGTCCCCGGCTTCTGACCCCAGTAATGTTGGATCTTGCCCTAACGCATCGTGCTGGATTGTGAATCCCGACAACCACCATCAGCTCCAGCCCGTGGGTTCAGTGGGAGAGCTTCTCATCGGCGGACCCATTGTCGGCAGAGGGTACAAGAAAAGAACTGCAGAAACCGAGGCAGCTTTTATTCGCAATCCATCCTGGTGTGTGAAATTCCCCTTTCTGCAGGGACATCGGTTCTACAAGACAGGGGATCTGGCCGTCTTTCGACCCGACGGGAGTCTGAGTTTGGTCGGTCGAAAAGACGCGCAGATCGAGCTGCATGGGCAACGTATCGAGCTACACGAAATTGAGCATTGTGCCGAGCAATACGAGCAACAAACCGCAGCTATCGCTGGGCTTGTCACGCCCCGAGAGATCGCAGAACCCAGATTGGTCCTGTTCGTCTATAACCCTAAGCAAGTGGACACCACAAGCGGTCACTTCCCCAACCATGTACGTCAAGAGCTCTTTGTTCCGCCGTCAAGCGAGATTCTGTCCCGATTACAAGGCCTCAAAATGCACCTGAGCCAGCACCTTCCGTCATTCATGGTACCCTCGCTGCTTATCCCTCTGTCACGTCTCCCACTCAGTCCTAGTGGCAAAGCGGACCGCAAGAAAATGCGAGAGGAAGCAGGGAATCTGACGAGAGAGATAGTGACGGAGTATCTCGGCCATGCAGCATCGCACAAAAGGCAACCGATCACCGAGCAGGAACGTTTTGTGCGAGCCAATTTCGCCAAGGTCCTTTCATTAGACGAGGAGTCCATTGGAGTGGACGATGACTTTTTTGCTCTGGAAGGTGATTCTATCTCCGCCATACAACTGCTCACTCTGTGTCGAAAAGGGAATTTGGCTCTCTCCATGCTAGACTTTCTCTCTTACAACACGGTGTCTCTGTTCTGTGAACATGCTTGCTCGACCTATGGTGAATCCGTGGCTCTTTTGAAGAAGCAATCTCATGAAGCCTCTGCTCCGCGAGATACCACTTCCAAGGCAGATGGTCCCCTGGTTGAATTCCCGGAAGCGGAGATGCAGTTGATTCAGTCCCTATTGAACGTGGCAAATATCAACGATATCGAGGATGTGTACTCCTGCTCTGATGCGCACGCCGGGGTGCTCGAACTCTACACACCCAACTACTCGAGCACTGCCATCTTTGAAATTCGCACACGCAAGGCAGTCACCCTATCGCAGGTGGTTGCTGCATGGAATGGATTGGTGCAGCACCATGCCGCCTTACGGACAATCGTCCTGCACGTTCCTAATCTGCATGTGGGATATCTCCATGTCGTCCTTAGGCGGGTATCGGCAGATGTTGTGATCCTTCCCCGAAGCCAGAATGTGCGTCAAGAAGTTGAGAAGCTGGAGCCCGTGTGGTCCTGGGAGGCCACACCACCTCACCGCTTGGTTGTTGGCCAAGAGGACGATGGAACGGTCCTATTAAGGCTGGATACGGGTCGTGCGCTCATCGACGCCATATCCATGGCGATTCTGCTAGAAGGTTTCTGTCTCGCGCTCCGCGGTAGTTTCTCTGCTAGCAAAGAGACCCCGTACCGCCAATATCTGACTTACCTACGTGGCCAGTCGCGCGAAGAGGCGCTGCAGTTCTGGAAACAAACGCTGTCCGAAACTCGGCCATGTAACCTTCCCAGAGTCCCATCTGAATTGCATCCGCCATGCAGATCCCGTCCATGCAAGGCTCGGCCCCTGCGTCGCAGTTTGCGAGTCGAGCAGTTCAATCGGCTCACCTCCTTCTGGCGATCCAACCATGTCACTCTCACCAACATATTCCAGCTGGCATGGGCTTTGACCCTTCAGCATTACACAAAGTCCCGCGACGTTTGCTTTGGAACGGTTATCTCAGGTCGGGACATTCCCTTACCTGCCATCTGGCAGATGGTCGGCACCTTTTTTAATGTCGTTCCCTGCCGGTTTATCCTTGAGCCCGCGAGCACAGTGCTTGATACTCTGAGACAAAACCAGGAGGAGATGCAACGTCGGAATGAGCACCAGCACTGCTCAATGCCAGCAGCTGTCCGCCAGGCTGGGATAGTAGGGGTTGCCGGGCTGCAGCAGCTGTTTAACACAGTCTTGGCCGTGCAAAATGTATTTGGGGTAGGATCTTCGAGAGACAAAGGTAACGGCGACGAGATTGTCATGAAACTCGTCGAGTTGGAGGATGCGACGGAGGTGAGTACACTTGTCAACATTATCCTTGGTAAGAGTTATAGAGCGTCTAATCTGAGCTCAACAGTATGACTTTTGTGTGGCTGTCCTCCTCTCACCGTCCCAGATTGACGTCGAGCTCCGCTACTGGGCATCAAGCGCGTCCGAAGATTATGCTTCTCGCATTCTGAAATGCTTCCTGCATCATCTTGAGGAGATCCTCCACCACGTCTCGGAGCCACTAAGTGCTATCGCCGGTTTCGAATAAGGTCTCCATTCCCATGAGGTAAGATTGACAGTTGGGTAGCCTGACAGACAAAGATACCAGTTCTCAGGGACGCCTGAGGCTGTGGACACAGCATCAAGACAGAAAAACTGAAAAGCCAAAGTCAGATGGTCTGATTCTTGAAGTTGGCCGCAGAATCGACATTAAAGCCTGGCGAGAACAAAACAACACATTCTCTGTAGGATATCATCTTTCACCCCAAAAGTATCAGCTCATTCATTCACAGCATCAGAGTCGTCGTTTTAAAGAATTATTTAGCTTCTGGCGTTGCCTCAAAATGGTTCTTGTGTTGAGGGTCTTCGTTGGGACTCATGGCTAATATAGAATCTGTCGGTTTAACATAAGAGCAATAATTTCCTAAGAATACCTCAGCTATTGGATTCTTCCCAAATGCTAGAGCAAGTTCACGTTTTCCGTAAAATAGCGGATGCAGGTTCCCTCGAAACACCACAAGCCGACAATCGGGAACGGACTCAATCCAGGATGACAGTGACCTGTCATACATTGGCACCCGGCCAATCAAGAAGAACAGACAGCATATCACTGGCACCCAGCCTGTTTCGATGATCACTGACTTACCATTCGGCCATGCCCCTATCAGACCACCTCATCAATTATCCATAGCACCAAGCCTATTTTAAAGATCATGACATCAGACAGGCAGACAGACTGACTGACGATGGATTGATTGATTGATTGGACAGAGGAGTCCAGACTATGTGCGCGTCGATCTGTAGTTGGACTGTTGATGGATAAGGCACAAATCCGGCAACACTCGGAGGGAAAAACAATTCCCCGATATAAAAATCCCGTCGATCAGATACAGTGGACGAACAATAGAACAAGACTCACGAGGGAATTACGGATACTTCTTCACCGAAAGATCCAGGGAGCAAAATGGCAAAAGTATTCTTTACACCGTGGAAGGATCATTCCCAGTTACTCACTGTCCGGAATCAATTCTACCCTCCGCCCGCCTATGATGGACCAGATTTGCGCTCAAATGCCTGCGCTACGGTACGTAGTTTCTACATTACGCTTGAATATCATGATTAACGCCCCCAAGGTCGGAGTCTGGAAGCTCCGTGGCAACCTCCCACATCCGGTTGAGGCTACCGCCTTATTAACGGACGCGATTCTTCACGACGATGCTCAGAAAAATTCCATATTCTCGATTCGAGCCACCTACTCGGCTGCCTTTTGTCGGTGAGTCCCTTTTATTCATTTTTGATGCAAAAGGTATCTCTAACGCAGATCTATCAGATTCGTAACGGGTCTCGTTGACTCCAAACTCCATGGGCAGAGGAAGACCATGTTTCAACGAGCGATTGACCTCGGGCTTCCGGCATCGTTTGTTGAGCTGCGTCACGAGGCGACCCATCGAGAGCTACCGTCTCTTGTGGTATTGCGCAATGCGACGCAACGCTCATTGGAGTGGCTCTGGGACTATTACTGGGCCAAGACAGACTCCGATGTTGCGCTTGTATTAGGAAGGCCTGCCTCTGCGGTCTCTAACGGTGCCGACGATGGCAATGTAGAAGAAATCAGAAGCGTCGTCAGAACCGCCCTCGAGCATCCAGCGAGCCAGGGCGACCTTTCAGAGCCACCACGGAAGAAGAGGAAGTCAGCTCAGCAATCGTCTTTCCTTGAGGCGCAGCTGGTAGCGATATGTAAGGCGTCTAGCAGGAGTCCTCACTCACTTTCTCGAATCCTCATTGAGGATTCAATAATTGTACCGAAGGGACGAAAGTAAGTCTGCCATGGTACGCAACGTTAGTGACTATCCCTAGCTAACATATCTTTACAAGACTTGGCGATTCCATGGATGAAGCATTCACCAAGTGGGACAGATCACTACAGAGTGTAGTGGCAGGTCAGCCTACATTTTTACCAGCTCTGACTGAGGAATTGGTCAATGAACTGGCATTCACGAGACGACCGAATACGAAGAATGATCCCCAGTGCGAGGCGATTTATATGTGGCTGGACCACATTTTGAACTCAGCAGAATGGAGTACAGCTCGGCAATCTCTTTCTCTCGGATACATTCTCAGTGTCTGTGAACAAAATTCGAGTCACTGGCTGGATCTGCTCAGAGGCGCTGTTCCCTCGGAGGATAATCGCTTGCCTCCTATTGCTAGAGATCAGAGCAACGCTCCACCTCGATCACAGAAGAGATCCGAAAGTACGACACATGCCCAGCACTCCGAGGGTGATCTACAAGGGCTGCAGAAATTCGGGTGGGAAAGGTTAGACACATGGGATACCAGACCAATAGGGATAGTTTGACTGGAGCAATGGAGCGAAGTGAGCGACTCTCTATAACCCACCATCTCCGTCTCGCACAACTCACCCACATCGGAAGAGATCCTGGTCATTCGCATGATCCAGGCCAAGGAATGCTCTTTATATTAATGTCATTTTGTACAAGTCGTAGGGAAGACAATTGAGCGATGTATATAATTTTCCAAATACGGCTTAGCGCCAACCACATGACCCGGAGCTACTATGAGGTAATGCTCCGGATAGTCTTCATTCATCGAGATGCCGCCTATTAGTAAATGATCTCAGTATCACCCCGCATTTTCGCTCTCTATCACTTTCGTCAATGAACTTCTTCAGAGCGATCAGACCGTACTGTGGATCTCGATACTTAAGGGCACATCCCGTCAGAACCATGCATGTACAGTCAATTCCTATGTGTAAGTTGAATATACACCGTGCCTTGTGTCCAATCTTGAATCTTGATTGATTCAGCTGTTGGTTATCCGAGCGAATTTGACGCTCACACTATTGTACAGGGACGGGGAAGGGCAACAACTATGCCTACCTTGTGACGGACGAGCCGACAAAAGAGTCCGTCATCATCGACCCGGCTAATCCGCCAGAGTACATTGTTCGTCAAAATGCGCTTGTGGAATCAATTCTGATGTTCTGCTAGAGTGGCTCCAGAGCTTGATGCTCAGATCAAGGCCGGAAAAATCAAACTCTCAGCCATTGTCAACACGCATCAGTATGTCTCGGCATCCAGTCGCTAAGGGAGACCAGTATTAACGTGCGCTTCCAGTCACTGGGATCATGCTGGCGGCAACGATGAGATGGTGAGCTAGCTAGCTATTTTATGAGCTTTTTCTGACTAACATATACAGCTGAAACATTTTGGTAAACTCCCGGTCATTGGAGGAAAGAACTGCAAATCAGTCACACAGACTCCTGCACATGGGGAGACATTTAAGATTGGCGAGCGCATCTCCGTCAAAGCACTGCACACCCCCTGCCATACTCAGGATAGTATCTGCTATTATATGCAGGACGGGGACGAAAAGGTGGTGTTTACAGGTGACACCTTATTCATTGCAGGTAAGACATCCATTTCCCGGTGTATTCGAATGAATCTCACAATGGCAGGATGTGGTCGCTTTTTCGAGGGAAATGCTCAAGAGATGCACAAGGCGTTGAACGAGACTCTCGCCTCGCTACCTGATGACACCAAAGTCTACGTAAGCCGCTAAGAATCCAGTTCTCATTGATGCAGAGACTGATTCGTATAGCCCGGCCATGAGTACACCAAGAGCAACGTCAAGTTCTGTCTTGCTGTATCTCAATCAGAACCGATCAAGAAGCTAGAAGCATACGCCAATCAGCATCAACAGACCCAGGGAAAGTTTACTATCGGAGACGAGAAGGTATGGAGTCCGTCGCCGGTTGATCGCTCTAGCTGACGAGGTTGCATAGCTGCACAATGTGTTCATGAGAGTCAATGTAAGAAGATTCAATGATTCATACTCTATTTATACTTTTTGTCTGACCGTTCATAGGATCCTGAAATTCAGAAGAAGACCGGAAAGACAGATCCGGTGGAGGTGATGGCAGCTTTGAGAGAGATGAAGAATGCTATGTGAACAAGTGATATAGGAAATAGCTTTGAATACACCATCTGATTCATTGTTTGAACTCTGCGTAAACATGACTATACTCGTACTCGCCTTCGTGAAAGATGGGGTTTAAAAACTTATTGATGAATTCAATGATGAGAATAGTCTTCGTTAAATGATACTGTAATCCTCGTGCAGGGGAGTCATGGTAGTCATGTGGGAAACGGAATATGTGCCGTTCATCGCTCCCTAGCTTCATCTCTATTTCATCCATCGGTATCCCATATTCGGCATCCCATCTGCCATCTACCTTGATGTGAATGACGACTCCAATTATTTTTTCACGGACCTCATTCGACTCACTCTAACCTTGACTAATTTCTATCAGTTATCAAGAGGTATACAGCCAGCACATGGCTCGCAATGGTTCCCCGCAGCGCAGTCCAAACCAGATCTTCTACCATGAAGACCGCTGCCAGCGTCAACGAAGGCCCATTTCGCTGTCCCCAGCGCGGATGTAGTCGAAGCTACAGGCGCAAAGAACACCTTACTCGGCACTCTGCGAGCCACAGTCAAGCGCCAGCGTGCGAGTGTCCGTTTTGTGATAAAGTCTTCTCTAGGACGTAAGCTCATCCGCAGCACCTCTCTCACAACGGCAGTGAAACCGACTCTAATTTGACATACAGTGACATTTTACGTCAACATGTTCGGGCCCTTCACAAGGACAAGAAGTTGGAATCTAGTCGCACGGTTATAGCGTGTAGCCACTGTCGCTCGAGAAAGACGCGATGCAATGGTAGGGCCCCTTGCGAAGCATGCTCACGCAGAGGTCTCCAATGCTCCCTGTCGCATTTGTCCTTGTCACGTCAGGGGAATCCAAAGAATGCTGAAACTCTGGGCGTGAACGCCAATATCAACGAACTTCAGGCTGAGAAGTATGACCTGGAAAAGCGCTCGACTGCTGAAGATCGCATGAACTGTATCCCTTCCTGGAAGAAACCAATATCCTGCAGTATGTGGAGATCTATTTTGAGAAATTCCATCCGGTCTGGCCGCTTCTGCATAGAGCGACTTTCGAACCTAGCCAGGAGCCTCCGATTCTCTTGCAATCGGTTGTCATGATGGGAATGTGGATGACTGGGGACGAGAAGATGCAGTGTCATGCAGTCAAACTACATGACAAGCTTAGCTCCTTAGTCTACGAACAGCGAGTGAGTAACTCGCCTGGGCCTGGCTTCCCCTTTCATTACCCAAGGAAGCATCCTCAAGCCAATGTCCTCGAGTCGTGCAGCTGATGCCAATCTGATAGGACAAGTGGGCAGCCATAAGCTCAGAGTCCGAAGTCCAAAGCCCCTGGCCCATGGCAACATACCAAGCCACCCTTATTCAGATCATTTTCGCCTCCCTCAAAGACGCTCATAGTCAAGTTGACATTCAACTCGCCCGAACGATCTCTACGAGCTGCTCTCGTCTATTAACGACACTGACTGAAACTTGCCTTCGCAAAAACATGTTCTTCTACCCAGAGATCTTAGCCCAGTTCTGCGGCGACTCCGTCCCGGATGTCTTCATCTGGGTAGGCATCGAGGAAGTCAAGCGCTTTGCACTCGCCCTTTACGAAGTGTGCAGGACGTGTCATATTCAGCGCGAAAACAGTCCTCGCAATAGCCCTCGCAGTGCTAACAGGGGAAGAAGCCTTCTCACCCTGGCAGACTTGCAGTTCGCACTGCCTGACAGCGATGAGCTCTGGCATGCCACCTCGGATCTGGCGGCTCGGCTGGCAGAAGATGGGCCGCTTTATTATGACAATAACGACGCTGCGGCCAATTGGATTTCTCAGTCAAGCGAGACTGTTGCAGAGGCACGATATGACATTTGATTGGTTATAGTTGCGTCCGCGCAGTCAGGTACTCTCGGGTAGATCGACTACCTTTAACTTCGTGATCTCCGCACAGAAGTCGAAAGCCGTGATGGATCCATGTCAGGAGCACGGCTAAGTATTCTCTTGGCGACGCGAAATTCCAGGGCTTTATCGTTTCTCGTGAAGCTGGGAATATCACAAGTGTGGTTTGATCCGCAATCATCATGACGTCAACTATGGACGAAACTCCTGCTTTCAACGGAATAGACATCCGAAGCAATAGGCGAGCTGCAGTTAAATTGGGACAACAATCTTCGTTCTACAATCGTATCTCCCAGTTCAATCTTGACAATTGCAAAATTGTATCGCACAACCATGTCTTGTCATCAACACATTCCCAGAGACCAAGATGGGATCCCCGGCTCGCCTCTCAGCACCAAAAGCCGTGTCCTGGAAGGCGGCGCCAGCATGGTCCAAGATTTCACGCCTGTCAAGCAGATTTGCGCCCATCTAAATGCCTTCCACATTTATGCGTCGGATCCGACAAGAGCTGTGGAAGCGAATCATTATTGTACACATGTTACAGAAGGTCTTGATAGCTCCCTTGCTTCTGCAAGAAAAGACAGCTGATCTGAAATGCAGACCTCAGGCAGTGTCTGATATACGATTCCACCAAGCCTAATGCCCGGTTGATCGGCGTCGAGTACATGATTTCGCCGCGCTTATTCGAGACCCTCCCGTCCGAGGAACGCAAATTATGGCACACCCATGAGTTTGAGGTCAAAAGCGGCATGCTGATTATGCCCGCTCCGGCGGGAGTGCCGAAGCCTGCCTGGGAAGCAGCGGAAACATCAGAGATGAGGGACGTCATTCCGCTGTACGGAAAAACGTATCATTTTTGGCAGGTGGACAGGGGCGATCCACTTCCCTTGGGAGCTCCACAGCTCATGGCTAGCTTCACATCTGAAGAGAAAGTCAAGCTCGCTCATCCCAAGGGTCTTGACGGGTTACTTGCGGGGAGGGACGAGGCGTTTGGGGTTGATTATAAGGTTAAGGCGGAGAAGAGGAAGGATATCGAGCCGCCTAACTTGAGTCCTGGTAAGTATCTTGGGGCATGTTTGGGAAGCTGTGAATTGATGACGATTGTCACAGATGCCGACGCCATGGTGCAGAATAGGTAAGACGAAGCTGGGTCACCGAGAGATTGGCCTTGATGAAAAAATGGTACATGTAAAGTATGATGACTTGGGTGTGCGTGGCTGGTTACCGAGCAGGATATCTGAGAATCTTCAGCCATCTATGGCCACGCAGCGAATTCTCCCTGGAGAATTTTGAGATTGGATTCCCTAGTACTATCAAGAGCATGGGTCTCATCATACGACGAGGAAGGGGAACGAAAGTCCGAAAGAAATTATCATTATCATATCTAATTGTCTCCCACCCACGCTATCCAGCATCCCAGTCCCATAGTTAAATGGGGTCAAAGCTAAGACAGCGTTCGGGGATATCTCGCCACTTTGTGTGGTTAGTCGAGACGTATAATGTTCATCTTGCTTCTCTGTCCACACTCGCGCGTCCTGGTGTTGTATTTCGGAAACGGCGAGCTCTAGCAATTTAGAAGCTGTGTTGATACCTAGGAATGGAGACTAGTAACTGTGCTTGTTGGAGATTCCAATATAATTGAATCATTCAATTGTCGTCGATTGCACTTCAGCTGAGATCCTTGCATAATCGAGAACACATTGAACGCGTCCATTAAGCAACATGAATCCTCGAAGATGAGAACACTCAAAACTGTAAAGCGAAGACCAGCTGGCTCAACCAAAACCAGACATAATGGTTGTGGAAATAACCAGTCTAAGTACTCGAAGCCGAAGAGAGGAAATAAAAGTAGAAGAAGCTGCAAAGTGCGAAGAATTTTTAAACGAAGAACCACAGCACGTGACTTCCCTCGGCCGTGCCGCCTCTCCGCCTACAAGCAAATATAGCTCCAATCAGCCCGGCAGAACAAGACACCCAGACAGTCCAGAAATGCTCTGACCACACCAATGGAACGAATACTCCGCTCCGCGCTGAGAAGCGCAACGCCCGGCGCCGTCTTCCGCCTCACCCTCGACGGCCTGGGCCTGTTCTGCGCATGCACTCTGGTCTGGGAGCACCTGATCACCGTGCAGCTCAGCGAAGGACCCTCGATGTACCCGACGTTCAACCCGCGGGGCGATTACCTGATGATATCGCGGGTGCACAAGTACGGCCGGGGGATTGAAGTCGGTGATGTGGTTCGGTTTTACCATCCGACGTTCTTGGGAGTCAATGGTGCGAAGAGAGTGATTGGGATGCCGGGGGATTTTGTCTGCAGGGATCTGCCGTTTAGTACGGAGGTTGGGACGAGTCGGGAGATGATACAGGTAGGGATTTGATGTGCGGTGGGTTGTGGGCTACTGGAGTTTTGCTAATTCGGTGTTGTGCTTAGGTACCCGAAGGCCATGTGTATCTCGGCGGAGACAACCTGCCCTGGTCGAGGGATTCGAGGAATTATGGGCCTATTCCTATGGGGTTGATTAACGGGAAGATTATTGCTCGTGTTTGGCCACCGTCTAAGATGCAATGGGTGGAGAATACTCTGCGGCCAGCTCAGTTGGACGAGGAATAGACGGGTTCCCGGCGGTTATAACATGATTTGCGGCGCATAGTTGAGGCGAAGGTTAGGAGTTCGGAGTTGGTTAAACTTGTGTACATATTCATACATGTCGGTTGTACAATACAGATCTATCACCTGAAAGCTGTAACGGACAGAAAGGAAGCGCAAAAGGATACATAAGCAGATCACCGGAAGGTGGAAGGATTCCTCCTCTTATAAGGCAGAGGCTCGACTCTCTTCCGGCGCAGTTCTACGTCGGCCTCGGGGAAGCCAATCTCTCTCATGACTTCCAGCATGTTCTCATCCCATTGCGTTCTGAACAGGTGCGCACCAATGGCCTTGAGGTGATACCTGGCCTGCAGTGTCCGAAGAAGGACGTCACGGCTCGTCTCCATGCCCTTGACCAGAGAAAAGTTCAATGGAGCCGAATCCTTTTGCTCCATGATGAAGATGGAGAGTCGGTGGTAGGGGCTGCCCTTCTGAGCGACCGGGGGCAGCCATGGAAGAACAACCTGCGAATCTGCTGACAGGTTGCCGAGATCAACCTTGGTGGAAGTAGCGGAGATGGGCACGTTCACAGCAAGGTAGTGCATCTTGTAGTCGAATCCGTCCTTCTCGACATTGGGTACGTCCGAGTCGACAACGGCAATCGTCACGAGCTTCTCGCCAGCCTCAAATAGCTGTACATCAAGCTTTGGGGCCGTCGAGCTGTCCTTGGAGTTGACGAACTCTCCAGGTTGAATCGTATGTCTACCGAAATAGAGTTTGGTGTCCACAACAGGGTCGCAGTGAGGCAGAACATCAGGAATGACCTTCATTTGGGTAATTCTCTGCACCAAGATCTTGCGACGGTACTCTCTCCACTTCCGATCGGCCAGGAAGCGGTAAATAGGCTTGGTCATGTCGCCTAGGTCGCAATTCAAGGTTAGTTGCATATGGCTACTTGAAAGTGAATGGTATTCCTTCTTTAACTCACTCGTACCTTGCCCATCTTCGAATTTCTTCTTAACGATAGGGTCATTGATATCGGCATGGATCTTGAGACGCTCAAGCTCCAGTTCCATTGCCCGCAACTTCGACTTCTGCACTTGCTCGCCGCCAGCCTCTTCCGCAGGGATAGCCTGGAGCCTCGCAATTCTCTCCCGCATGGCCGTAATCTTCTTAATCTTCTCCTCGCGATCTGCGAGTAATACCTTCCGGGCTTCTTGGAAGCATTGATAAGGCAGTTGCTCAAAGGGGATGTTGGCGGAGCTCTGCAGTGCTGCTCGACGACGGCGGGAGCCAATGGGCGCAACGCCTTGCTTCAGCAGTTTCCTTTCCAAACGGGGACTTGTCACGAGAGCCGGATCCGGGCTTTTGTAGAAGGGTTGGCTTTGGGTCTCGGCCTGAGCTTCCTCGCGAGCCAGAGCGGTCGACTGAAAAGTCCGCGTCGACTGCAGCTGGAGGCCTGGCAAACCTCTAGCATAGGTTTTCTGGATGCATTGAATCAAAGGCCTCGAGGCCCGCTCACAAGGAGCCATTGTTGGCGGAATTACTTGATGGATGCGGTGGAGGAAAGGTGATGATCGTGTTGTCGGGGCAAAGGTGGTAGAGGGTCGGACGGAACTCTTTTTTTCACTCCGGCACAGCCAAGCCTCACCCAACTAGCGCGGACCGCCGCAAACCCCCGGATTGAACTTTTGCTTCACCTGCCCTGGTTCGATAACACAACAATATAGGACATCAAACAGCAAAATGCCTGGAACTGATGCTCTCAGCGCTCTTAGATGGCTTTCGCGAAGCTCGAGTGGCCTGTTGACAGGCGCTGAAGCCACAACGGTATGACTTTTCCCTTGTTTGAATCGCAATGTTGTATTCAACGATTCACATACTGACATACGTCCTTACTATTAGAAGCGATGCCTGGCAACACCTCTTTCGAGATCAATGGCAACAGAGGCCCAGCCTACGACCGATTTCCTCACAAGAGAGTCTTCGACCGGTCCCCGGCCCGCTTGGGACGCACCCGCCAAAGCCACCACCTACTCATTTCCGTCAATGGAACCCCTGCGTATCGTCGAATATCCTCGAAGCCATCTTTTGATGCCTCTACGAAAAGACATTCTTCACCGAGCCGTCGTCTATGAAGGTGACATGACCCGGCAAGGTACAGCAAGCACAAAGTGGAGAGACGACGTTCATGGCAGCGGTAGAAAGCTCTATGCGCAAAAGGGCACCGGTCGGGCGCGTGTTGGCGACAAAAAGTCCCCAATTCGACGAGGAGGAGGTGTCGCTTTCGGTCCTCACCCTCGCGACTTTGCTACGAGCCTCCCCCAGAAGATCTACGACCAGGCCTGGCGGATAGCCCTGAGTTACCGGTACAAGCGAGGCCAGCTGATCATCATCGACAACGAAATCTCGATTCCAGAGGGTGCCACCCCACACCTCATTAAGGAAATCTTCAAGGTCAACTGCTGGGGCCGCGAATTTGGACGCTCAACATTAATCACAGACCAGCTGAATGAAGGCTTGTTTGAGACGGTACGTGAGGTGGGAGAACACGCAAAGATCCTGAACCGCAAGGACGTGGACGTCAAGGATATCCTGGAGACAGGAAGACTGGTCATTGAAAAGCAGGCGCTGGACCGCATTCTGTCTCAGCATTCAAGGGACTTGGTCAACAAGCCTGCCACGGCTGTGTATTAGTGCAATAAGTTTGGCTTGGGCTGTCTACGGTTTTGATTGTATTAAAACAATGGTATCCTTGTGTATAAATAGATTCGACATGATATGAGTATCTTTGAGCCATCATAATTTGACAGTAATTGTGATTGAGGTTTCCGTCCTATCTGCCTTGAAGGCTCATGTGAACCTCCTAGCGTGCCAACTCCAAGATTTCTGACGTATTCCTTAATTCCTGGTCAAGCGCTATCAGTAGATATCATTACTCAATTTGAACCTTCAAACTCCCGTTGCGCAGCTAATTCCGTTGTCGAACCGCTCGTAACCGCGGAATTGGGGATGTGCTCGGCAGCAAAACCGTCCATCCTGTCCAAGCTGCCGGCGGAGGAAAATCAATCAGCGCGAAAAACTCCGAGGTCAAGCGCCCATCCAAAGCGGAGAAACGACATTCTTTCCCGAGTCATAAGCACTTAACTTTCTCCCTTTTCATTCATTGTCGCTTTCTCCTCAACGACGGACTGTCGTCTGCCTAGATGTTACTTCGACGCAGTTTCTGCCGCTTACCAACGCCGGCGAGCTGGATCTCGCGGGTTTCACCACCAATGCCTCTCCGCGCCAAAGTGACGAATCCAGCATTCGGGGCTGCTGCTAAGGTATGCTACATAGCTTGAGTCTGGTCGATGCGTCTGGTTCTAAATTGAAGCGTCTGGTTCTAAATTGAAGTGTATAGATGTCGACTGCTCCCGAACTCCCCAAAGAACTCCCCGGAGACGAGCCCGACGATGTCCTATTCAGCTCCCTCTACGGTGTACGATTGATTGAGCTCAATCGCCCCAAGAAGCTCAATTCGTTGAACGGGTCAATGGCACGGAAGATTCTTCCCCGGTTGAAGGTTGGCGACTCGGATTCTGGAGCGTGTTATAATGTCTTGGTTGCTAAGTCGGTGGATAGGAATGGGAAAAATCCCAGCTTGCAAACATTGTCATGCTTTCCGGTGCTGGCACAAAAGCTCTCTGCGCAGGAGGCGACGTCGCTTCTCTGGCTCTGCAGAACGAACAAGGGCCGGAAGGACAGCAAAAGTCGACCGATTTCTTCGGCCTCGAATACCGCCTGGACCACATTATCGCTACGTATGCAAAGCCATTCATCTCGGTGATGGATGGAATCACAATGGGCGGCGGCGTCGGTCTCAGTGTTCATGCCCCCTTCCGCATTGCGACTGAGCGTACTGTGTTCGCCATGCCCGAAACTACCATCGGATTCTTCCCGGACGTTGGTGGCTCGTTCTTCCTCCCCCGTCTCGACGGTGAGATTGGCACATATCTGGCGCTCACCTCGGAGCGCCTCAACGGTGTGCAGGCGCTCTACGCCGGTGTTGCGACACACTACTTTCATTCCAGTGTTTTGAGCAACCTGACCGCTCGTCTGGCGGAGTTGGTCTTCCGGGACCACGCGTCGCTTGCCGAGCGCTTGGACCTGGTCAACAAGACCATGGCCGAGTTCTCCGTCGGCCTTCCGCCGGTGGAACAGGAGCCTATTCACCTTGCCGGCAGCCTGCGGACCGCCATCGATCGCTGCTTCAAGCACAAGACCGTCGAGGAGATCTTCCGGGCTCTCGAGCAGGAGACTGTGCAGAAGGAATGGGCTCAGAAGACATTAGAGACCCTGTCTTCTCGCTCGCCCACATCGCTCAAGGTGACCTTGCGCCAGATGCGCGTGGGCAAGCACTGGTCCATTTCCGAGACCTTCCAGCGGGAGTACCAGATCGCCGCTCAGTTCATGAAACACCCCGACTTCGTTGAGGGCGTCAAGGCCCGTCTGATGTCGAAGCCCCCTCGCCAGGCTACATGGCAGCCCGCTACCCTGGAGGAAGTCACCAGTGATGCTGTAGATGCCTTCTTCAAGCTTCCCGAGGGCGAGTCCCGGCTAGCACTCTTCAACAAGACCGACTACAAGCAATACCCTCACGCCTACGGCCTTCCCAGCGAGGCGGAGATTGAGAAATTTGTCCGCGACAGCTCAGAATCTGCCAGCAAGACCGTGGCCGATTTCGTAGAGAAGTGGGGTCACAAGGAGGGAGCCAGAGAGAAGGTTGCAGAGGTTCTCGCTAGACGAACAGTGCAGACTCCAGAGGGTCTGCGGTGGGAGTAATTCAAGGACAGTGCAATATCCAATGATTAATTCTATGTGAGCTGTGCATATGGTTGTATCTTCATCCACGTGTATTCTTAAATTAAATGGTACTAGACTCAATCAATCCCGTCACATCACTGTACAGGTGTTCCGAGAGAGCCCGGATCCTATGTACACATACGGTATTCTGTAGACATGCTAGAACGAGAGAATCCAAACATCACCCAGCCTCCCATTCGACTCATCCAATCCTCCCTGCACAACAATCGCATTCTCACCGAGCACATCAGCAGCAAACCACCCACGAGCACACGGCGCCTCAGCACCCTGCGCATCTACCCTCCTCCATGACCTCTCCTCCATATCAAACACCCACACATCACCCAGCATCTTCCCCGCCCCCTGATGACCCAAAGCACTAGGGTCCCTCTCCCCAAACAGCGTCACCAGCGCCACCCGACCCCAATCCGCACAGGAAGCAGCGCGCTGACGCTCCGCGCCTCAGGCCCACTCACCCCATCTGCAACAAACCGATACGACGACCAGGCGTTCGCTTCTGGAGAATACACATCCACACTGCCGCCTTGCTCGTTCTTCCCATCGAATCCATTCATCCGGTACAGTGCGCCGTCAGCAAACGCAATCGAGGTACCCCCGCGAGGCGGATCCGGCGCAGACGCCAGCGCCGTCCATTCCCGGGTTGAGAGACGGAAGGCCCAGAGGTCGGAAAGACGGCCGGTTTCCGGGCAGCCTGCGTGCAGGTAGAGCGTGTCGGTGCCGTCGCTGGTCATGCAGTGGTAGCTGCGGGGTGGGGGTGGATCGCTGAGGCGGACGTGATGAGTCTCCAGGCTGAGGTCTGGGGGTTGAATTCCCAGACTGCGCCGGCTTCGTCGATGGGGGCCATGGCGGCGCCGCCGCGGCCGGAGAAGAGGTAGATCTTCTTGCCTAGGGTTGTGGAGGCAGATCCTACTCGCGGGGAGGGGACCTGTGATGTTGATGGTCTGGCAATGGTTGATGTTGGATCTGTTGGCGGTTAGATAACCATTGATTTATCTCACTTGGTTTAGAGATGCTATCCTTACTTGTGCCATTCAGGGCGATGGTATGGACATCATTATCGCGGGGTTCGCGGGGTCGTAGCTCTCCTCCAAATACGTGGGCCATGTTATCGACAACAGCGAGGACTTGGGAGGACCGTTGAAGACTCTCGGCGTCGAGGACCTTGGTCCATTTGCCGGTGACTTGGGTTGCTACCATTTTGGTTGCTTGGGGGCTGTCTAAGGAGTAGCTATATGGGCCGGGAGCCTTTGAAGTTCTGCGTATGGGCTGGCTGTATTTGATCGTCAGTGGGTACCTTGGGAGTAGCCTCAGTGATAACATTTCTCCGGCACTATATCGATCAATGGTTGGATACAGCGATAACGTGGTATCTCAACTAATTCTACCATTAGTTCTTGCATATAAAAGAGTACTTAATCTAGCAAGCCACCAGTCTTCTGGAAGACGCGCGAGATATCATCCTCGCCAAAACCACGTGGGCGTTTTTTATATTTTGTTGTAGCATAAACCAGTTTGCCCACAATCATCCATTCGAAAGCTGCATATTATGGAAAAAGCTAGCCTAGAGTCTCTGCTCTGTAGGAGGAAAAGTCTACAGAAACATAACCACTGACAAGGGCTAGAATCAACTGTAATCTGAAAGGACCAGCTAACTAGACAAGTCGAAGCGACTTTCATATCGTCTTCCCTAGACCTGGGTTCTTCTAAGCTTTAAGCTCGGTGCTTGAGGAGTTGATATAACTGTTGATCTTCATGGATGGGTCTTCTCAGTTCTACCCAGACACTTCTCGGGGAGGACAAGCATCATTATCACCATGGATAAGTGGAAAAGTTCCCAACATTTCAACAGGTTAAGGCGACGGACTGTGAATGATGTCTGATGGTCAGCTTCTATCAATATACTAATCCAAAATCTAGTGAATTGGTGGTGATATACACAGGAGACTCTGTATCCTGGTCCTATCATTCACCAAGAAATCATTACATAGACTTTCCTCCGTCTGTGGTCGATTACATTTATAGAATGTATAGATCAAGCACCTAAGCTATCTTACAGGTTATCTGTCAGAACATTCCGTTCGCGGTGCTCATTACAGGAACACCAAGTATCTGGCCAGGTTTCTGAATCCAGCAATTGCTCTTGCCCGAGATAGTCAGACTACATGGTAAAGGCAGACTTGCAAGGGCTGAGGGATGGCCAGTTACTACAATAGGCAATCTGAGCCATACCTTCCGATCTGGCTCCGGATCACAGTGATTCTTTCACCGTTTCCTTGTTTTGCTTCTAGTTTCTCATTCTTCCAGCTTCTCAATCTTCATCGCAACTTCATCCATTTCCTCCCTCGAAAGTTACAATTGCTTTAGACAAGCCCTGGATCACAATGGATATGTAATCCATATATCGATTGCGTTATAGAGGGTAATGCCTTGACACTTTGCTGACAGTGTCGCGGGGCTCGCGCTCTGTGAGCCCATCTCCTTGATAACTGCTTTGGAGGCGAGGACTGTTCTACTCTGAATAATCTTCCGAATCTCATTGCGGCTATGAAGGTAAGTCTATCAAAGGCAAAGCCACTTCTTGACATCCTGGGTGATCTTCATGTGTGTGAGCATGGATACTAATAATGTGGTTTATACAGATCAAGGGAGATACCACCAAGCCACCAACACCACCCCAACGTCAATAAAGCCTTGATCGCACTCCATCGGCGAGGAATGAAGAATCCCAGGGGAAACCAGCTACAAAGACGAACAGTTTTGGCCAACAAGTATCTCCAGCAAGTAATCTCCTTCACATAAAACATCTTCTGCTGGTATCCAGAATCGTACGTTCGCCGCTCTATATTATCATAAATTCGAAGTCATCATAAAGAGTCTTCATAATGACATTATCACAGCATGCAACAGACTCTCCCGCGCTCCGGCATACTTTTGTCATTTCACAGGCATATGTGGATGCAGAAACCTCAATCCGGCAGCCTACCTGTCGGGCAAGAGGCGACACCGTTCTGCTAGCCAAAAAGAAATATCAAAGAGATTCTTTGAAAGGAAGACAAATGAGAGGAAAGCTGCTCAGGCAGCTAAGAAAGGAGCAAACAACGCCACCAAGTCTCTCAAGAGGCGTCATCGTTCCCCTAGCCAAAAGGCTAGATCAAAGCGATTCTTTGAGAAAAAGACAAGGCTGCAAAAACAGCAAAGAAACCACCAATGTTTGACTTTCTTTTTTTACCTGTTTGTCAAGTAGTTGTTCAAGTTTGTACCACGGACTTTACTGAGGCAGATTCTCGAGTAGCTATACAGCTGCTAAGATGTGAAATAACTCCTGATGAAACACCTTTTAATGCAGCAGAGCTTGTTTGCAAAAACAGCTCCTAAAGGTGACTAAATAGCAGTCCTAGAGGATGGCTGAATATCAATTAGACTATTATCAGTCTGGATAACATAATAGGGCCTGAAAAATCTATGAGACTTTAAGATATAGTTAAGAAAGGAGGATATAATACATACAAGAGGTGTGTCACTTCAGTCTGTATAATAGAGTGGGTTGCTTATACATGTAAAGGCCTGTCTTAGCATATCTTCCACTATGCAAGCTCAAAGAGTTAGAACTAATCTTTTAATGTCTTAACCAACCTTAGGTACAGCGTAGACATAGAGATGGCAATTCTGCTAGTATTTATGGCCTGCCTCTCTCCCTTTCTTCCTTCTTTATCATCCTTATTTCCTTCTCATGTATTACCTCTAGTCTCTTGTCCTTCATTTCACTATTCTTTTCAGAATATCACTGTGGCTAAGGGCCAATGTTGTATACATCCATATGATAATATACCTCTGCAAAGGCTGACTGACTTTTGGAGGTTAGTAATCTACTTTACTTGTTGAGTGAGAGGAGCTATTATCATAGCTATACATTATTATATTAATTTACTGAGACCCATTGTGAATCTTATCCAGGTGTGGTGTTTGGGGTTTGCCAAGAGACCGGCAAAAAGTATTCGAGAAAATAAAAAAAAGTTCGACAAAGGCAGGGTTCGAACCTGCGCCTCCGAAGAGAACAGATGTATTGTAGTCTGAGATCGACACAATTCACTTTTTTGGATTAGTATACTGGTAATAGAAGCGGAGGACCGGGCATAGCTCACAGTCTGTCGCCTTAGACCACTCGGCCACTTTGCCTGGATTTAGGGTTGAGGTTATATTAAGACATATAGGCTACATTACAGAACAAGTGTCAAATATGAGGTAGACATTTTCTTAACGCACTTGGGCCAAGAGGAAATTGACCTGTTGGATAATGGGAATTCTGTCTGTTTCTGACATGCTGTACAATCTGGGTACTTACTACGAAGGCGCATTGGTAACCTTCTTTTTATGGAGCGGGAGGGAACATGACACTGCACCAGATCATAGGCCGCACGTAGGCGACCTACACCAACTGGTACGTTGCATTGAATAATAGGACTCTTCCCTGCCGAGATGCTTAAAAGAGCGGATATGCTCGCTCTTGATCTCATGTCAGATGGACACTTCCTACTAGTAGTTCGTATTCAACCGGATTGAGGCATTGCTCAAGCCGTTTAATCTTTTCCTGCCTCAAATACAAGGGATAAGTTTGATGTTCTCAGCCCCGAGAAATATCAGTGGACCTATAAATAGGACTCCCCAGACACCAGGTTGGCTTCTACAGGCAATCATGGCTATCAGGCAGGTAGAACACGGATTGGAGCGGTGCTGCACTCAAAAGGAATATGCCATTGACTGCAGTTACTTCAATATTGCTCTCTGTACCGGAGCTACGTCTTGGTAGGGTTTTTGTTTGAGCAATGTTAAGTACCTCAGTATGGATTCGATAGCACTTTGATACGGAATTGCTAGAGAACACCCACTGGTGGATTGGTGGTGCATGCTTCCCCGCAAGTAGCACTGATTTACGCCTGTCATGTCCAGACGTTAGATCTAGTCTACCTAAGATGTCAGCGCACCTTGGTGGATATTTTGCTCATTCCCCGCACGTAGCCCAGACTCGAATCTGTCACGTTCGCTATTGTTCTGCAATGATAAATGAATGAACTCTGTCCCTCATCTGCGAGCTCTTCGAAAAATCCAAATAATCTCAACAAGGACTTATACTGAATCGAACAGCCGTGTCTTCCTCCTCTGACCCTCCCGCTGCAGGTACAGCTGCAGAACATTTTGACAAAGTCAGCGCCTCATACGAACGTGTCACTGGCGGTTGTACCCGCGAGGTTGCTCAATTCCTGCTCACTCTCCAACCAACCGTGGACACCTCATCGGTTGTGCTCGACAATGCCTGCGGAACTGGGATCATCACTGAAGAGATTCTTGAGCGCTTTCCCACATCTTCCAAGCCAAAGGTCTATGCCGCTGACTTCGCGCCTTCAATGGTTTCGAGCCTGTCCACCAATGCGGCGAGTAAAGGCTGGGTGAATGGCGAAGACGGTCTCGTGGAAGCATCAGTCATGGAGGCGGAGGAACTGACCTTCCCCGACAACATGTTCACCCACTCCTACACGAACTTGGGGATTCTCTCTGAAAACCCGGAGAAGGGGGCTTCGCATATTTACCGCACTCTGCAGCCTGGCGGGACAGCGTTTGTAACGACATGGTCGAAGTTGGGGTACTTGTCGCCTGTGCGCATGGCGCAGAAATCTGTGCGGCCCGACAGCACTCCTTTGGGAATTACCGATAAGCGAGGGATGGTTTACTGAAGAGAAGCTCCGACAAGTTCTGGAATCTGGGGGTTGTAGGGCTGCAAAGGTTCAAATTCAGACCCGGACCAGTCGCATATCGAGGGAACGACCTGGATGACTTGGTTGATATTATGGAGGCTGCATTCTCGTCAACGATAACCGGAGGTTGGAGCAAAGCAGACCCAGCAAAGTTGCCTGCTGCGCTCCGTGAAAGCTTGAGCGATGTGGTGAAGGCGAATACGAGCATCGAGATGGTGGCTTATGTCGCGGTCACAAGAAAATAGGCCATGCCGAGGTATCTAAACTGTTGTTCAGTTCCAGCAACGTAAGTAAATTGGTCTGGATTCTTTTATTATGTAAGGTGCCAGCAACTTCGTATTCACTTGTCAACTCATCTCGTAATACATCTCGTATTATAGTAGGACATGATTAGATATCCAAAGCCACCAAGATAAGCAATTCGATCTGGACTGCGACCAGTGACTCGTAAAGAATTGGCCTTGGAGCTGATTATGGGATCACAAAAGTGGAAATAGGGAAATAAAAGGACGATGCCAACCCCATGAAAGAGAAAGGATCATCAAGGCTTAGGACATCGTACACGCAATTTCGTGGTTCCTGCATTTAGCCATTTTATTTAACCTCTCATAATGGATCCTTCTGCTTTAGACCTCCTGATCTGCTCCACCTGCGGCGTCCAGTATGATGCCACGTCCGGGTTGAAATCCTGCAAGATCTGCGATGATCCACGACAATACGTTCCTCCATCGGGGTAATTCTCGCTTCCCTTTCGCCTCTGCAGGTTCGCAGTGAGGAAAAATTTGTACTAATTGATGGAATAGACAATCCTGGACAACACTGCGCTCTCTTCAAGCGTCGCCTGTAAAGTATCGCAATGTCTTCACCACCGACCCCGAGAATCCCAACCTCATCAGCATCCAGACTGTCCCAAAATTCGCCATTGGTCAACGAGCATATCTCTGTCTCGATGGGTCTGGTTCGGGCAATGTTCTTTGGGACTGTATCACATACCTCGATGACGAAACGATCCGACATATTACTTCTCTAGGAGGAATTCGGGCCATCGTCATCTCGCATCCGCACTACTTTTCTACCAGCATTCAGTGGGCAGATGCTTTCAAATGTGATTTGTACATCTCTGCTGAAGATGAGGAATGGGTCGCCAACAGAGGCGATGGACACAGGTTGAAGCTGTGGAAGGGGAAGAGACTCTCTCTTCCGAGCCATACGCTTGATTCAGCTCAATCTGGTGATGAGACCTCTGATTTCGTCGCTATCAAGACCGGCGGCCACTTCCCGGGCAGCTCAGTTCTGTGGTGGAAATCCGCGAAGAAACTGCTCATTGCGGATACCATCATGATTGTTCCCAGCGGACTTTATCGTGTGGACCGACCCCCTGGTACCGCCTCTTATGCGTTCATGTGGTCGTATCCTAACTATGTAAGTGTCCACCGTCGCGACACTGTCAATAGACTAACCAGCTAGATTCCGCTTCCCCCGGATGATGTTCATGGTATTTGGAAAGCAATCGAGGATATTGATTTCGAGGACACCCATGGTGCCTTTACTGGACAGGATGCTAGGGGTAACAGTAAGTCAAGGATTTTGGAGAGCGCAAAGATCATCATCAGGGCCTCGGGGTACCCGGAACATCCTATATTCCAAGAGTGAAAGATGCCAAGTTCGCACTCAGCTTCTGAAGGCAAAGTTGTACGTAGCCTAGGTTGTTTAAACGCAATGCAAGAAAAGAACTACTAAATGATCCTCGTATGCTGTTTGCATGGGTGCCACAGTGCAGTTACCGCAGTACAAGAAACTTATATTCCTTTGTCCTAGGGGTGAGGGGGTACCTAGCACAGTGATTGACTCTGGTGTAAATGCAAGACCCAGCATTGACAAAGGATAGCATCCCTGAAATTTGCTCTCTGGATAAATAGTGTGCTATCCTTGTAATATCCTGACTATAGATCCTATGTACTGCTGCCTAGCTATATTTGCATCCAAGCAACATTGAGCCCTGGAATCCAATGTACACCTGAATCGAATGTTATGCAAAGCAAAGCTGGGCACAGCGCTATCTATCATATCTACCATTGATCAGGACATTTGCGTGCACTACTAAATATTTATTGGATAACAACAACTCTAGGAATTCTGCGGCGCAGTGAACAACTCACCCAGCCGGGGTAGTAACAAGGCTGGGGAGAGGGCCTTTTGGGTGTTGCAAGGCTGATGTATCATGCCCTTTGTACTTTAAATATGCGGCCCCTTGACCTCCAACTTTCTCTTTTCTTCTACATTGCTACTTGCCTGCCTTTCAATCTCCCTCATTATAAGCTACTTTATTTGGAAATCAACCATGATGTTTGATATTGCAGATGTGAAGACACGGTATGGGGATGTATGTGTTGTTGAGGATAGCAAAGACAAGATCATTATGGTTTGTTGGCCTTGCAGAGACACTTGAAAAGGATTACAACATAACTTACGAAATCGACATATAGGATCTCTTTTCTTATATTGAAGACCTTACAAGGAAACTCCAAGAGGGGAGGGATGAGTTTGATAATCACAAGCGGCTTATAGCCTCATTCAAGGAAGACATCAAGAACCTTGAGAATATGCGCCGTGATCAGGTGGGTCATTCATTTATCTTGTTCTCTCCAAAGCTGTCCGTCTCTGACACCTTTATTCCAGGCTAAGCTGAGTTTTGTTTCCGTTTTGGTTGATGGAGATGGTATGAATGTACGCCACCTTATCTCTGATATACCTTGATGCTCAGTATTTGACCGATTCCACTTGATCCAGTTTCATGGAAATCTCGTCAAAGATGGGAAGCATGGTGGCCTGGAAGCTGCACGGCTCTTGATCCAGGCTGTCCAAGACCATATTCAGAAAGTTGACCCAGAAGCACCGCCAAATATCAGCTGCAAGATCCGTGTGTTTGCTAATGTTGAAGGTCTGACGGAGGCCTATCGTAATAACAACATTCTCAGTGCTGGGGAAAGCTTGGCCTCGTTTATTCAAGGGTTCAATCAGGAGAATGCATTATGTGATTTTGTGGATGCAGGAAATGGAAAGGAATGCGCTGATGTTAAGCTACGAGGTCAGTCCCTGAGCCCGAGAAGTATATACCAACCTAACAGACTTTCAATTTCTAGCACGTTTTGAGCAAGATTTTATTGACGTACATTGCCGAAGGATTATCTTCTGCGCCTCCGCGGACAACAGCCATGCGCGTGTTCTCAGCGCACACCGAGGATCGAAACGCATCTCGCTCGTCAAAGGGCCCCCTTTTGCCAAAGAGATGGAGGAATTAGCAGCGGGTTTCAAAACCGACTCTTTTGAGAAAGTGTTCATGTCGAACAAGCTGAAGACCACCAGAAGAGTTTCCTTCAGCGCTACAAATACCGCTATTACACCCCCGGGGACACCTACTCCCAACTACGCGTCAGCAGCGAAGGCAACTCCTCCGACACAATCATCATCGCTGCTCGTGAGTTCTCCAGCGCACGGGGCGAGCAAACTAAGGCCGCCAGTATGTGTGAATTCCAGAGGCCAACGAGTGGACCGTCCCTCGCGATATTCATCCAAGGAAAATGTAGAGACGCTGAAGCGCAGGAAACTGTGCAACCAGTTTCATCTTCTCGGATCATGCCCCTATGGCAACAACTGCACACACAAGCATGGCCCGCCCCTCAGTGCCACGGAGACAACCGATCTGAAGCATATTGCCAGATTATCCGTCTGTCCCAATGGTATCTTTTGTGATGACGTGACCTGCGTCTGTGGACATCGTTGCCCGCAGAATAATTGCTCTGGTCGTGGTTGTAAATTCCCCGACAGCATGCACGGAGTTGACACAAATATTGTCAAGACGATCTGATGGATGCCAGATAATTGCATAATTATGTCTTGCGATCTGTATCTGATCTTGCACCGAGCGAAATTCACAAAGATGAGCATACCTACATAGCTGTTTATGTCTCGGAGTAGCCCATCCATGGTAGGCTACCCGATTTCCCGATTCGGATCTATAGGGGTCCTTGGTAATCCAGGGGCAGCTGTCTGTATGGATGACGTGAACAACACATAGTTAAGTAGATTGAAGTAAAATGGTGTCCCCAGGCCAGTTCGCCGCCGAATCGGGAATAGTCTGACACGGGCGAGAATCAACACCACCACCACCACCACCATCATCATCATCATCATCATCATCATCATCATCATCATCATACTACTTCGCCAAGTCTCCCAACACTTTTGTCTTTATTCCGGTTGACGATTGATCGTTTTATCTTCCAAAACATGGAGCTGGCCCAGACCCAGCTAGCTCGAGCTGTTCCACCTTTGCGCCGGAACGCTGGGACTTCAAATCCATCGATACACTCCGACCGTCTTGCCCTCACCTTCATGTCTGAATGGCGTTCATTCACGAGAGACGCTTTTCAAGTTTTTCGAGAAGCTGGAATCACCCACGAAGTCCCATTTCATGATGAGACTGAGCTATACACAGTCGGAAATGAACTTGGCGTATCCGGTAGGTTCGTTCGAAATCTTTGCGATCCGGTTATGAAGGCCCTTGCACCATTACCGGGTATGGCTTCAATCCGATTCGCCGATTTCCAAGCAAGCTCCACCTCAGAAGACGTTGTTCCAGATGTATGTCTGGGTCTTATTGCGATTGACCCCACACCTGATAATGTTTATTTGGTTGGAGAATTAAAGACACCATGGACCATCCCCGATGCATATCTTCATCTAAACCGACCTACATCTTATCGCCTCGAGCCACTGATAGGTTTGCCTTAACCCGTATTCTCTTATTTTAATCAAAACTCGCTGACTCTTGGACCATTGTTTAGGACAGCTTGTTGCTCAAATGCGCACGTGTTCGCTTCGCTTTGGATTTTTATCCACCTACAACTCTACGGTTTTCGTCAAACGAGCAGCGGACTGTTCTTTTCTCCTTTCGCCGCCCATCAAGCACGACACTATGCAGCCTTCCCTTCGCCAGTTGTTTGCTGGTTTTTGTCTAATGGCCTTGTCGGAGCCAAAGTACTTTGAAAGTCCGTCATTTCAGCCAAGAGATGTAAGCATTGACTCGGGTAACTGTGAGAGATATGGTGTAGCTGCTGATATATCGAGAAGCTACGAGGCCCTCCTCCTCTCCGCGTCTCCGCTCGTCTACTCAGAAATCCCGACGAACCGCCCCTATCATTGACGAACGAATTAGACTCTGTCACGTCGAATAGTGTTATCGTAAACACTGACAGATCTCCCCCCACAGTGATCAATTGCGTTCGCCAGTTATCAGACCCAACAGTCAATTCCAAGGCAACCTGGCTAGCCACAATAAATGGAACGCCTGTGGTTTTAAAGTGTTGGCAGCTCAAATATGAAGAGTTGTGAGTCAGACTACTTTTATGGCTTGTTATTGGACTTACTAACCAGTTACGTTTAGGTTTGATGCCGAAGCGGCGGTTTATGACCGTGTTTGGACTCAGCGGCCGGCTGGTGTTCATAACTTTGCTAAGTGGATCTTGAGGGGAGAGATTGTGTGCTCGAGCATCTTCCCATCGGGATATGTCCTTGTGTTAGAGCATAGAGACGGGATGCGACTTGACCGAGTCTGGCATACTCTATCCGAGATCGAACGAGCCCATGTTCAGTCCCAATGCCTTAATGGCATTCATGCTTTACGACAAGTGACCGTCCGTCTTGATGATGCGGGAATGCACAATATTCTCTATAGCAGGGAGAGTGGTGTGGTAACTTTGCTTGACTTCGAAAGTGCGCAGGAAGTTGAAAGCCACTCAGTGATCCCTGCGTATTACGAGATGGGTGTCATGTTTGGTTCTGATTTTCTGTTGGGACGTCCGTCTGGTGGCTAGTCTTATGGTTATGGATTCGGTGCATTGCTTCATGTATGGACTCTTCTGAACAATCAGAAGCTCAAAGGCCGAGATCGCAATGCTAGAATGTAGGGCTAGGCCCAAATGTCTTACGCAGGCGAGCACTTTGGCTTATATTGATATCCAGCATGCAAGCAATCCAAGCCCAGAATAATATAGAGAGAAACAGGATCCGGGTTGTACAGGATTCTCGAAGCCTTTTAAGCTTGCTTTTAATCAATTCTGAGATCGCAGCACACTTATATGCCTGTGATTAATGAAAAATAACCCGAAATCCCTTCGACTCCAGACTCGGTAGCGGCACAATCAAATCGTGAGCGGGCTTAACATCCTTCTCCCCCGTTTCATAAAGGCTGAAGTCGGGACCCTTAGGACGAAAAAGTGTAGCGGTACAGTGGTTGATTTCAGCGTACGCGAGACTATTCAAGCCAAGTCAGAGAAAATTAAGCAGGCTACAAAATCTCGCTTCAGCTGACTACGCAAAGGCGAAGGGGTTTGCCAAGGATCTCGACGAAGGGAAGTATTCCTTCACGCTGATCCACTGCATTCAGACCCTGGAGTCACAGCCCGAGCTCACGGGGGGAGATGATGCAGTTACAGGCAATCCTTGTGAAGAGAAGGCAGGAAGGCAAACTTAGCCGAGAGGCCAAGCGAGAGGTGTTAGCAACCATGAGGAAAACGGAAAGCTTGCAGTACATACTTAGTGTTCTGCGGGAATTGCACGGTGAGTTAGAGAAGGAAGTTGAATATCTAGAGGCGAAGTTTGGTGAGGAGAACTTCACACTCAGAGTGATGCTAGAGTTTGCTGAAGGTCTAAGAGATATAGATTGGTAGATAGGAGGGCAGTTCATAATGTCATGCCAGCGCCTCTATGCCCAGCAGGTCCTCGCCTCTAATACTGCGCCACCACTCACTTTGTCATACAAGTTCTCCCTCTTCACCACCTAGCAGAGACCAGTACTTCTTCAGAAACCACTCCTTTTTCCCAGCTGCGGTTGTCCCATGGAGTACCAGTCGAAGCATATCCAATGGAAGCATCTTGATCCTTCCTCCCAACGCCTGCCCTTCCCCAACACACTAAACCAGTGGCAGCATCGCGGAGAAATTCATCCTTGTCTACCTCTTGTTAGTGGAGGATGAGATTCCTCCGTAGCGTCTGAAAGGGCAGAACATCAATGTACGGAGGATGCTCGACAGTAATTTGTTCAATACTTAGCCGCAGGTCTGGCTTGAGTGTCATGAATACCCTCTGCACTATGCAGATCATGTTTTCCTTAGCCAAGTCATCTATTGATGCCCTAAGCAACCGATAGAATGGCGAGGGAGATTCCTTAGCACACATCATCTCCTCTATAATGCTAATATGCATCCTGAGAGTATCCATTGCGGCTAACGTATAAATTGTGTCTAGGCGAAGATTGTTGGCATATGGATCTGGTGTAGGCGTGACTGGTCCAGTCCTGAGTATCCTGACCTCCGTAGAGCTGTATGGGCTGGGACGGTGTGTTTGTACCTTGAAATGTGGGCTTGAGCAATTGCATTTGATGGTGGTGGTCATCTAGCATTGACCAATGCCGTCCTTGTGTTTGTCATGGATGAGAACGGAAGGATTAACGTGGGTTGGAGGAACCCATACACTTGGTGCCAACAAGGGAGTTTTTGATGGTGGGAATTGTTTCATGGAGTCCGAGATTGCTAGTGTTGATGGGGAGATATCTGAATGTGAGGGTTGTGCTGTGTAATCCCTGAGTATAGAATCCCAGACGTTTGGCGACGATAGGGTATTGTCTGAGGATGTCAAATGTGTCGCAGAGTTCCAGAAATTCAGTGCTGACGCGGTATGGTCCGACTGTGGAAGAAGCTGTTGGCAGTCTTTGGGAGAAGTCATTGATGAACTGGAAATTGACACATCCCAGACATCATCACCTAGTATCGACTCGGATTGGATTTTGCCCGTCATCGGGGATCTCTGCGCCAGTGATGCTGCAAGCATTTCAAGGTTCTCTAATTGCTCACGGAGCTTCTCACCTAGAAAGAACACTCTATCAGTAATTTCTTCCCACCCCCATATCTTCCCCGATCTATCTTTGGAGAAATCCAAGCCGGACTCATGGTATCTATGTTGCGCTCGGATGTTCTGTTACCGCCTCTTTTCGGGGTCGCGATGGACGGGTTTTCGCTTCTCCTTTCCCATGCTTTTGCTCTGTGTTTTGTCCTCCGTCGTGTCTCGTGGCATCGTGTATATTGTTTTGTCGTGTGGATCCTTAGAATAGATGGACGGATGGATGAGGTAGGCTGGGTGGGATGGATGAGGTAGGCTGGGTGGGACGGCTGATGGGGAGAGTGCGGAGTAAGACGACTCAAGACATGGTCAGCCTAGAGCGCCTGTCTACGGCGGACGACAGCAGCGGAGCGTCTGTACTCGTTCTGGTAACTAGTCAGATTGTCTGTCAGATTGCATCGACAGCTATCCCCACACTTCAAAGGAGAACACAAAAAATATAGCATTCAAGTGTATCGTTGTGAATATATTGCATCACTCCCTGGCTAGGCGAGCATGTAGCCTGAATGCGACCTCACTGCTGATCTTCGGATCCTCAGACAGGCTACATCAAGCGTTTATATCGAAGAGACCACCCCTTATACCTGTGTGTTTGCAGCACAGCAATCTGCATTAGCAAAGGAGAAATGCATTCTTTTAAGGTCTTGGTAACAGGGCCATAGTCCACTAAGACTGAACAAATAGTTTGAACAGTAAAACATCCATGTCAAATCCTACCTACCAGGTAATAGGAATCATTCTGTGAGGCAGGATTCTAGAGCATTGGAGATGCTAGATTATTGGCTAGTAATATCTATGATCAATAAGACCCCGCTAAATAAAATAACCCAGGTGGGTCATCGACTGACCATTTTACGGCCATTCTGCCAGCACAGACTTGGCGTCTGAACAAAGATGAAACACCACTATAGCTGGCAGAGCCCCCAGGCTGTAGCAACAGTGCCTTAACATAATACCCCACCTGAGAAAATAGCAATAAGAGTTAGAATAGAAACCAAAGCGTACTTAAGCCCCCACGCTGCACTTTCGTTAGTGTACAACGGCGATCTCCGCAGCAAGCAACTACCAGGACAGATGATTGGACACGGATGCGGGTGGATTGCGGCCCGAAGATCTGGCTGACGTTAGCCATCGATATGGTTAACTAGTTAACAATGGCTGATTTGGCTGATGAGAGCTAGAGCCATTGACTTGGCGGGCCGAACCGACAATAGTGCTATGGATTGCGTCAGCCATGAAGCCAGGAATGCGAGTAAAAAGAGGCTGTGGCTTTATCTAGTGTGGCCGATCTTCTGCTCTCTCAACTTCCTATCATTATAGTTTGATGCATTCGGTGATGCTCATTGGCGCCGGTAGACCAGAACAACTGCAAACATGAATGGAGACCATGAGGCCTCCAGTTCCAGTGTGGAGAAGAGGGAAGCGGAGGTTCATCAGCTGGCCAGACAGTACACAGAGCAGAGCAACTATTCCACGGCGGGACAAAACCCCTTTGCTGCGGAGGCAGGATCGCCCCTGGACCCCAATGGCGAGCACTTCAATGCTCGGGCGTGGTGCAAGGCCATGCTGCAGACGCACACCGGGGACAAGCAGGCACATCCGCTGCGAACCTTGGGGGTCGCCTTCAGCAATCTGAACGTGCATGGTTTCGGTTCCGACACTTATTACCAGAAAAGCGTCGGCAATGTCTGGTTAGAGGCACTCAGTCTGGCAAGCAAAGCGCTCGGTCAAAAGCAGCGCAAAATTCAGATTTTGCAGAACATGGAAGGATTGGTGGAGGCTGGAGAGATGCTGGTGGTTCTTGGACCGCCTGGATCCGGGTGCTCGACTTTCTTGAAGACTATTGCTGGAGAGACTTACGGCCTTCATGTTGATAAAAACTCAAACATCAATTTCCAAGGCAAGTCTGATTGACTCAAGAGCGAGGTTCTTTTACTAATTCCCGTCAGGTGTGAGCGCGAAACAAATGGCCTGCGAGTTCAGAGGAGAAGCCATCTACACCGCGGAGGTCGATGTCCACTTCCCCAAGCTCACTGTTGGAGATACCCTTTATTTCGCTGCGCGCGCCCGAGCACCACGACACATCCCTGGGGGGTGAATGCGACCCAGTATGCAAGCCACATGCGAGATGTGATCATGGCCATGTTTGGTGTTAGCCATACGAGGAACACAGTTGTAGGAAACGACTTCATTCGCGGTGTGTCTGGTGGAGAGCGCAAGCGGGTTAGTATCGCTGAAGCTTGCCTCAGCAATGCACCGCTGCAATGCTGGGACAATTCTACTCGTGGTCTTGACAGTGCGAATGCCATCGAGTTCTGCAAAACGTTGCGCATGCAGGCAGATATTAATGGCGCCACAGCCTGTGTCTCTCTATACCAAGCTCCTCAGGCCGCTTACGACTATTTTGATAAGGCCCTGGTTCTATACGAAGGTCGCGAGATCTACTTTGGTCGCACATCCATGGCGAAGCAGTACTTCCTTGATATGGGCTTCGTCTGCCCTGACCGACAAACTGATGCGGACTTTCTCACCTCTATGACTAGCCACCTTGAGCGTGTTGTTCAGCCAGGTTATGAAGGCCGCGTACCTCGAACACCTGACGAGTTTGCTGCGCGATGGAAGGCCTCACCACAGCGAGCACAGCTTATGCAAGACATCAAGAGGTATAATGCAAAGTTCGCACTGGGTGGTGAATACCTGGATAAGTTAAAGCAATCTCGACGAGCTCAGCAAGCCAAGGCTCAGCGTGTATCATCACCCTACATTCTTTCCTATGTACAACAGGTGAAATTGTGCCTGTGGCGCGGGTATCAACGATTGAAGGCTGACCCCAGCGTCACAATCTCTTCATTATTCGGAAATACTATCATGTCCCTTGTTATCGCCAGTATATTCTACAACCTCAAGGCTGACACAAGCACCTTCTTTCAGCGCGGTGCTCTTCTCTTCTTTGCTGTGCTTATGAACGCCCTTGGATGCGGCCTTGAAATGCTGACTCTATACGCGCAACGAGGGATCATAGAGAAGCACTCCCGATATGCTCTCTACCACCCATCTGCTGAAGCGTTTTCGTCAATGATAATGGATTTGCCCTACAAGTTTCTCAACGCTATTACATCTAATATAGTTCTGTACTTCATGACCAACTTGAGGAGAGAACCAGGTGCTTTCTTCTTCTTTGTCTTCACCTCGTTCGTCTTGACTCTGACCATGTCCATGTTCTTCCGGTCTATGGCATCGCTATCAAGATCCCTTGTCCAAGCTCTGCCCTTCTCCGCTGTTCTACTTCTCGGTCTCATCATGTATACTGGGTTCGCTACCCCAACAGGGTATATGCTTGGATGGGCTCGCTGGATTGCCTACATCAATCCTATCAGCTATGGCTTTGAGTCCCTACTGATCAATGAGTTCCACAGCCGCGACTTCCCGTGCATGAACTATATCCCAACGGGTCCTGGCTATACGGATCTCGGGCTTAACAACCGTGTTTGCTCCACCGTCGGATCAGTGCCTGGACAACCCTTTGTCAATGGCGATGCCTACATTGAGTCAGCATATAGCTATACCGCGTCGCACAAATGGAGAAACATCGGTGTCATATTCGCCTACATGTTCCTGCTTGGGGCCGTCTATCTCGTTGCTACTGACTTCATCACTGAGAAGAGGCCGAAGGGCGAGATCCTAGTTTTTCCTCGTGGACACAAAGCTCTGAAGAAGGGCAAGCCAGATGAAGATCTTGAAGGGGGTAGTAGCCGCCGCGTCACAGTGGAGGAGACTGGCTCAGATGGCCTTGCCATTATTGAACGCCAGACCGCGATCTTCCAGTGGAAGGATGTGTGCTTTGATATCAAGATTGAAAAAGAGACTCGTAGGATTCTTGACCACGTTGACGGATGGGTCAAACCGGGAACCTTGACGGCGCTTATGGGTGTTTCTGGTGCGGGAAAGACCACGCTCTTGGATGTCCTGGCTACGCGCACCACTATGGGGATTATCAGTGGAGAAATGCTCGTCGATGGTCAACCGCGTGATGAATCCTTCCAACGTAAGACCGGCTACGCTCAGCAACAAGATCTGCATCTGAGTACTGCTACAGTGCGCGAGGCACTTGAATTCTCTGCTCTTCTACGTCAGTCCGCTCACGTTCCTCGTCAAGAGAAGATTGACTACGTGACAGAAGTGATTAAGCTTCTTGACATGACTGAGTACGCTGATGCTGTTATTGGCGTCCCTGGTGAAGGCCTGAACGTTGAGCAACGTAAACGTCTCACAATCGGGGTAGAGCTTGCGGCCAGGCCCCAACTTCTGTAAGTTGTAACCTCAAGACAAACTACTGCGGCTTCAGGCAAATCACTGTGGTCTCATGCAAATTACTGACTAAAGGCGCGTGTCGCGTGGACAGCCTTTTCCTGGACGAACCGACCTCAGGACTTGATTCCCAAACATCCTGGGCTATCCTTGATCTCCTTGATAAGCTGAAGAAGAACGGCCAGGCTATTTGTAAGTGCTCTGATTGTGCATTTATAGCTCCCATTGACGTGTTCCCAGTGTGTACCATCCATCAACCATCTGCCATGCTGTTCCAGCGCTTTGATCGTCTCCTCTTCCTTCAAGCTGGTGGCCGTACGGTCTACTTTGGAGAAGTCGGCCAGAACTCGCAAATACTGATTGACTACTTCGTCCGTAACGGTGGCCCTCCATGTCCTCCAGCCGCCAATCCCGCCGAATGGATGCTCGACGTGATCGGTGCCGCTCCTGGATCTCACACTAGCATCAACTGGTTCGAGACCTGGCGTAAATCTCCCGAATATGCACGAGTCCAAGAGCACCTTGCTGAACTGAAACACGAACGTCCGCAACAACAACAAACCAACCTGTTCCGCACCACATCCAGTCAAAAGCGCGAAGACAAAGCCAGCTACCGCGAATTCGCTGCTCCCTTCTGGGTCCAGCTCTGCGAAGTCCAAGTACGAGTCTTCCAGCAAATCTGGCGGTCACCCACCTACATCTACTCCAAGACCGCTCTCTGCGTGTTATCCGCTCTCTTCGTCGGCTTCTCCCTCTTCCACACTCCCAACACCATCCAAGGCCTCCAGAATCAAATGTTCGGCATCTTCATACTCCTTACCCTCTTCGGCCAACTCATCCAACAAATCATGCCGCATTTCGTCGCCCAGCGCGCGCTATACGAAGTCCGCGAACGACCCGCAAAGACTTACTCCTGGAAAGCCTTCATCATCTCCAGCATCGTTGTTGAACTCCCCTGGAACTCGCTTATGTCCGTCTTTATGTTCCTGTGCTGGTACTACCCGATTGGTCTGTACCGCAACGCCGAACCAACAGATGCGGTGAACCTGCGGGGCACACAAATGTGGCTGATGGTCTGGACCTTCCTTCTCTTCTCGTCCACCTTTGCACATTTGATGATCGCGGCGTTCGACGCCGCCGAGAACGCCGGAAACCTAGGCAACCTGCTCTTCCTGCTTTGTCTGCTTTTCTGCGGCGTTCTGGCGACACCAGAGCAGCTCCCAGGGTTCTGGATCTTCATGTATCGCGTTTCGCCGTTTACGTACCTGGTCAGCGGGATGTTGTCGGTGGGCATATCGAATACGAACGTAACCTGCGCAGACAATGAGTATCTGCGCTTTGACCCAGTTAATGGGACTTGCGGCCAGTATATGGATTCATACATGTCGAATATGGGTGGGTATCTTGGAGACGAAATGGCGACTTCTAACTGCAGCTTCTGCCCGATCAAGGAGACAAACGTGTTCCTTAGTAGCGTTTCGTCGAGTTACTCGGATATCCGGAGGAACTTTGGGCTCATGTGGGTATTTATTGTTTTCAATATCTTTGCAGCTTGTTTGTTGTACTGGTGGGTTCGTGTTCCAAGAGTCAAGAAGCCAGTCGCTAAGACCGAGTGAGCGTTGTTTGTGTTAGTCGTTTTCTATTTTCATACATATTTCATAGGCTCTGCTTGCTCTTCTGTTGCGATATCTTCCCTGGAATTAAATATACTGATTCTCTGCCCAATATTATCAGAAAACAACTTGTTGCAGGTCAGATGGGAATTCAAAGAATACAATTCGCAGCAATACTCTTTTTAAGATTGCTACTCTACTACAGGATTTTAGCTGCAGTTAAAATCAAAGGATATCCTGCGCTAGGTTGACCATTACCACAACTCTCTTAAACTTTCTGCCTCTATAGACTGCTTATCCTTATATGACTATTTACTTGCTTTATACTAATTTTTTTAGTTTACGTCTATTCTTCATTTATATATATACTTCTCTTCTTCTTTTCTCGACATGTTTAGGTGGAAGCATTCTTCAGGCAAAGACAACTAAGAGCTTATACAGTTTGCTTATAAAGTTCTATGATCCAGAGGGAAGTAAGTTTGGTTATTTCAGCTCTATCAACATACTGCTGATCAGGAACAAAGAGTGATCGGCAATGCTCACACGCTAATTTAGACTCACATAAGATATGCATGACCTTTCTTGGGCATGGCTCCTGTGAGGTATCCCCATTCCTCTAGCAGATTTAATTATTCCCTCCTAGCTCCTAGGCAATATCCTCTTTTCTCTGCCTGCACTCAGTTTCCCCCTTGCTGCTCATTGACGTCCGCACTGTATCGCGCAAAATTGCAAAGATTATTATCAGGGCCTTAGGGGTACCCGGAACATCCTGCATATGAATGAATGCTTCGATTGCGACTTATTATCCCACATTCCAACCCACAGAGGTAGAACAACTTCTAAACAGTACACTGGGCAAGCACCGGCCTGGACCAGCGCTTTGATCAAATAAGGATAAAAGCAAAAAAACATACAACAGCCGGGATTCGCTGGTGGTCACCCACCCAACTACTAACCGGCCGGCGTGTGGCTTAAGTACGGCTGAGCGGACGGGAAGCCCTGTTTTCCACACCCTATGGTCGTATGTATCAGGTCAGTAGAAACTGCAGTATCTATAAGAAAGACTCTATACTCAATATTGAGCAGTTAGGACTGATGCTGACGCAGGGCTATGCCGACGTATAGTGAGGCGGTCAGCATCTCGTATATGTCGAGCGTGAGGGCAATTGCGCTGATGCAGGAAATGCCCAACATTGTCGCAAGGTCTTGATTGGCGTTTTCCCAGAGAGGTCGTCAACGCTAGGATATTTCTGATCCAGCCCCATGATGTTGTCATTTTGAGGCAGACTTGCGCCAGTTTCTGTGTCTATCAGTCCGTGTGATGTCCTTCGTGATCACATTGAAGAACCTGAAGGTCTGACAGTCGGGTATGTTGCCGAGGTTGTGGCGTATCAAGTATTTAATGGCTCATTGCTTCTTGAGTGTCCATGTGTCCATATTACGGGTATGAGTTAGTTTTCAGGACTGGCGTGGGCCTCTAGTTGTTAGAATGGCCTCCTGGCCTCCTGGCCTCCTGGCTGTCGTAAATAGGGACCCTCTCTTGTAAGTCCTCTCGCCCGAGCAGAAATGGCCCGGACATATTTGTGATATCATGAAGATGGGTTCCTGAGGAGATATGTCGGATGAGTCCGTCTGCCATCTAATATCGATATCGAATGCCATCTAGTACTGAGGGACTCAGGGAGTATGGGGTTTTCGATCAGTAGAAATGGTAGATATGAACTAGGCAAGGGTCAATTCAATGACGATTTGTGGAAGGCAAATGGTCGATGGTGGAGCTGATGGTTCGATTCAATCTGTCTGGGATGCTCACTAGCTAAGATATGAACTGGGATACAGAATTGGTGCCTCGCCATATTATTCATGCTACTTCTGTATTCTACTAAAGACCATGTACTTAGTTACTTTGAGCAACCCAGACAAATCGAATCGAATCAGTCGTTCCATTGAATTTGACCCCCTTTCCATTAAAATTATATCTAACGGATTGAATCCGATACTCTACTGAACCCCTCCTATAATTTTGACTGAAGTTATCCTCTCGGTACCGAAATCGAATCATCATCCCTACTAGGCATTGAATAGTAGGGATATCGAATACTCAGTATGGTATGGAAATTCATATACAGGAGATTAGGCGGAATCATGAGCAATGGACATAGAAATCAATTTATGCTTTTTCAGTTTTCTTCCAATAGCTTGCCATACACTCTACCAACAATAAGCTCATTGGTGAATCAGATAAGGCTAGCAACAGAAAGAAGAGCAAGAAACACCCAAACTAAGCTAGAAACACACGCACCTCGTTCGCCACGCGATCAAGATCAAATGTGTCTGGGTACATCAGCCAGTTATAAGCCACGATACCAATCAGCCAGCTCTGTGCATCGTTAAAGTGGACACCAACATGGCCCTCAGTTGGGGGCTCATTAGAGATAACATATCGTCGTCCTCCCGAAACCTCTCTACCACAGGCACCACGATGTCTTCTTGGTGGTCCGCCAGTGCTTGATCAGCTATTTCTTCGTCAACTACATCTGTAATCAGTCCCTCCTTGGCCAGATGTTCCAGCAACCGGCCAACCCGTTGCATCTGGGCTGCCTGCCAGGCAATAGTAGCTATCACCTGGTCTTGGAACTCTGGAGACCCACGGCCTTCAAGAGCAAACTGACCGGCAGTTGCAAGGGTGCAATAGTCAAGCGCACTCTTTAGCGGCCCAAGGTCTTTCAGGTAGTTCTCTATAACGATAGCTTTCATGTCGATACCGGTGCTATCTCTCACCGGGCTGTCTCCCGCGAACGCCTGCGCCGGTTCTCGTTCTGGACTCATCCTGCGACGAAGTCTTCTCCAAAAAGTCCGGAAAGAGGTCCGTGATTGCAAAAGTGCCTCATGACGATCCTGAGCAGAAGCTACATTCGTGATCGCAGTCGCAATTCTTGGTGAGAGGATGAAGTGCGAGATATTGTGGGACAGAAGAGCGCGGACGGAGGGGATCATCAGCGGTGTAGAGGTTTTCTGGTCAGGCCCAACATGAAGCATCTCGTCGACTATTCGACTGCGATGCTGGGAGACTCTTCCCTCGGGGTGGGTGGTAAGCTCTTCCACAAACGCCGCTCCGAATAAAGAGCACCTGTTTCGGCCGGAGCCCGAGGTATAGCTCCAGGACTGCTCGCCGACGGTGGCTGCTGTCTCGACAAGCACATCTCGCTGGGCGCCTACCTCGGGGGCTATCGTGGCCCACGTGCCGGAGTAACAAGCCTCGTTGACGATCAGGAGGCGGACATTAGGCGGCAAGACAGAGAGAGCAGCAATCATCTTGGCTTTGGACAGAAACTCCGGTTTTGCGTGCTGAGGATATAGCGTGACAGCGCCGTCTCTCTTGTTACCATGCCCGATCAGAACGATTATAATGCGATCGCCAGGGCCTACCTGGCCGGAGATATTTCTGATCCAGTCCATGATGTGTGATTTGAGGCCGTGGGCTTCTAGTCGATAGAATGGCGTCATGGCCTCCTGGCTGTTGTAAATAGGGACCCTCTCTCGTAAGTCCTCTCGGCCGAACAGAAACGGCCCGGACATATTTGTGATATCATGAAGATGGGTTCCTGAGAGACATGTCGGATGCAGTCCGTCTGCCATGAATTTCTTCGCGATCATCACAAAGTCCGTTGCCAGGGCCGTGTCCCACACCCGGCCTCCAAAAACGACCAGCGCGAAGGTGTGGAATGTACCCTCAGACATTTTTGAACAGGAGAACAGCTCTGTATTCCGGTGAAAATGATCAGATGGCTGGGGTCCAGATAGAATTAATGGAATCAATCGATAACTATGATGGAAATCAACTGTGTGGCCATAATCATTGAAACAATGCCAGAAGCGGCACCGGAAGCGGCACCGGGCCCTCTGACCTTGGGTTATTCACCTCTATTTGAGCATCATAGCATCCAACCCCCGTCAGATCTTGATCCATTGGTACACATTGCGCTTTTCCTAAGCTTTAATTTGTTCCATGAATTATCCGACATGCGCTTCCTTGAATTTACTGCCGACAATAGAAAATCACCGGACGAGCCCGGTTAAGATTCTGGGAGGCCTGGCTATCGAGCACAGGCAGCAACAGCAGAGTAAGCAGGGCAGTGCTCAGCCCAGTTGATCTGAATACTCGTCTCATGGGACGTAGATTGGTTCATGGTGTAGGGGAAGTTGGCAACACCGGCATTGAGAAGAGTAAAGTTGATCTGAATATCGGACTGCTTAAGGCGCTCCACAAAGGCCGTCACACTGGCATAACTCCCTAGATCTAATTCCCAGACGTCGACCACGGGAGGTTTAGCTGAAGCGTGAAGCGAGGCGAGAAGGGATTTTCCGGGCAGCTTCACCCTTGATCTATTGATTTAAACAGGTATGGTCCCCTCATGACCTTCTGTAAACTGGTTATGTGGTGAAACATGTTGGCAAGAAGAGAGAGATCCTCTGCAGATCTAGAACTACCTACCTACCTTGGTTGGGTATAGAAACAACGGTGCCTGGTCAGCTCGGATTTAAGCATGATCTTCGCCTTAGGTGGGAACTGAAGGTGCCGTTCTCAGGCACTCCTATCATCCTACATCTAATGGATCTGACAATAAGACTATCAGACAGTATAAACAGACTTAAGACGGATGCTGTTCCGACCTTGTCGACCCTGTGTTACTTAACTTGTCTGATCATTTCCTGGTAAATAAGCCTATATCTAATGAAGTTTTAGCAGGACAATCGGTTCAAGAGCATTTCCTTGTGTCCGCCTTCATTTGCTTGAAAGTCCAGTTCAACGGGGTGAACATCCTGTTTTAAGGGAACAGCAGTCTTATCTCTATCGTAGATCATTAGATCCAGCAACCTTATAGAGTTGCTAAGTTTATTCATCAGGCTATGTCTAAATATGTCTTGTTAGCAGAGGCTATGCAACTCCTCATACAGCAGAGGCTATGCAACTCCTCATACACGAATTTAGACTCACACAAGATATGCATGACCTTTCTTGGGCATGGCTCCTGCGAGATATCCCCATTCCTCTAGCAGATTTAATTATTCCCTCCTAGCTCCTAGGCAGCATCCTCTTTTCTCTGTCTGCACTTAGTTCCCCCTTGCTGCTCATTGACGTCCGCACTGTATCGCGCAAATCGACTCTTCTGCCTCAGCTGTTTTCCAAACTTCAGGAACAAAAAGGGCGTAAAGGCGAAGACGGTCGCCACAGCGGCGATGATGCTGGTAGCGACATTCGATCCGAGCCCCGAATACATCGGATACGCAAACAGGGGCATGCAGGCCGATGCAATACCGCGCAGAAATGAAACCACCGCGAGACCCGATGAAGCATAAATGGTATACGCATCGGCGATGTAGCCACTGAGGGTATATGAGAACTCGGTTGCCGCAAAACCAACCAACACCAGGCCGAACATGGACGCGATCCACGGCACATGGACAAGAGGGGGAACGGTCCAGCCGAAGATCCAGAGCCCAATGGCCAGGGCGGGAGCTGCGATGGCAAATCCACCGATTTTGTCCTCCGGTTCGGGAGAGGCTCCTCCCCTCTGCCTTTTGTTCAGTTGATGATGATCCCAGAACCGCACGAAGCCGCTAGCAAGAATGCCGGGGAACAGAGCTATGAAAGGTAACGAGGTTGCCCTCGAACTCCAGCCAAACTCGCTATAGACCACTGTGAATGACTCGGTGAAGAGATACATCATCCCCCATGCGGAAGCGCTCAAGATTGAGACCAGTATGATAATGGGCTCTGTGACGCCTAGTCGCGCCGGCCGCACCAGGATGACTTGGACGAGCTCTCGCGTGTTGCCAATGCGGTCCGGATTAGGGATATCCATGTCCAAGTTTCCGACCTTTGACTGGAGATGCTCGAACCGCCTGGAGAGAAGCGTGGTCGGTCGACTTTCACATACAAACAGGAGCAGGACAAACAAGACAGCGCATGTAATGGCGGCAGTGTAATAGACCCAACGCCTGGTTCCAATCAGTATAACATGATAATGAAAAGTTGCCGTTGCAGCGACCGAGCGGGGCAAAACTTACCAGCCTATGGCACTGACAATATATGATCCGTACATTGGGCCGACACACAAGCCGAAAATGGTGCAGCAATTCCAAAGCCACAGCAACCATAGCCTTGGCCAGGTGGAATACAAATCCTCGATGCTCCCGGCGAGGACGATGGCCGGCACGGCAGAAGCATACCCCGAGATGAAACGGCCGATGAACACGCCGGCTGGGGATGGGACCACGCCGACTAACAAACACGAGATGCTGTAAGCGCCAGCTGATACTAGGTAGGATTTCTTTCGGCCCAGGGATTCAGAAAAAGGGGGCATGGTCAGTCCTCCGAGGGCCTGCCCAACGCCATACATAAATTGGAAGCCGGTCAGCGTTATCACCCTACTCAATCCATACTCTTTCATCGCCAGCTCCGCTGCGGAGGGACCAGTCGTACTGACGATAGTCGTGTAGAACTCGAGGAAGAACATGACGACGGCATCGTACAGTTTACGCTGGATCGGCCAGTTGCGCGGGTAATCCTCATGCTCCGTGTCCCATTCCATCGTTCGCGACCCCGTCCTCCGAAGGCCCTTTCGAGCAGCTTCGCGGTGTACGGTGTCCTCATCTTGTTGTTTCTCCTGGTCGCCAGTCATCGCTTCTGACAGGATGTAAAGTTCCTGCTGTGTAACAGAGGATACTTCCCCGGCCCGGCTGAAGCTGAAGATATATGGCTTCTGTGCAGGGGCGTCATATTGAGGCTTTCCGCCAAGAGAGTTCAGGCTGAGGATTGATATATATAAATGATGCTCAGAATGCGTAATATAAAAAGAAGTCGTGTTGGTGGGTCCATGACGACAGTTTGCTGTGAGGAGGATTGCAAGTCTGCGTTACTCGTGCTTGTTTACAGTCCAAGCGTCAAGTGCTGGCGGCACGTATACGAATAGCCCTCAACCACAGGGCGTCTGGATCAGCCATTCAAGAGAGAAAATAGAGTAAAGCAGGCTGATGGTACCTTTGAGGCCGCGACCCATGGGGTAAAGAGTTTTGTGTTTGGTTCGTCAGGTGTGGAGCAGTGATTGAGTGGTTCATGCAGATCAGTCTTTGCCGGCCATACAGACCAGTCCCCTTGGACCACTTCAGCCCTTAGCCCGCAGGACGAATCTCCAAAGCAGGAATATTGCGCATATATATGTCGTCACAGTTAAACCGAGAAGTGAACCTGAGCATTTTGATCTCCGATCTTCCCAACACAATGGATCCTGCTGTCGATCTATAGGAATGATGTTATTGCCCTGGTACACCAGCAGGATGGCAAGGAAGGCTAGATCAGCCAACAATGAACATGTATGTTTCCTGTCCCATTACTCTGTCGATCAGGCTTGAATTGAGTATTCCAGGGACAATGTGTTGTCCTTGAAACAGGATATTTCCGTCAACTATTCTATGGACATTTTGGGGTTCTCCGAGGTAATCTTTGGCAGACGAGTTATATGACATCATTCCTCTACACTGCTCGAATTGACATGAATAAAACTTGAACAGCCCTCATGGTATAGTCCGGTGCGTCCATTCAGTAGTAGAACATAAGATTTCATTCATGGCGTGAAGGTGTTCTGCAAGCAGGCTGAACCAACTGAAATCATAGACGGATTGCAAGCAGCAGTTGATCAATTACAAGCTCAAAACATTCCAGTCCACTCTCTAAGCCGCCGATGCGATAATTCAATCTGCTATTACTCATGTTTAATCCTCCACAGGATGTTTATCTCGGTTTTCATACCACTGGATCGCAGACCCACGAACCTGGAAAATGCCGCTGGAAGGAAGTTCCACTAATTAGAGCCGACGCCCAATGCTGCCCAGCGGCTTGTACTATGGGATCAGGGAAGAGGGCGTAAATTTAGAGGCAGAGTTTAGTAATAAAGGCCAAGAAAGAAGTTCATCATACTACTGAGTATATTCATGGAATTTTTTATGTAGCATTATTTGAGATTTGAGCTTGGATGGCCAACGCCCCAATAAACCCCGCGCTGACTCCTTCATTTGGATTCACATAAGTTAACTAGTTACTTAACTTGTTAAATCCTTATAGCTTAGTGAACTATAGAGCTCCTCTTTATTTACAATAGTGCCATTGACATCCTGGGGAAGGACGGAGGGATAAAAACAATACAAACAGATCACCCCCAAAAAAAAACACTTAAAGATAGGAAAATGAGACAATTATTAAGCAGAGAAGAGGGCCAGCAGTGCTTGATTTTCACCATCTTAGTGTATCGTCCTTGCCTCTCGCATCTGATCACAATGACTTCGACGGTAGGGCCTGGTTATGGGAGTGCTGCCCGCTGAATGCACGCCATATCACTGTATAAGGAGCTGTAGAGTCTGATGGAGACAGTGAGAAGTGTGAGAATGATGGACTTGTTTTGAAAGGGGGGGACCAAAAGAGGAGTATACGAAGCGCGTGTATCAAACTAACTAGCATATGCAAAGCTCCTTAAAGCCAGGGAGGGATATCTCTAACCACCAACCACCGACCCTCGAACCAAATAATCAACAAGATTCCTAACAGCCTGACGATGCATCCAAGCCAATCGCGCCGCATAATAGGTCCCTCCCCCCAGCAACCCCATCGCCAAGCCCGAAACCGCCATCAGATCCCAGTTCCTCGCCTTGTAAACAGGCATCCGCATATCCGCCGTCTGGAGATGCATCGGCCGCGTCTCCTTCCCATCCACTACCCTCAGCTCCGTATCATACAACACCTCCTCAATAAGGTCTGCGCCCAGCTGCTTCCGTCTAGACGCCACGCGAGCGATCCGCTGGAGACGAAGTACATTTCGCGCGTAGCTCCCCCCACGATCTTCCACGATTAGCTTCATCTTTGTGTAGACCTCCTCCGCCGTGAAGCGGAACTTGTGCAGGACCTCGGATGTCCCGCTGCCGGCTAGTTTGGCCGCGTTGCCAATCTGGTCGAAGAAGAAGGGCATGACGAGCATGGGTTTGCCGTGGTAAAGGCCTTCGTTGGCGCTGGATCCGCCGCCGTGCGTGAAGTAGATTCGGGCGTGCGGGTGGTCCAGGATGGACCGTTGGGGCGCAAAGAAGGGGAATAGCCAGTTGGCATGTTTTCCGGTCAGGAGGTCGCCGAAGCGGACGGTTGTTTGGCCGTCGATGGTGATGAACTCGTCCGCTGTGTCGAAGAGCTGCCGTCCGCTCTCGCCTACGGACCAGATCACGCCGTCGATGAGCCCTGCGTCCATCGCCTGGATGAGACCCTCGATGATTTTCCGGGCATCCGCGTGCGACAGGATAGTGTGCGTCCCCAGCGCGACGTAGATGGTCTTCAGGTGCTGGTCCAGAAAGCGCTGGTGGACGTCATCTAGCGGGGGATATTCATCTGCGAGGATGGGCCCCACGGCAGCAACCAGCGGAGGGAGGTCCCTGGGGACTTCCAGACCGAGGAATGAATTCACCAAGACCAGGTAATCCGGTTTGGTCGGGGTGGGAAGGAGATAGTTCAGGCCCGCGCGTTTGCGCATCGCCTTGGTCCACTTCATGAGTTTGAGGGCCTCGGGCAAGGCACGCACGACCACCAGCTCGTTGTTGGCCCGGCACCACATGGATGCATTCTCCGATGTCAGGGTCATGTCTAGCTGGAAGCCCGGCTGGCCGGGGATATACGAGCAGGGAACCATCATGTACGGCATCTGCGGCCACACGATCGCGATGGGCAGCTTGTACTCGAAATGGATATCCTTTACCGCGTCGACGAAGAAATCCGCGACCATCATATCTGGGCGTGTGGCGGGATCGGCCATGATCTCCTTTAGTCGATGGTAGGTTTGCGTCCACAGGGAGTCAAAGAGGTATTTGGAGTCCATGACATCTCCAAATCCCTTGGCTGGGTCCCAGAGTCGACTTCGCTTGTAGTGAGCGTCGAGCTGTTCTTCTGTGGGACCGGGGCCCATGAGATGCGTGCGGGATATGGGGAAACCGTCAGTCCATTTCTCTTGTCCATCGAGAGTGCCAAAGTCGATGGTATGGCCTCGGTTGGCCAGGATCTTTCCGAGTTCCAGGACGGGTGCTAAGCCGTTAGCATATATATATATATATATATATATATGGATTCCATTTATGCCGCAGAGGATGTGATGTACTCACCTGCATGAGTATGGCCTCCTCCAGTAACTACCAAGAGGATCTTCCTGGGCGGAGTAGTTATTTCTGGCATTGTGGGACCGCACAGGAGCTGATCTCTAACTCTAAACAATTTAAGCTGACTCTGGGCGGCGAGAGGTTAAATACCTCGTGAGCACGGATTCTCGGATGCATCGAGCCATTTGTCTCGCCATAAAAAGCCACCGATTGAATCCGTTAGTTCCAGGTTTAGACACCCAATCAAGGGAATCTGACAGCGTTATAGACAGGGATTGTTACTAGCTGAGAAAGTATGCCCAAACCATACTCGACAATCCATTAGGATTCCAGCGCAGAGAGTGCAAGTCTTTCCCGGGCACAGCGACCTGAATTTCATAGCCAGAGCAATACTTGAGATACAGCCCAGAGTGGTTCTCCAGGCGTTGCAGGCGTCAAGCAACATCGAAGGCCATCTTCATCGTGAAACCGTCTATGTGACTCCCGTCTATGTGACTTCCGTCGATTGTTACAATGTACAGAGTCTATCGTGATATATCCAACCTTGGAAGAGGATGGACAGACACGAAGAGAGAATTACCTGTGCCTCCTGGTTTATGTTTCCGTGGCAAACAGATACATCCCACACTGGCAGCTTCATGTCGCATCGAGAAGACTACCTTGCGACGGGGATGTTACAATGTCTGAAATTAGGTAGAATCTAACTACAACTAGAAGATTGTTTCGAATACTTTGAACTAGAGACTGCAAGTTTAGTGGTTGGTGATATAAGGTCACGTATGCTTCTAGGGCTTAGGGCTTGGCGCCATCTGTTCCAGTTCCACCAGCTCATCCACAAAGCTTAGCTTGCAAGGCCAAATATATTTAGTAAAACAATAAAGACAAAAAGAAATATACAAGTATTGGTGGTGGTACTGTCAATCAACCCCATTTCTGGTACGCTATCGAGCATTCGCACTAGAAGGAGGACGTCCCGGACGGGGCAATCTGAGTCTGTGAATAACTCGAGGAACGTCCATGGTATGATGCTCTATTCCAGCCGGTAAGGCAAAAGCATACATATGAGACTACTTGGATTCCCTGACTAAAATTGAGTCTCCGACTTCCTCACATATCATTGAAGCGGATGGTAACTAAGGATAGAAGCATATCGTCATCAACATCATAAATTATATTAGGAAGATATCCAAAGGGTTATACTACTTGATACAGGAACAGAGATGAACCCCTCAAAGCGCCTCAGCAAGCCCGGTCAGGAACTCGCTCAGTCCATATGCACCAGGGTCAGGAACCTTGCCGACCCATTCCTCCTCGCCACCGACGTAAACACTCCGCCCGAGGCTCGCCTTCATGCTCTTGGTGGCTTCAGTCCCATTCTGCGCGGCCTTTGCAGCCGCATGTACGTCCTTCCTTTCGACCAGCGTGTTGCAGAAGGGAACTAGTGCGTCGATCATGGTGCGGTCACCCGGCTGCGCGGGGGTGTACTTTCCCAGTGCAGTGATGGAGTACTTGAGAGCGCTGGCCCAGACCTCGACCGTTGCGGGGGTTGGGTTGCCCTGGTCTTGGGCGCGGAGGCCGTGGGCGAGCGCGTTCAGGAAGATGGAGTAGATGGCGCCTGATGTGCCGTCCATGGTGTTTTCCACGACGGTGACGATGCGGTTGACGGCGGTGACGGCGTCGTCGGTCAGGTTGGACGATGGGTCTTCGAGGAGGGCGAGGACGGCTTCTGCGCCGCGCTTCAGGCCCACGCCGCAGTCACCGTCGCCGACGATGGTGTCGTACCGGGTGACCAACGCCTCGGCAGCAATGACTCGCTTGAGTGCGGATCCGAGGGCTTTCTTGAGAATGGCTGGATCCACTGTAACACTATCAGCGCCTGCAGAGAGGGGTTAACCAATGCCATAAGCATGAGGAGACTCACGCTTGAGGTTGCTGGGTTGGTCCTCGGCAAGCTTCGTACTCTTAACCTCCACAGGAGCATCGGACTGGTGTGCCTCCCATGTCGATGTGCGGATGGGAGCAGACCAGCCCACTGCTTCGGCAGGTGCGTCGAGGAGCTCGAGCATGGACTTGCCAGGACCCAGTCCTGTATCCGCGAGCTTCAGTAGTGAAACACTGAAGCCCAGTCCGTTGAGACTGGTCAGGAAAGTTCCTTGAATGATGCGCACAGGCTTGATGTTGAAATCTTTTGTGAGCTGGCCGTATACTTCGTCGGTGATACCCGACAGCTCCAGGGTACTGACGCCACCAAGGTTGTTGATGAGCAGCACGAACTCGTCGCCTGGCTGATGAGTCAGGAAAGCGCGGTCTGGGTCGTTGTGATCCAGGATCTGCAAGAGCATAGTCTTGATCACTTCTGGAAGCGAAAACTTCATCCGGTGGGACCCAGGTTCGTTGTGAATGCCCATTCCGACCTCAACTTCCCCATCAGGGATGCTATCCTCTGGGACTCCTCTACCTGGGATATGGACGTGCTCCAGAGAGGAGCCCACGGACGCAAGATTAGCGTTTGCTAATTGAGCGACGCGGTACACATCTTCGAGCGATGCACTGAGCGATGTTAGCTGTGACCCGGAATCAGTGCTGCTTCTCAACTCACCCAGCCTCGGCCAAGGCTCCGACAATCTTCAAGATGAGGATGCCACCACCGATACCGCGACGACCAACTTTTCCGCCCTTCGTCTTGCCAACGCCCGCGTCATCATTAATGGCAAAGAACTCGGTCTTGATCCCTGCAGCCCGCGATTTCTCGGCAGCCATGCCGAAGTTGAGAACGTCGCCGGTGTAGTTCATAGGTATGATCAACACGCCCTTTTCATTGTTGACGCAGTTCATGGCGGCATGGCGAATCTGTTCGGCAGACGGAGAGGCGAAGATGCTGCCGGCTACAGAAGCGTCCATGAGTCCGTGGCCGACATAGCCCGCGAACGCAGGTTCGTGGCCCGAACCTCCACCAGAAATGATGGCCACCTTGGGCTTTCTGGATGCATCTGGGCGACGGAAAATGACCTTGTGTTTCGAATCAAATGCGAGCGATGGATTTGTGAGTGTCAGGGAATGGAGAGCCGTCTGGACCAGGTGATTCGGGTCGTCGAAGAAATGTTTGGCTGTGAAGCAAATCGGTTAGCGCCATACAAGGACCTCTACTTCATGTGATTTGCTGAATGTGATGAAATCAAAACTGGACACATGGAGAAAAAGTGAGAACGTACTCTGCATGATGTAAACTGTGGAGAGAGACAATCCCTAAATCCGGAGTTGCGCCGTGATAGAGTGGAGAAAGTCGGGGAATATACAGATCGTCGACTCAAACAGAGGCGAGAATGTCGCTGGAACTACAGAGAGACAACCCCTCGTCACTTTAAATAATCTGCCGGCAACCGTCTCGCGCGGGATGAGTTCCAATCAGACAAATTCTGGGCGTTATTTCCCCTCAATGCGCAGCCCGCGGGATGACTGGAAGCGACTGCGCCAGGAATTGATTGCGACGGGGATCTTCAAAGTCGACGGTGCGACTTGGGGAATCGGTTTGCAGTCCGTGAGAGGCGGGGAAAATGTGGAGTATCCTGTGACCAGGTTTCGACCTGTCATCTGTCAGTTCAATTCTCTCTTCGATACATATCTAGGCTAGACATCTTGATGAAGTCACTCGCGCTGAATTGAACGGTTGAAATCACAATGGTAGGGGTGGTGGTCTTTGAAGATGGACTCACTGGAATATATTGGAGCTCTTTAGATATACAATGTGTATCTCCAACGCCAATGTATATGGGTGCTGTATACAGATGTAGCAGTCCAAGAGACCAAGATCATAATTGAGAGAGGAATCATTCGAGAGGGGGAGAGCAGTATATATAACTCCATCATATCCATACTTGGAGTACCGATCCTCTTCTCTTTTTCCCCCATTTTTTTTGTTCACATGGACAATTATGCTCCATAGTACTAGGGGTACTGTAAGGTACCACGGTTAGCCTTCCTCCATAGTCCCATACTCTGGGTCACTATCAATGTAAGAAGCGCATGGAAAGCTGTCCAGCGCACCCCATTGATCGTGGGGTTTGCAGTCTGGACCGGAGACAGCGGGGAGCTCTTCGGCTTACCCACTAGGGTAATCCCGTCAGCCGTCCAGCAATAGTAACATCAGCCTATCTAACATTCTTATTTATTATTATTGCATGACTGCCTCTCAGTTAGTTAAACTAAGCTACGTAGCTATCTCACTACGATGTCATAGTTGTAACCATTGGCCAGAGAACTCCATTCATCTATCAAGGCAGGTCTGAGCTTGACATCAAACCAGTCATACTGCCAAAGAAGAACAATATGATAACATTGTTGCAATGACTATCTGATCTTTATGCGTTCAGAATTAAGATCATGTGGCATTAAGCCTATTCTCCTTGCATAAGTCCTCAGAAGAGAAGGTGAGCCGGGCAACTTGACCGAACAGCGTATGCGTTTTGATACACCCAATACAGATACCTATATAAAAAGCTCATGGTCATGAGACCCGAAGAAAAATGGGTTCATCGAGAGAGGTACGTACTACAATAGTAGCTCCCCGCTGTCAGATCCCTTGAATCCACAATTGCAACTACCATTACCGCATTGGCCATTCCTGACTATCTAGAACACAGGATGAACTCAAGCACGTGAACTTGCAGAGGATTATTCTAAGTATATCGATAGATACTGGAGCCGTGGCTCTCCGTTCATTTCTCGGTCGAGTACCACTACCACCTTAGTCTACAATGTGCACTCCTTACCTTTCAATGTAATGGAGCTACTGTATTCCCGCCAACTGGCTACTCTACTATGATTCCAGCCGCCTCGGAAGCCCCCGAGGGCCCGATGCTCAGAGCTGCTGTGGGGTCGGAGCTACTCCGGGGGTGTTCCAGACTTCCAGACTTTCCCAGTCCCAGGCCCTCGGCATCTGCGGTTCTATACTAGGCTTTGGCGGTTTGACCAAAAGGTAGAGAAGGATCATATCAGGTCATAATGAATGTCATTGATGTAAGTTCATAATGAGAGAATAAATGCTGACAAAAAAAAAAAAGGTAGCAGCTTCTCTAACGGCAC